GAAATCTCTAAAGATATTTTGTGCCTTGAAAGTGCAAATAGTAAAATTACCTAAACCTAGAAAGGAGTGTGACAGTTTGCCAAGGGGTAGAAAAGATGTTCACTTAAAATCATAAATTATATGAGAAGGCAAGCATTGTTCAAACTATTCCTGATAATTTTTTTTAAGAGAGAGAAGAAAGAATTTTTTAATATTTATTTTTCTGTTTTTGGTGGACACAGCATCTTTTTAATTTTATTTTATGGTGCTGAGGATCGAACCCAGCGCCCCGCGTATGTCAGGCAAGTGCGTTATCACTTAAGCCACATCCCCAGCCCATTCCTGATAATTTTTATAGAACCCCCATAAATAGTTTTACTGTTTTTTTTTCCCATTACCTTGTAGATTTGAAACTGACAGTTTTTCAAGTTCTGGCAAAACTTTTAAGGTCATGAGATAGTAGTTTTTCATTGATTATTAAGAGTGCTTTGCATGTTTTTTGTTTTTTCCCCTCACGATTGATTAATTTTACTATCCTACACTAAAATACCAAGCAAGCAAGGCCTGCCTATGTGTGTTGGTCAAATATTAGTTACCCTCTGGCCATCCAATTGGGCAGTTTCATAGCTAGGAAATGGTGCGAAAACTGGAATTACATATATGGACATGAATTTAAACATAAAATTCTGTTATTTTCTAAGTGTCTGACTTTAAACAGATCATTTAACCTCAGGGTCATTTTATCTTTAACACAGTACCTGCTTAATGAATACTTTCTAAATATGTTGAACAAATGCAATACTTTTTTTTTTTTCTGATGTGAACACATAATGTTGTGCTGTGGCATATATAATTCATGGTATATAGAACTCTCTTTCAGATTAGGGATTCTCAACTACTGTTGACTTTTTGACCGGATAGTTTTTTACTGCACGGAGCTCTCCATCCTGTACATTGTAGGATGTTTATCAGTGTCCTGGACTTTACCCACTAGATGCTTGCCAGCCAGCCATCCTTCCTGTTTAACCCAGGGATGCTTTGTCACTGAGCTACATCCTCAGCCCTTTTTCTTTTTTCTTTTTAGATGGGTTCTTGCTTAGTTGTTGAGACTGGCTTTGAAACTGCGATCCTCTTTCTTCAGTCTCCCAAGTTGCTAGGATTACAGACTGGGCTAAATTCACTCTTAATCCATTATTGCAAGTCATTTTATGCTTTTTGGCGGGGGATTACTGGGAATTAAACCCAGAGGCACTTAACCACGAGCTACATCCTCAATCTCTTTTTATTTTAAGACAGGTTCTCTGTAAATTGCTTTTTGCTTTGCTAAGTGGCTGAGGCTGGCCGCAAACTTGTGATCCTCCTACTTCAGCTTCTGGGGCCACTGGAATTACAGGCAAGTGCCATTATGCCTGGCTAAAACTTTCTTAATAAACAGTGTTCATCCCAGATAATACATCCTGCATTCTTAATATAATTTTATTTACTTTCAACAAAAATTTATTAGCACCACTAAGGACACAAAAGTTGTTTCTTCCTTAGTAGTAATGTCATGATTCCTCTTCTCTTCCTATCACTTTGGTTGATCTATTAATCAATCTCTCTTTGTAGAGAGTACTGTTTAAAAAGGTGCTCATAACAGCCCAGAGTGATGTGCACACCTGTAATCCCAGAGGCTCAGGAGGCTGAGAGAGGAGGATTGTGAGTTCAAAGCCAGCCTCAGCAAAAAGTGAGGCACCAAGCAACTCAGTGAGACCTTGTCAAAAATAGGCCTTGGGGAAAAAAAAAATAGGCCTGGGGATGTGGCTCAGTGGTCGAGTGCCCCTGAGTTCAGTTTTGGTTCCTTCTGCCCCCAAGTGCCCAATCTGCAAGTTTTCTTCATCCAAGTCTGTAAGGGAAGATTGTGTGTGTGAATTGTTCTTTCTCTTGCCAGTGAGGCTAGTTTATTTTTTCCTATCAGTAATCCTCTGTTGATCCAATTGCACATATCCTGATCTCAGAATTACTAAGTTTAAGCAGTGCCACTGACATTTAAGACTCTTTGCAGTCTCACCAGATTTTACAAATAAGGGAAACATTGAACTATGATTGTATCTTATGTGCTCATTTATAGTTTAGTTTTGTTTTGGTACTGTAAATTGAACCCAGGGGTACTCTACAACTGACCTACATCCTCAGTCCTTTTTTAAATTTCAAGATAAGGTCTCACTAAATTGCTGAGGTTAGCCTCGAATTTGCAATCCTCTTGTCTCACACACTCCAGTAGCTGGGATTACAGGAACACCAAATTGTGCCTGGTTTATTTATGGCTTTGAAACTGCTGACACAATTTATTTGCATGGAAATAAAAATCGAATCCTTGTTTGTTATACATGTTGAGTACACATACATATTTGAGCTATTTTATATATTATATAATTTTATATTTTAGAATTAATCTGATTATTTCAGGCTGTTGCCTATTTTCATATAATTCATGTTTTAATGGAACTTCATTATTTTACATTTAATTAGGCACATTCTTTAAAGCATTCATTAATTAAACCACCATATATGGGGAAGAAGATAAGCAGACACCTAGACCTAATTTTGGTCTAAAAAAGTAAAATCTTATCCAATGTTAAATAAAATAGTAGAAGTTAACAACAACAAAAAAAAGAGTCTAATTAGATAGATACTCATTAATTGGCCAGTGAAAGACACAGACTTATACGTGCTGAGGAAATTTAGAAGAGGAGACAGTTCCTATGGGTTAGGTAGGGTGTGCATTGTCTGAAAATTGGTCCTTGGTCCGAGGAAGAGTGAAAAACTATTAAATATTACAAGGAATTTAGTCCTCCACAGGACTACCATGTACAGATAAGTGTTTGTGTTTAAAGTGTCATGGGAATAGGATAGGGGGGAAAATCTAAAAATGTTCCTGGGGTGGGGGAAGTGGTAATGAAAGAAAGGTTGAGAAATACCAGGTGAAAGGAAGTTAGGGAAGCATTTAAAACAGGAAGTATAAAGGATAGTTGGGCACATTTTAGGTAATCAAAGACAGTGTGTTTTATTAGAGAATATACTCTTTTCCTAAAGTCAAAGTTTGGGCGTGTAAATCTAACATGCTATGTAATAGCCTCAAGCTTATATTTTACAAAGTGAAGAAAGGAATAAAATATTTAAAAAAAAATAGGTTCAAATTCGAGTGCTGTGGTAGATTCCCTATTGCTTCTGTGTGTTTATTCTTAATAGTTTTCTGATCAGGGATAGAAGATAATTTTCTTAATTGCCAATGGACCTTTATTTGTGTGTGTGTATGTGTGTGTGTGTGTATAAATAAACTTATGTGGCGGTGAGAATTGAACCCAGTGCCTCACACATACTAGGCAAGTACTCTACCACTGAACTACAACCCCAGGTGCACCCCCCACCCCAACTTTCTTCGTGTAATCATGTTAGCAGCACTGTTTATCTAGCAGAGTCTTTGGTTAGATATGGTATTCCAGTTCTTACACTATCATTATTCATTGAATTATAATATCAGAATTTGAGAGATGTAGGAGGCTATATAAGTGAGAAACTTGAGGCTTAGAAAGTTTGAGTGACTTCTAATAAAAATCCTTCATGTTTGTGGTTAGAAGTCGCCTGGCTTTTTGTCCATTTCCCTTTTTATTGTTCTATCTAAACTATAAGCTTGGTCTAGAAACAGAAATCTTCATTTTAGTGATTTAAATCGTTATTAGATTGTTACTTTTTGCTCCATGTTCCTGGACAAAATTTTCTTTAGAATGTGGAAAGACACTGGGGTTTTGGATTTTTTTTTTTTTTTTTAACTTTTCTACTTGACTAGCTTTAACCTTGGACAACTTATTTAACCTCTTTCTCTAAAGTTCTTATGCATGGTTTGTGTTTTGGAGGGGAGGAGAGGTACTGTGGATTGAACCCTGGGGCTCTTTACCTTTGAGCTAAATCCTCAGCCCTTTTATCTTGAGACAGGATCTCCCTAAATTACTTATGTCCTTCCTAAATTGCTGAGGCTGGCTTTGAATTCATGATCCTCATACCTGAGCCCCCTGAGTCTCTCAGATTACAGGTGTATGCCACTGTGCCTGACTAAGGTTATATGTTAAATGGGGATAAGAATACTTAAGTAATAAAAAGATGGTTATGAGAATTAAGTTTGATGACCTTTATGGAGCCCTTTCCTCTGTTTTGGGCATTTATTTGGCATTTGGGATTGTAGCTGAGTGGTAGAGTGCCTACTACTTATTTTAGATGTACCAGGTAGGAGTCTTGATTTTCTTCTTAGTATAATATTATGTGGTCTGTGAAAATCTTAAAACCAAAAAAGAATCCAGTAAATCTCCTCCAAGAATTTGATACTGAAACAAACAGGGATGATGATGTAGTAGATAAGTTCACTTATCTGTCAGAAAATTTGATACTGTTCTTTTTTTTTAATATATATTTTTTTAGTTGTACATGGACAAATACCTTCATTTTATTTATTTTTAAATATTTATTTATATATTTATTTTTTAGTTTTTGGCAGACACAACATCTTTGTTTGTATGTGGTGCTGAGGATCGAACCCGGGCTGCACTCATGCCAGGAGAGCGCGCTACCGCTTGAGCCACATCCCCAGCCCTTTTAAATATTTTTTAATACTTATTTTTTAGTTGTAGTTGGACATAGAACCTTCATTTGTTTTTATATGGTGCTGGGGATCAAACCGAAGGCCTCGAACATGCTAGGCGAGCGTTCTACCACTGAGCCACAACCCCAGCCCATTATTTATTTATTTTCATGTGGTGCTTAGAATTGAACCTAGTGCCTCATTCGTTCGAGGCAAGTGCTCTGCCACTGAGCCACAGTCCTAGCCCGGATACTGTTTATTTTTAGTACTGATGATGCTATAATAAACTGACTTTACTTACTGTTCTTAAATTTTTTTAAAATCTTAATTTGACAAGCAAACTGTGTTGTGCCATTTGGCTCTTAAGTCTCTTGTTTACTTTTTTTTTCCTGTGATTGCCTTGCAGAGCTCTGAGGAACAAGAGTGCAATGATGACACTTCTCAGGAGGATGAAGGGTTTATGGGCATGTCCCCTCTTTTGCAAGCCCATCATGCTATGGAAAGAATGGAAGAGTTTGTTTGTAAGGTAAGATTGTGGTTTCTTATCATTTTCTATGCTCTTTACCACCACCACCCCCCAAAAAAAAAAAAAACCCAAAGGGGGTAGTACTTTGACCTTTGGTTTACTTTGGAAAAAATCTCTGGTAAGATAAGGATTGGAGGCTGTCTCTTAACTTTAACCCTGTTCAAGGCACAATGCATTTGTTTGCCAATAGCAGCCTTGATAAAAGTTCTGATAAAACTAGAATATCCATTTGGGAAACAAACTTTTCCTGATAAGAGTTTAGCAAAGTAAAGGTCTTGTTGATTAGATAAGATTAAACCAAGTTGGAAGTGGTAGATATTCAAATGCTGTATTAAAATAAATGTACTCTGCTGTTAGGATAGGAAACCTATTTTTCTTTCTAGGGATTTGATGGGCAATCAGACTACTTTTGAGATGGAAATTTTCCAGTTTTCAGCTGGCATATTTTCTGTCTCTGTGGCCTTTCTTTCAATCCATTGGCTGACTCTGTTAGGAATAATTTGTTTTGTTTCCCTAAAATGGTAACTAGAATTGCGGTTGCTTCCTTAGAGAAATAGGGACACTGGTGAATGAATAGGTACTTGATTAATCAGTAAGGGCCTTGGCAGGTGTATGGGTATGTATGTATAAATCCACTTATTAAACATTTAAAGATAACTTTTAATTATTCAGAGAGAAAATTTTATGAAGTGTAACTTTTCATGGGTTTTATGAACCACAACTTTTTTTCTTTTATTAGTGCATTATAATTGTATATAATAATAGTTGGGTTCATTTTGACAAAGTCATGGAATTTAATTTACTCCATTTCAATCCCTGGCTCCCCTATTTTCCCTTCCCTGAAACCATAACTTTTTTGGGGGTTGGAGGAAGACACTGGGGATTGAACCCAGGGATGCTTTACCAATGAGCCACATCCCAGCCCTTTAAAAATTTTTTATATTGAGACAAGGTCTCACTAAGTTGCTTAGGGCCTTGCTAAATTGCTGAGGCTGGCTTTGAGTTTATGACCCTCCTGTCCTGGCCTCCTGAGCCACTGGGATTACAGGCAGATTAGATTAGATTCTGAAAACTAAATTTAGATTTTCCTGCATTCACAGTGATGCTGAAAATAATTGAGACCGGTTGACTTAGAATACTATATATTGGGCTAGGGATGAGAAGAGAATGTTATGATTTTAACATAGATAACCCTTCCAGATTAAGTGCTGGGGGCGGGGCGTTGAGGGTAAATATAAACATTTGTAGGTTTCATAGAACCCTGCACATTTTAGTCAGTGTTTAAAAACTGATGACAGAAAAAGCCAAGCAAAACAATAAATTCATTGTGATCACTGTCTCAGGATAATTAACACAAAGAATAAAATAGGTACATTTTGTTTTTCAAAAAATGATTCTGATGTGAAGAAATCTCTTCAAGTCATATAGTTAGTGTCTTAGCCATTGGGGAGTTTTAATATTTATAGACTAGTTGGGATACTTGACTGCCATTTGTTCTCTTTCTGAACTGAACAAAGGATAAAGCAAATAAAACTTAAAAATTTAATAGTTAATGGGAGAATAGATAGGATGGGCATTTGCATGCTACATATGAGTTACTGAAGAAAAATGTTTGGGTATAAAAACTTTTTCCATTCCCTTATCTTCTACCAATCTGTTTGTGAGAACAGTCAGGAGGCATCCTGTTACATGGTGTTCCAGTGTCACTGTACCTTGCTGTGGCAGGGCAACTGACCAGGCTTGAAAACTGGCCATGTCTACCGACAGTAAGATTCTGTTTCTTGAACTGGAAGCAAGTAAACAGAGACAGTTTAAAATGAGGTGTGCTTTGGCTTTGCTGGTGTTACCTTCCCTTTTGGGGGAAGTAAGTAATTTTGTCTTTAAAGTTTCCAAGTTTGATCTGATCTCTTTTTGCAGACTTTGATTTTTGCTATTTTACCAGCATAGCCGGGTTTGTGTGGGAATAGGAGGTGTGCCATAGGTAGTGGAAAAAAATTGGTGTATATATGCATGTATGTTTTAGGGTCAAGTATAAACCCAGTGGACCATTGCTGAGATGTTTGATAGAGGCAGTATCTTGTCAAGCTTATAGATAAATCTTTTGTCTGTTGTTTTGTTTCAGGGAGTAAAGGTTGCCTATTTGTGTTGGCAGTATATAATTTTAAGTTGAGAGTGAGGGTACATAGTATCTGTTAAATATGTCACCAAATAAAGTATAATTAAGGAAGTAGTATTGCTCTTTGGCTCAGTGTTTAGACCACTAGAATATTAGAAACAATGGGACAAATCACTCTGGCATTAAATGCATATGTGACTAATAAACAATATAAAATAAAATTTGCTGAAACTAAAATAAGGAGCAAAATTTTATAAGGTTAATGTTTACAATAATTATTTTTCCCAAGTTCAAAATAGATATTAAAAATTCAGTGTCTTGATCTTTGTCTCTTCCTGTGGAAGATCTCATAATACAGCCACTTTTACAAGTGGTAGTGCAGCCAACCCTCTTTATCCATGGGTTTCATGTCCATGGATTCAACCAGCTGTGGATTGAAAATATGTGGGGGAGAGCAAAGTGTGGTGGTGCCTGTCATCTCAGCTTCTTGGGAGGCCAAGTCGGGAAGATCACTTGAGCCTGTGAATTTGAAATAGACATTTATTTATTTATTTGTGGTACTAAGAATTGAACCCAACTAAAGTGTGTGTGTGTGTGTGTGTGTGTGTGTGTGTATTTAAAAAGAAAAAGGAGGGTCATATTTGTTCTTAAGTTGGCAGTTCTCATTTTCTTTGGAGTCAGAGGAGGTGTTGCATAGTCAGTTCTTTTGTAGATCTTAATAAGGTAAGAGCAAAGAACAGGAAACGGCTGTGGGCACAGCGGCTGGGTGGCAATCTTTCTGCATAGTAGAGAGAAGGAAAGCCAACTTTCTGTGGCTTAGCTATGTTGTTTTGTACAAGACCCCCAGAGATAAGAAGTGGTAGTCTTTGGAGGTGAGCTCTGCTCATTTGTAGTCTGGATTATTGCTTTAAGGTAGTAATCTGGAAGCACTGCTGAGCCCACATTAACTGTAAGGTAAACCACATGCCTGGCATTTTCATTACATCTTTCTGGCTAGCAGAAGCAACTTAGTTCTGGATAAGTGATCGTTGTGATATGAGCTCTGTGACCTGAGAGACAATGTAAAGAAACAACTACAGAAATTGATAGACATTCTAAGGAGGAATGACTCCATCCCTCTGTCTGTCAGGGAGAGGGACAACAGGAAAAGGAAGAAAAGGGGGGCTGTGGGAATTGAAGGGCCGTTAAAGTGGAGCTTCTTTGCTGTCTCTCTAGCAGGAGCAAGGGGGACTAGTCACTAATTCTTAAACAGGTAATAGCTTCTAGGGATAATTAAGGACTAGGGATTGCTAATTTATTTATGAAGTTTTTGTATCATTTTTGTTTGATCCTCATGATTTCCTTCTTATGTGGTGAAACACTTGTTTTCCTCAATATATAAATGAGGAAAATGAAGTTTGGAGATTTTATATTTGATTAAAGCTCATATAATTTAGTTAATACTCGAGACCCAAGATTTTCTGACCCCTGTGCTCTGTTTCTTTTCTACTTCATCATATTTGATATGGTGGAGAGAGAAGAAAGAGTAAAGGGAAGTGGGGGCCAGGGGAGAGTTTAGCAAAAGGCACAAAAGCATAATTCTATACAATTCTTTTTTTCCCAACAGATAAATATAAAAAGTCATATTTAATGTCACAGGAATTTTTCAGAAGTCTGTTATGGGGGATAAAGGAAGGTCTTTATGGGTGGAACTTTAGACTCCTCATCCGTTCTTCACTCGGACTGAAGTAAAGCTGTTTTAGGGCATGTTGTATAATTTTTTTTTACTCCTTCCTTTTCCTAAGGAAAAAAAAAATTTGTCAGTCTTAAGAATTCAGGATATGACATTATACATTTCGCATATATTTGCCTTAAAAAAATTTTTTTTTTTCCATCGTACAACAATGCGGTAAAAGAGACAGTTGTTTGGGATTGTTGTTGCTAGTAGGACAACTAAAATCACAAAGATGTTCAATAACTCTTCTTCCAGGTATGGGAAGGTCGATGGCGAGTAATCCCTCATGATGTGCTTCCAGACTGGCTCAAGGATAATGACTTCCTTTTACATGGACATCGGCCTCCTATGCCTTCTTTTCGGGCCTGTTTTAAGAGCATTTTCAGAATACACACTGAGACAGGCAACATCTGGACACATCTCTTAGGTATGAAATATCAGTGGTAGATGAATTAGTGATTCACTTGATTATCTTGTATTTGAGGGTAAGGATAGAACTTAAAAATGTATTGTCACTGAGGATTGAACTATGTCCAGAGGCATACTGTGATTTTATTACAACTAAGTCACATTATTCTCTCCTAGATCTTTAGAACATTATCAATATTTTTCAATAAGTAGAGATGAAGGTGATTTTTCAGTCATTACTTATTCACTATTAAATTTAATTTGGCTTAAAATAGAAAATGAAATATTTTTTTCATTTTTTCATGTTTTCCCTGTCATGATTGTATATTAAATGCAAGGGCGGGGAGGAGGGAGAAGAATAGTCCTAAACAGATGTTGCTAGGATAGCTAAATAGCCATGTATAAAATAAGTTGGACCCTAACCTCACACCATAAATAAAAATGAACAAAGACCTAAACACAGAGCTAAAACTATAAAACTTGGGGAAAAACATAGACATAAATCTTTGTGACCTTGGATTAGACAAATTTCTTAGCATTGACAAAGCACAGAGAAAGAAAAAAAACAGATAATTTAAACTTCATCAAAATAAAAAAATTGGTTTATGTCAAAGAACATGATTGAGAAGTTGGACCTGGTTACATATAACTGTTAATCCCTATCAATTGGGAGGCTGAAGCAGAAGGATTTAAGCTTAAGGTCAGCCTTGGTAATTTAGAAAGACCCTTTTTTAAAAACAACAACAAAACAGTTATGGAGATATAATTCAGGGGCATAGTGCCTCTGGGCATAGTTCAGTCCCCAGTTTGGAGAGGAAAAAGTAAAAAGACAACCCTCAGAGTGGGAGAGAATATTTGCAGATCATGTCTGGTAAGAGTCTAGTAAAGAACTGTTAAAGAACAGTCAGTTTGTCTTTATTGGTAAAACTCAAGAGAGACATCATTTTTATAAAGACATACAAATCAGATGTATTGAGAAATGTGTTGAGGGACTGGTTCACTCCTACCAGGATAGCTGTAATTGAGAAAAAGAAAAATAATCCCAGTGGCTTCGGAGGCTGAGGCAGGAGGATAAAAAAGGGCTAGCGATGTAGCTGAGTGGTTAAGCACCCTTGAGTTCAATCCCTGGTTTAAAAAAAAAGAAGAAATGCAATAAAAGTTTGATGGGGAATATGGAGAGATTGGAATATTTGTATATTGCCAGTAAGATGTAAAATGGGGCAGCCCTATGGAAAATAGTTTGTTGGTTCTTCAAAAAGTTAAAGACAGTTACCAGACATTGCACTCCTAGGTATTAAAATCACATTGACAGAAAAACATGTGCATGAAGTTGATAGCATCATGATTCATGACAGCTAAAAAGTAGAAGCAACTCAGATATCTACCAGCTGATGACTGGATAAACAAAATGTGGTATATAATACAGTGGAATATTTTTTTTGAACTTAAAAAAGGGATGAAACACAGATTATATTACAAGAGTGAGCCTTGTAAACATTTGCTAAGCAAATGAAACCAGCCACCAAAGGCCACATAATTTTATGATTCCATGTACATGAAATGTCCAGAGCGGGCAAATCCATAGAAGCAGAAAGTAGATTAATGGTTATCTAGGGTAGGGTTGAGGGAGACTAGAGAGTAGGGAATGACAGCAGGTACAGGCCTTCTGTTTTGGAATATATATAACAAGTGTTTTTTAAATACATATAGTAATAACATTTTTCTTTTTAGTTATACATGATAGCAGAATCTGTTTTGATATATAAACATGGAATATATCTTATCTAATTAGGATCCTAGTCTTGTGGATGTACACAATGTTGTGATTCACTGTACTTAGGGAAGTTACATCAGATTCTTTCCACTGTCTTTTCTATCCTCCCTCCCTTGCCTTTATTCCTCTTTGTCTAATCCAATGAACTTCTGTTCTCCCCACCCCCCACCAGTTGTTGTGGGTTAGCTGCCACCTATCAGAGAAAACATTTGGGGGACTGGCTTATTTCGCTTAGCATAATAGTCTCCAAGTCCATCCATTGAATGTCACGAAGTCATTATTCTTTAAGGCTGAGTAATGTTCTTTTGTGTATATATACCACAATACCTTTATCCATTCATCTGTTGAAAGGCACCTAGGTTGGTTCCACAGCTTAGCTACTCTGAATTGAGCTGCTATAAACATTGATGTGGCTGCATCACCGTAGTATGCTGATTTTAAGTCCTTTGGATATATATATCAAGGTATGGTATAACTGAGTCAAATGGTGGTTCCATTCCTAGTGTTTTGAGAATCTTCATACTGCTTAACAGAATGGTTGCACCAGTTTGCTGTCCCACCAACAATGTATGAGTGTATCCTTTTCCCATCTGTTTTGGAATTAATGATGGTAGTTATACATTATCATTAATGTAATAATATAGTTTCTGGCTTTACTCCATTTGACTTGTATTTCTTATCACACATTTGATTTCTGCTGTGCCTCTGAGTTCTTGCCTGCAAGAATAGTGAAAGTAAACTAGAGAAAAAATCCAATTAAATCTGTTGGAGATATCTAAGTCAGAAGTAATTTTTAGGTTAAAATGATAAAACAGGATCACTTAGTAAATGTTTGACTTCTAAATATCTGACCTTCTTTGTGGTAAGTGGTCTAAGCAGTAAGAACATGGTATCTTGCTGTGGAGAACAGTTCAAGAACTGGTTATGAAATGCCCTGAGTAGGTACTTTGCTGTCCCTACTGGACCATCCTGTAAGGACCAGAGAAGCAGCATGGTGCTTCTTGACAGCTATTGGTATAGGAAAGCTATTATTTTCTGTCAGGATTTGGAGGTGTTGGAATTCAAAGTGAAAACAAAAAGGGCCTTTCATAGCTGGGCTGTATGTATATACCAAAAATTTCATAAATGAAATTTCATGCCAGTTCTAAGAAGTAACAGCATTATCTGATTTCCTTTTGGATTATGCTGTTAGATTAAGTTATTATGTTCTGTAGTGCCCAATTTGTGAAGCTAAATTTTATATGATATCAACAGTATTTAAAGTAAATTTTGGATGAACTTGGAAAAAAAATTTATGGAACTTTTGATACAGGTATCATTGCTGCTGAGAACGATTATAAGCAGAATTAATGTAGAACACTGTCTCTTCAGAAGAATAATATTTTCTTCGTCTCCTTCACTCTTTTCCTAGGTTGTGTATTCTTCCTGTGCCTGGGGATCTTTTATATGTTTCGCCCAAATATCTCCTTTGTAGCCCCTCTGCAAGAGAAGGTGGTCTTTGGGTTATTTTTCTTGGGAGCCATTCTCTGCCTTTCGTTTTCATGGCTCTTCCACACAGTGTACTGCCACTCAGAAGGGGTCTCCCGGCTCTTCTCTAAGTAAGTATCTGTACGGTCCATAGTTTGATCAGTGATTTAGAGTCAGTGTAAGGTTAGGAGAAGATATCCGTTTGTGATACCATCTGATGAGAACTTTTTTTTTAATTAAAGCAAGCAACTTGCCTTCAGTTGTTGATAGCTCATGTTATGGGGGATTAATTGGGACCTATAACAGGCAGTAATTTTTAGCATTAAATAATTTTTTTTTTAATTCTAGACTGGATTATTCTGGTATTGCTCTTCTAATTATGGGAAGTTTTGTTCCTTGGCTTTATTATTCTTTCTACTGTAACCCACAACCTTGCTTCATCTACTTGATTGTCATCTGTGTGCTGGGCATTGCAGCCATCATTGTTTCCCAGTGGGACATGTTTGCCACCCCTCAGTATCGGGGAGTAAGAGCAGGTAAGTCCATGTGGAGGTTTTACATTGGACATTCATTCACCAGTCATTGATTAAAGCTCTGCCTTTAGCCAGGTGTGGTAGCACACGCCTGTAATCCCAGTGGCTCAGGAGGCTGGGAGTTCAGAGGAGGATCATGAGTTCACAGCCAGCCCCAGCGACGGCAACTCAATGAAACCCTGTCTCTAATTAAAATACAAAATAGGGCTGGGGATGTGGCTCAGTGGTTCAGTGCTCCTGAGTTCAATCCCTGGTACACCCCCCACCCCCCTGAAAAAAACCATCACACACAAAACTCTGCCATTACACGAGCCTTATGCTTTGTTTATGATGAAAGAAGAATAAATATTAGTTCCTGTTGTTGAAGAACTTTTAATATGATAGTCATGGTTGTTTTCAGGGTCACTGGTTTTCTTAAGGCACAGGGTAGAGGGCAGTGGTGAGCTGGGTGAGGTCCTCTGTTTCAGGCGTTGTTTACTTGAGGCCAAACACTTTTCATAAGGTGGTTTGAAGGCTCTGCAGCCTTTATGAGGTAATGATTTCTTTTATTCTTTCAATTTAGTGTACTTTTTAAGTGACTAATTGTTGTTGTGTTTTTCGTTTTTTGTTTTGTTGTATATTTTTATTTTAAAATATTTTGTAAGCTATTGAGATAAATAAGGTTTCACCTATACAGCTCATGTTATTGTGAAAGTAAGCACCACCCATCTCTTCTGATATGGATAAAGGAGCTTTTAATATTTAGGATAATGCCTGTTTAATTGGCATCAGATGAAGTTCAAAAGCCTCTTAGCATCTTGATTGAATCTTCTTGTTGGAGTATGGAGTTAGCAGAGAGGTTTTTGTTTCCCATTGAACTGGGCCTCCTTGTAGCCATGGATGTGTCTTCAATTTTGTAAAACCCAGTGCCTCTTGAGTTTGAATGAACAGTATTATTACAAGCAGTATTTTTTCTTTCAATCTTTCTCTTTTTTTCTTTTCTTTTAACCATTTAGTAATAAAATTCAAGCTCTGGTAGATGCCTTAAGATAGTAGAATAGAAATCAACCTCATATTAATGACCATTGTCACCACACTTTGCCTTTTTTTTTTTTCTCCTTAAAGCGAGTGCTTCTATGAGCAGATAAACAGTGGTCAGGGTTGGCCTTCAGTAGCCCTTCAGTAGTTCTGCAGTGTTAAGCCTGCTGAGCACATAAGATAAGAACTTCTTTGCTGAGTAGAGCTGAGCATTCTGCTATTTATATACGTCAAAAGAACCAAGTTCCTTTGGCTTTGCCTCAAAGAATGAAAGGTCATTAGCAGCCTGTGCTTAGTATGTAGAGAAAGAACTGGATCATGGTACTGTTTCTATATAAGAGTAGTAGAGGTAGGAAATAGTTTTAATTTAGGTCTCTTTGGTTCCTGTATTTTGTGAGATCAACATTATTATTTTCCTCCTCACTTAGATGCCCATTTTATTTATGCATATGCATCCTATATATACACCTACATGTATTATTGTACCTCAGCAGTTTATTTGGTAACATCCAAATTAAGTAATGGGCTTCTTGTCTGTTGAAAGCTTACCAATGACAGCTTATGTTGTAAAGGTCATTCTTAAGTCTGCCTGTCAAAATGTAGGAGCAGTTGCTGCCGGAGTGACTGTTGCTTTTGTTGACACACAGGTTTCAGACTGGTTTTAGATGAGTAGAATTGAAACTTTTTTTGATCATGACATTTTCTGTTACAACTCTAAATGTGTATATATGTATGTATTTGTGTGTGTGTGTGTGTACTTACTTGATCTTAGGACTTAGGTCATACCTAGAAGTTTGAAAAGTGCTACTTTATCATTATTATTATTATTTTTAAAAAATATTTATTTTTTAGTTGTAGTTGGACACAATACCTTTATTTTAATGTGGTGCTGACGATCAAACTCAGGGCCTCACACGTGCTAGGTGAATGCTCTACCACTGAGCCACAAAACCAGCCCCCAAAAGTGCTACTTTTGATAAATGATTTTGAAGCTAGTAGGCTGTGCTGAGTAATTCTGACAAAAGTGTATGGGAGTGAACCCAGGGCCTTGCACATGCTAGGGAAGTATGATACTGAACCACACCCTAGCCATTCTGACAGAGTGATGTACTTGTTTGGGAGCTTGGGAGCTCTCAGAAGTATATATCTTTCTTTCTTTAATCTGTCATCTTACTTGTTAACATATTAGACCATTTGTTCAGGGCATTTTAAAAAATGTTAAATACCTATTTTTAGATTGTAAATTTAGATTACTAATACAAGTATTTTAGCTTTATGATATCACCTCACCAGGTTATTTGATCATTCATTGCCTCCCCACCCTAAAAATGTGTGTTATTTGTTGCTTCTGCTCCTCCTCCTCTTTTTGTGTGTGTGTGTGTGTGTGAGATATATATATATACACACACACACACACACTGGGGTTGAACCCAGTGCTAGGTAAGCACTTTCAACACAGAGCTACATCCCCAGTCCCAGAATGTCTGTTGCTTCTAAGAGAAAATAATGCTCTATATTTAAGCTGTGTTTATAAAATGGCAGCATTTAGAGAAATTTAAACAAACTCTCAGAGCTATCCCTTTCTAAAGCACATAGCAACATGATTCTAAACCTTTGGTCTCTGCTCACTTACTAAGCTAAACCTCACTTAGCAGGAGGCTACTTACATTTCTAAGTATATTTTTAGCACATAGCTATGTTATCTGTGTGATGGTGTTCCAGAGTTTGAAGAACCTTCCTTTTCCTTTAAAATAGGAAGCTAATGTTGCATTCTACCTTGGAATTTTCAGTTTTACAGATGGTACTGTGCTGAAATATTGACTCTTCCTTCTTATCTCCCCCCCCCCCCCGCCCCCTTCTCATGATTCCTAGGAGTGTTTTTGGGCTTAGGCTTGAGTGGAATCATTCCCACCTTACACTATGTCATCTCAGAAGGATTCCTGAGGGCTGCCACCATAGGGCAGATAGGCTGGCTAATGCTCATGGCTAGCCTCTACATCACAGGAGCTGCCCTCTATGCTGCCCGGATCCCTGAACGCTTCTTTCCAGGCAAATGTGACATCTGGGTAAGTGTAATCAGGGGTAATCAAGCATGTGTACCTCTTAGTGGATCGTTGGCAGACTGGGAAGTGATAAAATCAAAAAAGTTTCAGACTCAAAATTGAGACTTTTATTCTGGTCCTAACTCTGTCCCTCATTAGTTGTTTCTCTGGAGAGCAAAAGTAACAATTCCTATTTATTTCGTGTCCAGCACTGTACTAAGTACTGTGTTTGGGTTACTTATTTAATACATTAGCTCTATAACTGTTATTTATAGTTTCATTTTGCAGATTAGGAAATTAAGACTTATCTAAGGCATATGGCTATTAAGTGGTAGAATTAGGCTAGTTCTAATCAATCCTGTTAACTACTCTGTAATGAAAAATCATTTAACCATTCTTTAATCTCATTTTCCTCATTAGTGAAACAAGGTTATGGACCAGATTTTTGCCAAAGACTTTTTTGGGGACCAGATGTACTAACTAAGGTCCTTTTTAATATCAGAGGCCGGTGATTTGTAAGAGGAGATTGTGTGTATGAATTGTTGGAGGAGGAAGAGGAAGAGTTAGTTAATTGGACTGTTGTTAGTAAGATAGTAGAAAAGAGGAGGAGAAAAGAAAATATATAAGGGACTGGTATTGATGGGAAATTAACAGAAGAGGGCCTGCAACATTTCAAATGTGGAATTGGAGTGTTGTTTAATATGAAATCTGACCTTTAGAATTCTGTGGCTTAGCTGTTGTTGATTTTTATAGACTAAGCTGATTATGTAATCACTGTAAAGTTTAGTTTAGCTGTCTATAAAATGAAGGTGATCCTGAACACAAGCAGTCTTTTGACCTTCAAATTAGCTCATTTATCCCTTTTGTCTCATTATGATTTTGAGATTGATATGGAATAATTTTTATTTCTTCCTGCCTTTTTGGGAAAATTAATCTCCTTTGGTTTCTAGGAAACATCTCTTGGGATATGACTTTTTTAAAGTTTATATATATATATATTTATTTCTCAAATCAGTGTCTTTCCCTTAGTAAATACTGCCTTACCACTGGGCTTTTTCATTTTGAGACTATAATGAGAGAATAGTATAGGTTTTGAAGTGATGTTTATCGAGCACATGGAGCTTGAGATGTGAAATAGCATTCAACAGAACAGGTAAAATTTAAATAGTATCACGTGTTTATAGACCAGCTTCTGACTTGATAGGAAAGTAAGAGGCTCTCTTTACTTAGTCTTTTTTTGGGCGGGAGGGGGCAGGGGTAGCAGGGATTGAACTCGGGGGGCACTCAACCACAGCCACATCCCCAGCCCTATTTTGTAGAGACAGGGTCTCACTGAGTTGCACCTCATTTTTACTAAGGCTGGCTTTGAACTTGTGATCCTCCTGTCTTGGCCTCCTGAGCCACTGGGATTACAGGTATATGCCACCATACCCAGCTTACCCAATCTTTTGATATATATGTTGTTTGTATAGTTCTAGAATCTTACTACTGAAGTAATAAACTCTAGGGACTTTTTTTTTTTTTAACTTTTCTACTAGATCCTGGTAGTTTTCTTTAGTTTCTCTAACAGAGAGCATTTAAATGACCACAGCTCTAATATTCTTGTCCATGAACAAAAGTATTTGGTCATATTCTGCTGCTGGATATCAAAGAATCCTTAGGAACCTTGTGGTCTTATTGCAAGACATTCTGTATGCTGTTTGCTCCCAAGTTCACCAGTACTCTAACATGCAGATTTTCATGTCTAGAGCTTAGTGGAAGAACCTGAATTTCTTTGGGGAGAGCTGGCTTTCAACTCAGCAGAATGTGATATACCTAATGGTATATCAGGATCTGTGGACTCCTTGAATTTGAGCTCAGTCATGTCCATTCCCTATCTTCTGCTTAGCATAAGCCAGGATTAAATGATCCTAAGAATTTTTTACCACTCCTCTTTTTTTTTCTCTCTCCAGTTTCACTCTCATCAGCTCTTTCACATCTTTGTGGTTGCCGGAGCTTTTGTTCACTTCCATGGCGTCTCAAACCTGCAAGAATTCCGGTTCATGATCGGCGGAGGCTGTACTGAAGAGGAGGCACTGTGATAACCTACCAGTAGCCAGGGACTGTTACCCTGAACCCAGGCCTGCAGCATCTGCAGGCCTCCCTACTGGCCATTTATGCCAGTACCAGAGGAGCCCCAAAACCTTGATAGCCTCATGGGCTTTGTGACGGCCCAAGGGCTCTGCGTGGTACACGACTGAGAAGAGAAAAACAAAAATAAATCATACCTCAAAGGATGGAGTGCATCAATTTGGAGAAAAGGAGGAATGGCCCATACCCTGACTTATTCTTGGGATCTACTGATTGAGGGCTTTGCAAGACCCTTGGCAAACTGGCTTCTGATCCGTATCATAATTTATTTGTAGAAGATGGGGAAACAGTTTAGCTGGTGATTCTCTCTTTTCCCTTTCTCTTTAAAACAATAGTACAGTCCAATTTAGGTGAACATTTATATCCAATTAAGGGGTGGGAGTGTGATTTTAGATGCTCTTTTGGGAGAACAAAGACATTAATGTAAATAAGATTTCTAACTTACTGTTTAAAGAATTTATATAAATGTTTAAAACATAAGGGTTAGGGAGGGAGGGAGAATTTTTGTATAGAACGAAACATGCAAGTACCACACACTGTTTCAATTTTGCACAAAGTGAGGGAAGATCAGGTGGTAGCCCCAGAATGTGTAGCAGTCTTGGTGCACCAGGGTGCCTTCTAAAGGCCAACATGCACACCTTGGACCCTAGCAGGGCAGAGATATTAGCCAAGCCCAGTGATCACTTGATCACTCTCAATTCCAATAGCCTTTGGGCATCCTGAATTAGAGATAGGAGGAAGTGATGTGTGTTTCTTCAGTGGAAGCAGCACATAAGTGACTGACAAGATGTGTTTAGGTAAAAGGCAGTCATTTGAAAAGCTGTCTTGTAGGCCGATAGTGACCCTTTCTAAAGAGAAGAGCCAGCTAGTCCTGCTCTTGATACTGGTGGAGACAGTGGAGGAACCCTGGGAACGTTAGCACAGGGGCTCATCTGATCACTTACTGGCATCCCGTTCAACTTGGTGGTAGTTTTGGTCTGACTTGAGAGCTGTGGCAGTTGCTATTGGAGCTCTGAACCACCCTGTAAATTTCTATTAAAAATCATTCTATTAAAAATCCTGCAAATAAAAATTGCCTATTCCCTGGCATCATAGTTCTGGTGTGGAGCCAGCCACAGATGAGATTCTGATTTGTGTAGAAAAAGAAACCTGTCTTTAGACCAGAAAAAAGTTGAGTTTTGCCTCTGGTGTGTGGTCTTGGTAAACCTGGTGTGACGGACACCGTGGTTGTCTTTGAAGAAAGCCTGCAGAAGCCTCCAGCGCCCACTGTGGCATTTTCAGCTGCACTGAGCCCCATGTTGCTGGGGGACATGTTTAGAAGGCAATGGCATGTTATTGCTAGTGAGTCTGGTAGAATCCTTAAGTCCATGTTTTTGAATTGCTACTAGAAGTGAAAAACTATTGCTCCCAGGGCTGCCTTGTTATGGTGTCAGGAGAGTGGTGGCAGGGAAGGATCCGGTTCTTAGACAAGATGTGTTCTGATCTTGGCTCACAGGTGAACCTCTAAAATAGCACTCAAGTCTCGGGTTACTGCCATCCAGGACTTCAAGAGGGTGTGTTACATCCTGGGGGTGGTAGGTATTAGAACTGCCACTTAGGTCCTAAGGCAGAGGGGCTGGCATTGTCAAAGGGGTGTCTAGAAGTATGAGAAGGACGTCTGGTTTGTTCAGTAGGGTTTTGTTATTGTCCCCACCCTGTCTTCCTTTCCCTGTGAATCTCCAGCTACAGCTGGGTTCCAGGAAGAAAGAATCAGTGCAGAAACTTGGGAAGAACATAGGAGTGTTTTGGTTCTGGATAAGGTCACTGCCCTAGGTGGCCCAAGCAAAAGACTCAGTGGATGAAGGGCCTGACAGAACAAACAGTATTTGTTTCTTTAGAAAATAGTCCAACAGGACAGTGGCCAACTGGAAGGAAGCTCACTTAGTTTCCTGGGAGCAACAGCACATATCAGAAGCCAGACTTGCTCTTTGGTCATGCACTTTGGGGTATGGGGGTATGAGATGCAGCCCTGTAACAACACCCAGAGAAGTAGCAGTCTTTGGGCCCAGTCACCCCACACCCCAAAGCAGGAAGATTCTGGTTCAACATAGCACAAACCCTTAGGGAACATGAAACCAACACCACCAATGTGTAATCCAGTCAACTCTCCCTCTTTTGGGTGTGTATGTGTGTGGGTATGTGTATGCCCACTTGTGTGTGTGTGTCCACGTGCAGCTCACTACCAATAGCCTCTATGTGCACTTGACCTACAGTGCCCGCTGAGAACTCACCAGGTTGGCGCCTGAATGCCTTACTCTCAGCAGTCAGAGGCTGGCTTGTTCTGTGCAGAGTTTTAATTTTCTTTTTTGGCCCTGGGCTGTTTAGGACCTCTACAGCTTCATTCTTTCACCATTAAATAGTGGCCTTTTTCAGTATTTTCCCCTCCCCCTTACAAATCGCTGAAGCCACAAAGCACATTTTTGGGGATCATAGAAGGTTGGGGTTCCAGAAAGGTATCTGTGATGGTTCCACTCACCATGGGATTTCCCTACTTGCTGTATTCTCAATTTCTCTAATAAAAAGAGCCAAATGGAAAATGAACTTTTGTTGTATTTTTGTTGCTATTTTTTCATCTTATTTCCTTTAGCTCTTGGCATATCCTTGAAGCCTTAATTCAGACACTGAAGTTTCGGAAGTTTTAGAAACTTCCCATCGTAAATACACAAATGAGTGTGCTTGTGCCCTGCTTGCTTTTCCTGACTTTCATCTAACTCGGACCAGGTTTAGAACAGAGAGGAAGGCTAACTCTAAGAAGCAGTTCTTAATTTATTGTTGGAAGTTTATAAAAACAATACCCTAGGGGCTTGGGATGTAATTCAGTCATGGACCATGTTAACTAGCATGAATGTGGCCCTGGGTTTGAACTGCAGCACTACCCAAGATAAAAGCAACAAGAACCTAATATAATGAACACTAGGCCATGAGTTGTGTTAAAGAACTTTCTCATAATCTCAGCCTGTATCTCGTCCTATAACTGTCAGCTTTTGGTTGCTGTGACAAAATATCTGAGAAAGTCAAAGGAAAAAAAGATTTATTTTGGCTCACTGAGAGGTTTCAATTTGTGGTCTCTTGGCTCTGTTGTCTCTTGGTCTGTGGTGAGGCAGAGCATCCTGGTGGGGAGGTGTAGTGAAACAAAGCAGAGAGGGACAGAATATACCCTTCAGAGACGCACTTACAGAGACGCACCTCTTCCAACTAGGCCCCATTTTTATTTTCTACCATCCCTGGAGACCAAGTCTAGCAATCGACCTTTGGGGGCCCTTTTCAATCTAAACCCTCTAACAACCCTATGGGCTAGTCATGCTCATTTTATACTTGAGGAACCTGAAACCTACGAAGTTTTTCTGACTGATGCCAGAAGTGTTCACCAGAGAAAAAGTGAAGGAAAATTTTAAGGAGAAAATTGTCTCTTGTCTGCAGTTGAATCTGTTATATCAGACAAACTGTTAAAACAGGTATATTGAAGGTTTGGGGGTTGGTTAACCTGATCTCATTTAAGGTTAGGAAATCTCAACCTTCTTGCCTTAGGTAAATTAGTATTTGTTGGAGAATTTCCAGTACTTGGTTATTTTCATGTTGAATTCTCACTTATAGAGTCTAGTTACAACTTAAGGTTTTCCCGTGTGTTATCCAGATGTAGGTCGGGACTGTGTTCGATTCCTGACAAAAACTAAACAGGCCCACAGAAAGCCTGCTTTGTTTTTTCCTGGTCTCTGGCTGTCTGTGTGCTTTCCATTTCTCAGGTGATGTCCTGTGCATTTGTAGATAGATGAGGACAAATCTGAATTTTGATTTGATGGAGTGCCAGGGCTCTGAGTGCCCGAGAGAAGCCCGTGGGCAATGTTCCTTCAAACTTACCCTGGAAACATCCTTTTCTTAAATACTTTGCACCGTTTTATGCAGTATATTGCATTTCCTTATTCCCACATGGGGCACAAGGGGCATAGGCTGTTCACTCACCACTTCCATGCCTTCAACTGTTTTTTTCTATTTTTTATTGGTGCATCATGATTGTACATAATGGTGGCATTCATTGTTACACTCCGTACATGCAGACATAGTGCTAGAATTTAGCCAATATTGTTACCTGATATTTCCCCTTTACAAGCCCTTATCCCTCCCTGGTCCCTTTCTTCTACTGATATCTGTTCAATTTTCATGAGAAACTTTTTCGCCACACCCCTGCCCCCTTCTTTTTCTTTGCCCTAACTTATGCGTGAGCAAAATCATGTTAGCACTGATCTTCTGAGCTTTCTGCCCTTAACTGTTTGACTTGAAAACAAGGCTAGTGTGGTTCATTCTTTGCTGCTGCTTGGCATGGTCTGGATCTGGGAGTGGGAATCATGGGGCTGGGAATTAGACTGCATGCTCAAGTAGCTTTGGACTGTACCCTGCCATTGCCCCATCATGCTAGCCTAGGGATGAACAGTGGCAGGCTTAGTCCCTGTTCTGCCATTTGCCATGTCTCGTGGGCAAGAAGTCTTTACTTCCCTAGCCTCTGTTTTCTCACCTTTCAAGAGAACTGATGATGTATCCTTTGCATCCTTCACTGAGATGCTGCTGCTCTTAGTGATAACATTCATTCCCCACGGTGATTCTGCCAAACCCTTGCTCCAATCCTTCCTTTTGTGGTCTTTGAGCCCCAGCCACCCCCATACTTATATGTCCGTACATGCATACACAGTGCTAGAATTTTCTTGACCTAAAGATATGCCACTCCCTTAACCTTCCCGAATCAAAACTTCACTTGGCATCCCAAAGTGGTTGTTGAAGTGTTTTATTGAAAGCCCTGTTATTAAAACACACACACACACACACACTTGTTAGGTGGATTTAGTAGTCAGTGTATTTGTGGTACTGAGGAAGGGGAGTCTGACAGCAGCCTTGAGCTCTTCTCAGCCGAACAAAGGTGTACAGCACCGACAAGAGATGCCAAGATTTTGTACCCCGTTTACTAAATGACTGAGGTGCCAACTTTGCTCCTCTGAAGTCAAGTTGATGGTTCTGCTGTGTGAGCCAGACTGCCACCTGCTGTCCCTTCATGGTTCTGTTAAATGTGGAAAGAGGAAGAATAGCCCTGACCTTCAGAGGCGTCTATAGAAGAGCAGTGCTGGTTAATCAGAAATGATTTCACGGGTTCGGAGAGGGTTCCAGATCTCACAGGCCACCCTTGGCTGTATAGAGACCAGGGACCCCGAGGAAGGCCAGCACTCCTTCTGCTTGCGTTTTTCACTCTGTTGCCAAGATAGTTGATAAATTTGCCTGAAAATACTTTCCCTGGTTGGGTGGGAAGACAAGCCCTTCTGAAGACAGCACTGGACAACACTGTCCTGGAGAGAGGCTGGAGGCGGTGTCTGTGGTCATGGGCCACAGCAGGGAGTGGCTGGCACAGAAGTCAGGAGATGCTCATCCTGCCACGCCTGCCACAGTTAGGTCTTCATGATGTAGGGAGGCACTCAGCTATGGCATCGCCATGGTGGGGGAGAGGGCTCCCTGCTGTTCCTAGCCCACATGGGCCAGGTGGGCACCTATGACCTTTGGCCATTATTCCTGGTTTCCAGGATGTAATTTCTTTGTCCCCACCTCCAAGAAAAACGTAGTTGATAATCGTAGTTAACTGCCTAGGCAATTTTAGGCAAATTATATGAGTGTATTACATTTGATCTTCCAATAATTCGGAGCCAGTTTTCAGCTCTCTAAACCCCAGTTCCTCGTCTATAAGATGGGGTAAACATATTACCGACTTCAAAGGGTTGCTGCAAGGAGTAAATGAGTAAATGCATGTTATTTTCCTGGTACATGTAAATCGTAACCATTGCTAATACTTTCCTGCCACTTAAACTGTCTTCTGCAAACGTCAGTGTCTTTAGCTATAAATGGGAAATTGATCCCTTCCTCACAGGATTGATGTGACTTAAATGACAGAGTAACACTGTGACAGTCTATAATGTAAGGCACTTTCAAATGTTCTAATGAACACATGGAGTTGGCCTGCCTTAGAGGGAAATTGGAGCTGTTTGCTGGTGGGAAACTGGGCCAGCAGAGGGTTGTGGAGGATAGGGAAGAAGTGACCTCTGAGTTCCTGTGTGTAAGCCACACCAATTCTTGTGGGGCTGGGCCGGGCCTTCTCATCTGGGATTGTTTTAACTTCAAGGATCTGAGGCACCCCAGAATTTCTACATGGGTTCTGCTCATATTATTGCTCCTATAACAAAGTCTGCTGCCTTGGGCTGGGGTTGTGGCTCAGCAGCAGAGCACTTGCCTCACACGTATGGGGCACTGGGTTCAATCCTCAGCACCACATAAAAGTAAATAAATAAAATAAAAGTATTGTGTCCATTTACAACTAAAAAATATTAAAACAACAACAACAACAAAGTCTGCTGCCTCTTGGGATTCAGATTTGGAGTAGAGGAAGCTCCAAGATGTCGGGACCCTGGGGAGATGTGTGTATAACTGTGTGTGAGGGGTGTTTCCAGATGCAGCTGCCTTACCAGTGGACTCTGCTTTGTACACTGAAATGTTCCCCAAAGTTCCACCTTCAAGGATTTGGGACAAAATCAAGTAATTTTTTTTTTTTTTGTAGATCCCTGGCCAGCAGATGCCCATGACCAGGACCTGGACCTCTTGGGGAGTCTGGAGTTGATGCTCAGGAGATATCTCACCATGCCTCTGTGAAGGTCTGTGGGTCACACTGAGACCTCAGTTTGGTGGCCCCAATTCCTGCCTCCACACCTGCAAGTACATCATTGTCCCATGCAGCAGCTGCAGAGCTCAGCCTGTTTTATTTTACTTTATTTGTACCTGGAATTGAATACAGGGGCACTTTACCACAGAATCACATCCCCAACCCCTTTTTAAATGTTTTATTTTGAGGCAGAGTCTCTCTGAGTCTTCGGGGCCTTGCTAAGTTGCTGAGTTTGGTCTCGAGTTTGCAATCCTCCTGCCTCATCCTCCCAAGCTGCTAGGATTACAGGCATGTGGCTCTGCGTCCAGCCTGACTTTTTATTAGATGCAAAATTTCCTTTAGCTAGGAATTTTTAAAAAGAAACAAACAAGCAAACAAATTTTTCAGAAGTTCTTCAGCAGCAACAGTCTGAAGACATCACACACAGGCATGTTGATAGTTTCCTAAAAGGGTTTGATACATATTCCTATCCTGTTCTTGGTCTTTCTTTTTACTATCTCTCTCTCTCTCTCTCTCACACACACACACACACACACACACACCCTAGCAGCATCTAGGAAATGCTCCATCCTCCTGTTTCAGCCAGGCATGCTCTTGCCTCAGTCTCCTCCCTGCCCTTGGCCTTACTCGGCTCCTCCTGCTCAGCACCTGTAGGTCCGTGGGTTCTGAAGATCAGCCTGCTTCATTAGAAACAGGTCTGATCTGCAGAATAGGTGGAACTAACTCTTTTGTCTTGGTCTAAGTCTGGCTCATGCTGGACTCCTGAAGAGAAGAGACGAAGCATAGCAGGATGTCCACAGAGCCTGGGTGAACGGTACCAGGCACCCTGGAGGGTCTTTGGAAAATGGCATCTGAGGCTTTGTTCTCTTGTTCTTCCAGCAATCTCTGGAAGCAGGGACCATTAGCCCAGGATGAGCACAGGCCCGGGAGGTAATCCATCTGTAGTGAACTGCATCCCACACCAGAGGCTAACTTCTTAGAATGTCTCTGGAAGGTTCCCCTTGCAGTGAGTGTCACCGCAGAAGCTGAAGTGGCAGCACCCAGGCACCCAGAGGCAGCAGGAGCAGGGGGAGCCAGGCTGACGTGTCCGAGGCGCCGCCACAGTCCTGAGCGTTCTCCTGTGAACCCAGAGCAGAGGTGAAAGGGCAGTATCTACAGCAGAGGCACCTTCCCATCCAGAGGGGCAAGGATGGGCAGGGGTCTCTGGGACTAAAGGGACTCAAATCCTGAGAGAGAAGGAAGTTTCAGAAAGTAAAGCCGCCATCTTTCTTAGACCTTTCAGGGGAAAAGTAGAGGGTGCACACTCACTGGAAGCTGAGATCAGGTCTCCCGACCCTGTTGCTTAGGGGTTTCATGGTGGGTTCCTTATGTAGCATAATCGATGAAGTCATTGGCCACTGGTGGCAACTCCATCTCCAATCCCCATCCCTTGCCCAGAAGTCAGGGGATGCGGCTGAAGTCCCAACTCTCTAATATGCCTTGGTCTTTCTGGTGACCAGGCCCCATGCAGGACCTACGGGTCCCAGACACCAGTCATCTCATTAGAACACAAATCACTCTTATTCCAAAGGTCTTAGAAGCATTGTGTCAGGAACCCAGGGACTTAGGCCAAGTGTTGTGACAAAAGATGTCCTTCTCACTCATGTCACCCAGGAAGTTACAGGGGTTTTAGGAGTTCTGTGCCAGGAACTGTACAAAGACCCCTTGTTGTGTCCCCATTTCACATGATATAAATATGAATGCACAGGTATGAACACTTCCCAGTGAGATGCACGTGTACGGTTGTATTCATCAGTGTCCAGATATGCTGGCATCTACAAGAGCACACACACTTGGCAGAGAATGTGGGACAAAGACCAAAACCCATGCCACAGCCCACCCAGCCTCGCACCTCTGGATGAAAGGCATGGCAGGAATCTGGTCTCCGGCGGGGCTTCTGAGAGCGCATCCTGTTACACTTGACAGAGGCATTATGTATAGAACTCACAAGGTCAAGGTCAACTGCTCTGAACCCCTAGAAAAACCTGCCCCTGGTGGGCCCAGCTTCCAAGGATAGGGGAGGAAGGAAGGCTGGCCTCAGCCCTCAAAATCTGAGCCCTCAGTGACATCTGAGCCCACCCTCCCCATCCTACGTATCCTGGAGAATGGGAAGGATATATTTGACTTCTGTGGCCTTCTGCAGGACTGGTGGGAAGACACTGCAGTCACAGGTGGGATCTGTCACCAGCAGGAGCAGGTTGGTCTTGGGAATCTGCTGCATCACAAATATCCTGCAGCAAAGAGGGGGCGGAGGTCAAGGGCTTCCCCAGGCAGGCACTGCAGCCACCATGAGAAGGTCTCTGAGGAGAGAACTGGAGGCTCGGAGTGTGAAAGTAGGGGCACAGGGGAAGGGGCAGAAACGCATGTTGGATCCTGGGCGGAATAGCCCGGGACCAATGACCCAGCCCTACTGACTTACTTTACCATAGCTTTCAAAGTTACATCTATCCTTTCCTAGAAGATGGAGAAGGTGAGGAAGGAGTTGTTAATGTTTGCAGGGACACTAGGATGCTCCTGAACAGATCGGGCTGTAGGGCTACTCTTGCTTGGGGTATATGGGGAAGTGCAGTGCAAGGATGGGCCACTAGGTGGCACAATGCCACCGCACAGCTCAGGAGGTCTGAGGACAGAGGGGAATGACTGGGAAAGCCAGGTAGGCACAAGGTCCCAGGGCGTTACATAACAAGGACAACTGCTATTCACTGAGCATTTCCTAGGGGCCGGTGATGTCATACAGACACATTTGTATGAGTATATACACATATGTATATGCTTAGCCTTCACAGCACTCTGTGAGGTTTATATGGCCCTGTGTGGTAGAGGACAAAATGGAGCCTAGGAGAAGTGATTTTCCCAAGGTTTCACAGCGAGGGTGTAGCAGAGCCAGTTTTTAAACTCAAGTCTGTCTACTGGAAAGCACTTGCTTTACATATCCCCATCGACTCTGTCCCTACAGCAAAGCTTTGAGATAAATGCACAAAACAGAAATTGTTCCAAGAAAACTGCTTTGTGTGGTCAAAATCTTGCCTAACATTACGTAGTAGGAAGAGATGGAAACTGAATTTGTCAGAGGCCAACATACGAGGCTTTACACTACAATAGTTAGCTTGGGTCTGGCTGTCTAAGGGACAGCTGGGCGGTCCCTGGGGAACAGGAAGTCTAGCTTTCACAGCCTGGAGGAGGCCATTCCTCTGGCCCAGGGCAGAAATCCCTGGGGGTGTGTGGGGGTGTCCTCTGAGGTTTGGGAACAGAAAACCCACCCTCTGGTGGCCTCCCTGCCTTCTTGGGCCAGGGCTGGTGGGATCTAGGGGTCTTGACCCTGGAGCAAGACTGAGGGGCTCCTGCCCGGAGGCTCTGGCCTGGGGGTAGGACACACCACAGACAGGGACAGCAGTGGGAAGGCCAGTCTAGGACCCTCTTCTCTGCAAAGACATATTCTAGGGCAGACCTAGGTTTATTTGTTGCTTCTTTTTTCAGATCTGTGGCGTTGAGTGCATGGCCCCGCTGTGGGCTGACCTGTGCCTCAGCGTAAGGGATGAAGATTGCAGAGGTCACTGAGGGAGGCTGTGGAATCCTGGCTGTGGGGCCTCAGGCTGGGGGCTATCTTGCCAGGAGTGGGAGCTGGGGACAGGTCAAGCTGCCCAGGGGGTCTTACTTCTGGCAGGCCCCACACTCGATGATGCCGTTGGTCTCCTGGATGGCTGTCTGGTGCACAAACACGGGGTACTCTGTGTCGCAGGGATGCAGCAGCTCCTGCTTCTTATGCTTGTGGGCTGCAGTGGACAGAGGTGCCTCTGTGAGGAAGGGCCCCACAGCCTCCTGAGGGCCTTAACACCTCATGGGTGGCTGCAGAGGCCTCAACACTTCAACCACAGTGAGCCCCTACTCCTGGTCCATTGCAGATGCTCTCTGGATAGAAAGGTCTCGGGACTGTGCAGGACGGGGAGGTGGGGAGAACGGAGAATAATTGAAGCAGCCTGGGTGTCGGGGACCGTGGAACTCGGGTATGAGTGTCACACTAGCTCCTGACCTTGAGGAAGCCATATTCTCTCTTTGGAGGCCTACATCCTCATCATAAGCTGGGGGTGAGAAGTGCCCCATCTCAAAGGTTCCTGAGAGGGACCTGGTGCACCCCTGTTTTGCATCCTCTCCCCTCCAGGCACCGTCCCTCGTCCCTGCTGGAGGGCCCTGGGTGAGCAGAGGTCCTGCTAGGAGCAGCCTTAGTGAGGGGATGCCATACACACCCAGGGCCCACCCTCCTTCACGAGGCGAGGTGAAGCAGGAGGGGTGGCTTGGTGGGTGGATTGTGGTCCCTTCATTCTGAGACCTGACCCCTCCCTTGTGGACACACCTGTGTCCAACTCTCAGGTAGCTAAAACGCCATGCAAGGGCAGCTCCTAGACAGGCCAGGCCCTGCCGGCCCACCCCTGCTACCAGGCCCCAGCTCCTGCTACTGAGCAGTAAAGGGAGGGACAGATCTCTGCACCCAAGGCCACCTGAGCCTGGAGGCCCAGCTCCTGGATATTGGGGCTCCTTGGTGGATATCAGTTGAGTGTGAAGCCCCTTAGTTCACTAAGACAAGACAGGGGCCCTGGAGACTAGGCAGCTCCTGCAGAGGAGGGGAGAGCAGAGCAGGCCTGCGCAGGCCCAGAGCTGGAAGCAGCACTCCTATTTCTCTGTCACAGGCATTTCCTTTGCTTCTCAGACTAGGGGTGAAATAGGTGGGGCAGGTGGGTGGACACAGGTGGAGCTGGGACAGGGGCTCCTACTAAGGGTTAGCAGGAGGGCCGTTGGTCTCCCTAACTCCTGGACCCAGAAGTTTCCTCCAGACTTTGAAGCCAGTCGGCAAGGAGAAGAGTCCTCAGGGACCGGAAACATCCGCTCAGGCTCCTTCCTGAGCTGAACCTCCAAGGAGGGAGCTGGGTGGCCCTGGAAGTCTCTGGACCTGACTCTTCTCCTCCTGTGGGGTACTGACTCAGCGCTGGGCCTGTCTGCCTGTCACCTGAGCCACTTTGGTGGGTGAAGCGTGTCAGTGATAACACTGCTCACAGCCACAACAATAATAGGACGGGGCGGCTTCCCCAAGGTCACATTACTCCTGGCTGGCGCCTTAGGTTTCAGGAAAAGCTGTCCTGAAGAAGTGAAGCTCTGAGCAAGCAAAGGAAGGGACCGTCCTCAGCTTGCCAGATATCAGAGGTTGCATCCCCACCCCATAATGAGGTCCTCTGTTCTTGGCAGAGAGAAGAGGGAGCCGTTTCTAAATGGGCTGTGATACATGGTTCCTGGCTCCTGTCACCAATGTCAAGTGACTGTCCCCAGAGCGGTCCTGTTATGAGTGTGCCTGGGGCCTCCTAAAGCGGCCTGGAAACATGGCAGGGAACGTGGAAATGTGACCCCAGGTCAGAGGTCATCTCCTGGGCCAGAGGCAGCCAGCCCCAGGGGGCAGCAGGAAAGGGAGAGGGAGGAGCAAACCAGAGAGAGGACAGCCATGGACACTGTTCCTTATCACGAAGCTTAACGTTGAGAAAAAGACGGGGCGGGCTGAGGAGCTGCCCAGGCAACAGGGAAGTTCCAGAGCCCCCCGGAAAAGGTCCTTTTAACATGGACAAGTGGAGCGAATCCTGCTAACAGGAGGTGGCCTGTGTGGTCGGGGGAGCTCTGAGCCCCCCGAGGGACAGCACATCTGTCTGCTCTCACATTCAAGCTGGGCTCCTCCTCTCCTGGGCCATGGTGAGCGAGCCTCACACCAGGTGAGAGAAGCTCTTCCTCACTCTGTCAGGACCCTCTCACCATGCCACTGCCTCTGGGGGACTCTGTCCTCAGACACAAGGTCATGGGAAGGGTGTCATCCTCAGGGCCTCCTGGTGACCACTCTCTGGAACCCAGAGCACTGCTGAGGCTGATGGACCCTGGGCTGGAGTGCCTGGGGAGACCTGGTGGCCACCCAGCTGCACTTGGTCAGGGCCACTGGACCACACCCTCTTCTCCTCCTGGAGTCTCTTATGTTCCCTGCAGCAGGACCATGCTCTGTGGGATGAGATCTGGGTCCCCAGGAATGGTGCCTGCAACTGGCTAAGGGACTTGGGGTCCCCGAGTCAGGGGTGTCCCAGGATGAAGAGCACTCAGCCCTTCTTGGGATGGTTCCTGGGGTGTAGGGTTGAGGGCAGGCCCTTCTCCGCTCCCCAGCCCAAGTGGCCGCCAGGATCTGCCCAGATGATGCTACTTACAGTGATGGAAGACGGTTTTGGCTGTCCGGGGTGTGGGCCCGGCACAGGGTGGACATGGCACAGCACATGGCATGACGTCACACGAGGGCAGGATATCACAGGGTGGTGTGATGTCACATGGAGGGGTGGTGTCCCAAGATGATGTGGTGTCACACAGAGAGGTGAGGGACCCAGGGGTGAGGGGAGACGATGAGAGAAGGCCAGGCAAGATGAAATGATGAATGACGAATGCCTTAGAGCCGCGCCGCCCTCTCACCCACCCACGGCCAAAGGCGTCCAATGAGCTGACCAAAACCCACCTGCTACGCTGTCCTGTCCCGGTACTCACCCTCTGCCACTCTGTCATGCCAGGAGCCCCAGGCACTCCACTCCAGCAGGAGCCTGCCAGACACAAAACTGAGTCTTGGGGACCTACCCACCCTCCCCTCCTGGTCCCTGAGAGGGCTGGAGCTCTCTGGGTGAGCAGAGGTCCTGCTAGGAGCAGCCTTAGTGAGGGGATGCCATACACACCCAGGGCCCCGCCCTCCTTCACCTCCTCAGCAGCCTCTTGCTCAAAGGATTCCCACATGAGCTACACGCACATGAAGGCCTCTCCCAGCCCCCACCTCAAGCCCCACTCACAGCAAGAGCTCACTCATCAGCCACTTGGTTGCCATCAGCAGGGCAGAGATTGGCTGGAGTCGGGGAGAGAAAGGACACACCTTTTGCAGCAGGTCCAAGGGGAGAGCACTTGCTCCTCTCAGCTGCCCTTGGACCAGATCGGCGGCTACCTCAGCACCCTCCTGACCGACACCCCCTCCCCTCCTTGCAGAGGAAGCATCACAAAGCTGACTTAGGTGGGCATTGCCTTTGTGGGTCAGACATCTCTGGCAGGGTTAGAAGTGGCTTTCCATAAGGCTGGTCAAGTCTCACCCTGATGGGCTCGTTCACCAAGGATCCCTGAAGATTTTTGTGGAGCACTGGGCATTGAGGTGGGGGACAGACACTGTCTCTAAATAAAATATATAAAAAAGGCTGGGGACGTAGCTCAGTGGGTAAGGACCCTTGGGTCCAATCCCTGGTACCAAAAGGGGGAAAAATAAAGAGTTAGCCCTGGGGCCTGATGGCCTGCAGCTGCGTGGGAAGTGTCCAGGTGACCTCTTTGGAGGACAAGGCAGAGGATGTACATGTAGGGGAGAGAAGGTCACTCACGCTGACCAGGGGCTGGGCTGCGCTGTGGTGGTGATCCGGAAGCTTGCACATGGCCTGGTAGTCATACATAGTCACCCTGAAAATCAGAACCAAGGTGGACTGAGGCCAAGAACCCCTGCCACGCCCTGCCCCTGCTGGGGGTGGGGTGGGATGGGCATCGTCGAAGAAGAGCTTGCGTTCACCAGGATCCATGACGGTGCCTGAGTTAGGACAGCAGACATGGACTGGGCATGTTCTGAAACGCTGCCTTTGCACTTTAAATGGCTGCAAGAAAAGAGCAGCCCGTGGCTTGCTCCTTTAGCTGGATGGCTTTCCCTCTAGTGCTGAGCTGGGGATGGAGGGTCCCTCCTAGGAATGTCCACGTGGCCATATCCCCTTCTCTGCCTCATGTTGAGCCCCTGGATCCTGAAAAATTCCTTCTGGGACTCTTTGGAGTTGTCACTGAGGGTTTTGGAGTTCAGATGCCGAGATCTGGCTGGTTTGCTGAATATCGGCTCTGTGCCCCACTTACTGGTTGAACACCCCCATGTTGAGCAGCTGGGTCATGACAGCGCCGTCCACCTCCCCCAGAAATCTTCCCGTCTGTGAGGGAGAGAGAGAGAGAGAGAGGAGAGAAAGAGAGCAAGCAGATGAGCAAGCCCACTGAGCCACATCCCCAGCCCTAGTTTGTATTTTATTTATTTAGAGACAGGGCCTCACTGAATTGCCTAGTGCATCGCTGTTGCTGAGGCTGGCTTTGAACTCAGGATCCTCCTGCCTCAGCCTCCCAAGCTGCTGGGATTACAGGAATCTGCCACCGGACCCAGCTTGTCATTCATTTCTGGACTCCATAGACACAGCCTACCCTGACCCTGGTCCTCTCAGAGCTGCCCCCTTTACCCTGACTGTGCCCTCTCCCAGTCCCCAGTGTGCTGCCAGAACAGTCTCCTCAGACACAACCTGGGTTTTGTCACACTCTCCATTATCTAGGAAGGAAAGAAGGGAGGGAGGGATCCTCCCCTCTCCTCTCCCTCTCTCCTTTCAAATCAACCGTGTCTGGGGAGCACCCATGACGGTGGCCCCGCAGCACCCCCCCAGGGCAGCAAAGCCCCGGGGCTTTAGTTGAGAAGCCAGACTTGCCCCTGACCTCCAAACCCACCCCCAGTGCCTGGCTCCAGCCTTCTCTGGCCTCTGGATTCTGCTCTTCTCAGCATGGCAGGGTGGAAAGAGCTTGGTGGCTGGCCTTGGATTTGATTGGAATTCAGGTTTAGACTGGGAATAATGTGTGCCATACGGTGGCTCACAGTGAGTGGCAGCTGTCATTACATGAACGTGGGTGTGCCCAATGGGCCGTTCGTTGTCTCTGCCTCAATTACCCTTTCTCAGTCCTCTTATCAAGGAATTTTCCTTCTCTTCCTCCTCTGAGAAGCACTTCAGCAACATGTGGCTGCATGTCCTAGTTCTGTTGTCACCCTGCCTGGGGTATATCCGGTCATCTTAAGCCTCCATTGCATGGAAAACTGTTCGGGGTCAGGGTCCATGTCTCTCAGTTCCCCACGGTGCCTGGTACCTGGGCACAGTGTGGAACTTGGGCAGGGAAGGGAGGTGGGAGCCTGAGCCCATGGCCACATCAGGTTCTTGGCAGAGTGCTTTCTTGGCTCATGGGCCTGGCTGGCCTTCCCAGGCCTTTGTGAGGGGAGCACTTCCATGGGGTCACACTTTGGCTGGAGGTGACAGGAGATGGCTTGGAGGAGAAAACTGGGTCAACTGAAGGAGGGGCGAGAAGTGAGGAGGAGAGCAGGCCAGGCCGTGGCAGGACCCCCATCACACCTAGAGTCCCTGCTTCTGTGGAATTTCCTCCATAGCCAGCACACTCTATGAAACACCTAGAACAGTGACAGGTGTTATGGCTTCCGATACCAGGAAACTCCACCCTGGCACAGATGGAGGGGCTCGGGCCTGGCTGACCTCAAGGAGAGCCAGTACTGTCCAGGAACCCAGGCAGGGCCTGCGCTGCATAGCTGGGGAGCCTCCGGTAACCCTTCTTAAGGAACAAGATTAATTGGAAACAAAGGTCAGTGGGAATGCAGGGCTCCTGTGCACCAGCTCAGCAGAGAAATTCTCTTCCAAATAAGAGTTGCTGCTGCCATATTGGATGACAACCTCAGGGATGCTCCCTTAATGTTTAGCCTGCAAATGGGCCCACTTTGAAAACTGGGATAAGGTCAGGGAATGTCATTTTGTAAATTGGAAATAAATAAGAAAATATAGCCCTTGCATCCTACAGCCAGCCAGCCTGCTTGCCTGCCTTTCTTCCTTCCTTCCCTCCTTCCTTCCTTTCTTCTTCCCCTCTTTTTCTTTCTTCTCTTTATTTTCTTTCTTTTTCTTTTTTTGGTACTGGGTATTGAAGCCAGGGTGCTCTCCCACTGAGCTACTGTTCCAGCCATTTAATTTTTTTTTTTTTTTTTTTTAATTTTGGGACAGGGTCTCATTAAGTTACCCTGGCTGGTCTTGAACTTGCAATCCTCCTGCCTCAGCCTCCCAAATTGGGGAGACTACAGGTATGTGCTGCCATACCCAGTTTCTATGGTATTCTTTGTTTGGAAATAACTCACTTATAAAATTAACATGTAATGATACAAGCCACTAAAAATGAATGCCAAAATCATGATCTCAGAAACTGACAGGTTAATGACAGAAGCAAACAGGAGAAAAACTAGAGCTGGAGGCAAAGACTTGCCTGAGCTCTGCTGTCTCTTGGCCTGAATGCCTGACCACCTTTCAGTCACAAGATGCTTACTCATTAGGAGGGTACAATGCAAAAATGAAAGAAATGGACAATAACCAAGAGCACAGACCAGTTTGGACAGACAAGGGCACATTCGCTGTCATAGAGTACAGCTGATGACCAGTGCCTCTGGTGGTGGTATAAACAAGTGAGTGTCCTTTTGTTCAGATTAGGAGGCCTGACGGGGACAGGCATCACTGAAGAGGAAGTGGATAAAGCAGGGGACAGCAGAGAGGAATCAAGGGAATTCCAGGCCAGGGACAAACACATGGGAAGGCAAGAGGCATCCAAATCCTGCTGCTCTTCAAGATCCAGCAGTAAGGCCAGCTGAAGTTCTTCCTGATCCCTCCAGCTTGAGTGTCCTCTCAGCTGGGTTTGCTCTTTTCTACTCTAGATATTGTGTATGCATCGAACCTCCATCACTGGACAGCAAGATCCTAGGGGCAGAGACCCACCTCTGACCTCCCTCCCCAGCCTGCAGGGGCTTTATGTTTATTATCCATATTTGCTGAAGGAATGAGAGGGAATGAATGAATGACCTGAGTCTCCTGCTTCCTGGGACAGGGTAGTGGGGTGGAGACCAGGCTCCTGATGAGGCTGGCCAAAATTACTACAAGCCTATCTTAGTCTCTTTCCTAATTCTAGCCTTATTCATCAGTAACCAGTTGTTCAAACATTTTTTTCTGAGAAGCCAGGTCTCTGACCAATGTATCCTGGACATTGGAAAAAATGTATCCACCTCTGCAAATAAACAATTCTGTTTCCCAGAATATGTCATTCAGCAGAAGGTGTCCATTTTCTTCTCCTTATTTAGTAAGGTAGCCTGACTTTAACAATGCTAGCTATGTGCTCAGCTAAAAGAACTACATTTCCCAGAAGCCCCTGCACTGAGGTCTGGCCAATGGAACATGAGCAGTCACAAGAAGGACTTCCGGAATCCACTTAAAGGGAGAGGACTCTGCAGAGAGGCACCGCCCCCCACTGACCCAACCTCCCGGTTATACTCCCCTTTGTCTGGGAAATGGACTAGAAGACAGTACCTTCCCTAGCAATGTTGTCCTCTTGAGGGTGGGGACAGCTGGGGACTCCAGGAAGCCATGCTAGGAGCTTCATTGAGTCTTCTGAGAAGAATCAACCAGTGCTTTGCCTAAGCCACTGCAGTGGGGACTCTATTCTTGACTGCGGAACACACTTCCTAATTGGTGGTCTCTTTTCATTTTTGTTGGAGTGAATTAGTGCCACTTCAACTTTGGGTACCTTGCAATTCAGGACTTGGGGTGGAATATGGAGCTGCACCCACAGCACAACCCTGTAGAGGGGTCTGGCTGCCCAGTGGTGCCTCTTTCCCGGGGGTAACACATGCATAAGTCATAGTCCACGGGCTGATGCATCTAAAGGGCCTGGGGCTCCCTGAGTTTAAGTCTGCAGTGAGTCTGGGAGGGAGGTTGGGAGGGAGGTGAGGTCCTTTGAGGTACCACCCAGGAACCTGGAGCAGGAAGCAGATGGGCTCTAGGCAGCAAAGAAGCAGAACTAATTAGATTCCTGCTGGTTGGGTGGTTGCCCCTGGACCTGGGCTAATCTCCCTGTCGTGTGAGGCTGTTGCTCATATGTCCCCTGTCCCCAGGGAGAAAGGGTAGTCTCAACTCTAGTGATAGAATGGAAAAAATGCCACATGTCCTCCTTATACCCAGGGACAGCCTCAGTTTCTTCTTCAAAAATGGGGACAAGTATCCTCTTAAGGGGTGTGAGGGTCAGATGTGTCACCGCATGTGAAACTACTGTGCCTGGCTTCCACAGGGATTATTGTCCTTCACTCCCTTCCTCATCTGGCAGCTGAGCTGATCTTTAGAGTCCCTTGATAACTGCCTTGGGTCACCAGAGAGCCTGCCTCTGCCTAGTCGGGAGGTTGCAGGGTTTTACTTCTGAAGCACTCAGTGGGGCAGGGCCATTTGGGAAGCTGGGGGTAGGGGGGCGTGTGGGGGCTGCTGCTGAGTACAGGGGAGCCCCAAAGACTCAGAGGCGGTGGGGGGGCACTGTGGAACAGGGAAGAAGAGGGGGAGCCCAGGCCCAGGACAGGCACATCTGTGGTGGCAGAAGGTGCCAGGGAGGGAAGGAGGACAGCACAGTGCCTCTGAGAATTCAGGTCCCTCAGAGGAAGGTGCTGGAATGAAGCATCCCATTGTCTAGACTTTGTTGCCCTGTGAGGACTATTTTGAAAGCTCTGTGGATGAGTGTTGTTCGCAAACAAATGATAGGAATCTGAGTCCCCAGGCCCCGGTGACAGATCGCTGGAAGCATCATGATGCTTCACAGAGCCCCTGGCACTCCCCTGGCCCAGTCATGTGCCTCTGTCTCTAGACTCCAAATTGAGGGCTATAATCCTGTCAGTCCTGGTCCTTTAAAAAAAGAATGAGCCCTGAGCCTGGAGAGGCCTACTGATAGCCGGCCTGGAACTCCACCAGGAACAGGAGAGAGCCTCAAGTCACTCCTCTGGGCTGGTCGGCAGACTGCAGATGGCTGCCCTGGGACAGGAGCACCCAGGATGAGGAAGGGCTAGGCAGGACTTTAGGAAGGACTTTTGCGCCTAACGCAGCAACAGGCTTAGCTCCCCAAGCCCCTGATGGACCTTGGCAGGGACAAGGAGCAGCCTGAAACTCCTGGCACGTTACCCAGCCAGGAAGGCAGGAGCAGCCAGCCGAAAAGCCCCAGCCACAGCAGCTCGCAGCTGCCTGGGCACTGCTTCTGAAATCTAATCCCGCTCTGAATCACTCCCTGGTGAGCTCCTTAAAGCACAGATTGCCTGAACAAGTCCCTGGGTCTGGGGTGGGGCCCTCAGGCAAGCTCCCAGCCACTGATGCACTGTCTTCCAACCGTGCTCAGAGTTCCAGGGATAAGCGGGGAGGAATGGGGAGGAGGGAGTGAATTGAGGAGGGGCTTGTTTGTGTTTGGGGGTAGGGGCAGGTTTGGTAGGGGGTAGGAGTCTGTGGTGGAAGATTCTGAAATGGTTCACAGTGACCCCAGCTTCCTGGTAGTCGCGCCTGTACATGAGGTTCAGTGTACCCTGGACTTAGCAACTGACTTCTAGCTAATGGAAGATGGGAAAGTGATGAGATGTCATTTCTGAGATCATGTTTCAAAGGCCAGTGGCTCCTCTGTTGCAACCCCCCCCCCCCAATCAGGCTCATCCACTCGCTGCTCTGAATAAAGGGGCTGCTCTGTGGTGTAAGCTGCCCTGTGGAGGGACTTGCATGGCCCGGAGCTGAGAGGGCTTCAGGCTAACAACCTTGGGGGAACAGCAGCTGTGCAAGTGAGCTGAGGTGTCTCTGCCCCTGCCAGCGTCTCTTGAGGTGGGCCCCAGGGTTGGGCAGTGTCCTCTTCAGAGCCTAGCTGGGAGGTCCCTGCAGCCTTTAGATCAGGGGTTGGCCTATGAGGGCCCAAGGGGCAAACTTGGCTCACTGCTGGCTTATGTGGGTCCTTGATCTAAGAATGGTTTATTTTCAATGGTTCTTAAAAAATCAAAAGATTAATAACATTTCATGACACATGGAAATTATGTGAAATTTGAATTTCAGTGTCTAGGATAAGAGTTTATTGGAACAACGCCACATTCATTTGTTACGCGCAGCCTGTGGCTGCTGTCTCCCTGCACAAGCGGAGCTAAGTGGTCCCCAAACGTGAACTATCTGTCCCTTTACAGAGAACATCGCTGGTCGAGCACAGTCTCTGTGACGTGGCCCTCCTCTCCTTGCCACCCTTCCATCCCAATGTCCCAGCTTGGCTTCACCCTCTGAAACTCTTTAGGCCCAGGCTTGATCCTCGGGCCCTCGAAAGCCAGTACCACAGAACCTACACGGCCGCTCTGGATTGCCCAGGCAGCAGGGAGCAGAACATGAATGACTGAGGGCATCAGATGGTCCCGAGCCTTGTTCTAACCACTTGGTTTCGACTTCTGTCACCACCCATTTTTCTGTCAGAGCAAGTGGGAAATACTAAGATGGACTGGTGCTCAGGCTAGGGAAGAGCCCCGTGGCCAAAAAGAGGCATGAAAAAGAAAAGGGGAAAGAAGGGCAGGCAGAGGGAGGTGGCCAGGGGACCTCAAGGGCTAATGAGCAGCAGGGGTCCTGCGAAGCATCCCTATCATGGGCCCAGCCCCACCCCAGCCAGGGGAAAGCCAAGGAAACCACATTTCTCTCTACTACTCTTGCTGCTGAAGGTCATTTAAAAACTATCCTTAAGGAATCAGATTCCAAGACCCTTGGGCTTCTCCTCTTCCTCAGTTGCCACTTTTCTCAGTCTCCTTCGGATGTTCTGGCTCTGGTTCCTGCCATATCCTGACACCTTCTTTGGGCTTAAGCCCCCTTCCAGTGGGGCCAGACCGCTGCCTCGAGGGGCAGAGAGATGGCCTCAGCCCTAACCCGGGTCAGCAACATCTCCAATTCCTGCAGCTCTGCCAGTACCCAGCACCCAGAGTCAGGCTCAAGAGGACCATAGGCATTACCCTGATTTTTCTGAGGGGGAAACTGAGGCACAGATAATGGAAGTTGCTTGCCCAAATCATGTTTTGAATAAGTGGCAAACCCCGTGCTGAACCAAACACCATATCCCTTCCACTGAGGTTCAGTTAGAGGCCATTTGGATACTTCTGGGCTTGGTACAAGGAAATACTTCAGGTGAATATATTCAGATTTGGTTCAGGTTTGAATAGGCTTCTTTTTCAGTTTGATTCCTGAATAAATAAATATTTAATTTGGGGACCCAATTTGGGGCTCAGCAAATATGCCTTTGTGAACGCATGCAGGGTCCAGGGAGTGGTCCACGGCCACAGGGAGGATTGAGGGGTGCAAGACAGGCTGTTGGGCAAGAAAAGATCACGCCCATTTCCTTGCTTCCCCTGTAACAAATTAAGGGTCAGGTTTGATGTCTAGAATAGAATTTTCTAGAAAGGAAGTCCAGAAAGGAGAAGAATGCAGGGTGGAGAGGCCCAGTCCTTCTGGGGCCATGGTGGTGGAAAGGGTGGAGGAGGGATGGGGGATTGAGATGGTGAGCAGAGGGCTGCTTAGAACTGTGGATGGAGGACCCTCAGAAAACACGGTGCATGGGCTGGGGTGTGGGTCCGTGGGAGAGCGCTCACCTAGCACGTGTGAGGCCCTGGGTTTGATCCTCATCGCCTCATAAAAAATAAACAAATAAAATAAAGATACTGTGTCCATCTACAACTGAATAAAGAAAACATGGTGCAGTGCCGCCTGGCAGGCCCTGAGGCGTTTATTTATGAGCTGTCTCATCCCTGTGTGGTGGGAACACTTTCCCTCCTAACCAATGGAGGCCAGGTAAGCTACAGATGAAATAAAGAAGTAATATTTGCTCTGACCACCTGAGTGGGAAGTGTTCCAAGGGTTGTAATCTCACTGTGTTGACTCTGGGCTCAGGAGAACCGTGCCCTTCAGACCCTACACCCCAGTTCCCTCAGAGGCAGGGTCCATAGCCCTCTCTTGGGCTGAGGCGACTACTCGTGGTCTTGATTCTTCCTCCTGCCCTTTCTCCCCAGGTCTAGCTCCCCAGCAACCCACCTCCTGCGACCTCTCCGAGATCAGAATGAAGCCATTGTTGTCCACGACGAAGCAGTCCAGGTCCTGGGGGCAGTCCGGAAGGGAGGTCATGGCCGACCCTGCCACAGACCTCCTCCTCCTGCCCGTCCTTCGGGTTTGGGAAGGCTGGCTTTGGTGTTGGATGAAAAGATTACCCCTTTGAAGCCCAGCACTGCCGGGAAGGAAGGAGGGCACTCGGGACAGAGGGAAGCCAGCCCATGGAGGGCACCTGGGGAGGGCCACAGCTCCCACCCCACCCTCTTTACCTGGGAAGAACTTACACTGTCCCTGCAGCTCTTTGGGCATGGCTCACCCATAGCACTGCACTGGAAGGAAGAAGAGAAACTGCGAGTGGCAAACAGCTGTGTGTGTGTGTGTGTGTGTGTGTGTGTGTGTGTGTTGTACATATGTGGTGGGTGTGCGTGTGTGTGTGCATGGTAGGTATGTTTGTGAATATTGTATATGGTTCATTTGTGGTGTGTGGCTATATGGGGAGAGGTAGAAGTGTCTAAAGGATACTTGTGTGTGTGTGTGCATGTGTGTGTGCATGTCTATGTATGGTGTTTATTGTGAGGTGTGTGTATACAGTACGTGTGTTACGTGGAGGGTCTACGTGTGTGTGTGTGTATATGAGCATGCTGTGTGTGGTATATGTGTGCTATGTATGCATCGTATGTGTGTCTGTACGATACCGTGTGTGTGTGTGTGTGTGTGTGGCATGTGTGTTGTATATGGAGGGTGTACGTTTGGCATGTGTGGGGTGTGTGAGAGCATGCATGTGTGGTATACATGTGGTGCGTGCTGTGTGTGGTGTGTTTATTGCATGTAGAGGGTCTACGAGTGGCGTGTGTGTGGTGCGTAGGACGGTGTGTGTGTGGTAGGTGTGTGTGTGTGGTAGGTGTGTGTGTGGTAGGTGTGTGTGTGTGGTAGGTGTGTGTGTGGTGCGTAGGATGCTGTGTGTGTGGTAGGTGTGTGTATGTGGTAGGTGTGTGTGTGTGTGGTAGGTGTGTGTGCGTGGTAGGTGTGTGTGTGTGGTAGGTGTGTGTGTGTGGTAGGTGTGTGTGCGTGGTAGGTGTGTGTGTGGTAGGTGTGTGTGTGTGGTAGGTGTGTGTGTGTTTGGTAGGTGTGTGTGTGTGGTAGGTGTGTGTATGTGGAGCGTAGGACGGTGTGTGTGTGGTAGGTGTGTGTGTGTGGTAGGTGTGTGTGTGTGGTAGGTGTGTGGCACTGAGAAGCAGACCCTTGCTGGCTGGCAGCTGCCCAGGCCAGCGGGCAGGCTCTTCTAAGGTGGCCTTGGCCCCTGCAGCCCACAGGCTTCCTGTGCTTGGTGAGGGGAGAGGGTTGGTGGCATTGCTGGAAGCCTCCTGGGATGGCTCCATGTGGCCCTGGGTCCCTGGGTGGCTCTCCCCAAACTTGCCCAAGGTGGGCCACAGTAGCCAGTAAGTGGGGAGCAGAGGAGCCTCACACAGGAGGAATGGGTAAAGGCCGACTGGGGAGCCCAGAGAGGCTGAGGCCAGGTGCTCTGTGGGGCAGAGGGGAGGGCAGGTGGAGAGCAAGGCCAGCAGGCATCTGGCTTCTCAGGGGCCTAGACAGCAGTGGTTCTGGGCCTTGGAAGGGAGGAGGACAGCGCAGGGTGGGCAGGGCTGTGAGGCTCTGGGGCAGCAGAGGTGCCATGGTCTGCACTGGGAGAGAGCACTGGGGTGAGGAGGGACCAGAGGTGGAGGCCTGGCCTGCACATGGGGGAGCCACAGGGAGCAGAGAAGGAAGTATCCGGGAGACACCCCATGGTGGCTGAGGAAGGGTCCAGGTGGCAGGTGAGAAGCAGAGCCCTGCCTCACGGGAAAGCTTGTTGTGTCTTCTGTCCCTGACCTGGCCAGGAGCGGTCACCTACCTGCTCTGTGGCTGCCCAGAACTGGCGCTGGAGGAATTCCACCTTCATTTGGATTCCCACCGCTGCAGGGAGGCAGGAAGAAGGAGGGCAAGGCCAGGGGGGTGTTTTTGGGGAGGGGGTGGTGGGAGGGAAGAGAGAGTGAGAGAAAAAAATAGAATCAAGTTAGAGAAGACGCATCAGCAGGAACTGAGGGGGGGGGATAGCACCCGGGCAGGCAGGGAACGGATGGAGGGCTGAGTCAGACGGCAGAGTGCGAATCTGAGGCTCTTGGGGAGTGGGAGGGGTGGGGGGAGAAAAGAAGACAGGCTGGCAGTGTCTATCTTCCCATGGGAAGAACAATACCAGAATATGTCCCAAGAGGAGAGAGACGAGGCTCCAAGAGTCCAGAGAACAGTAGGGACAGACTTGTCCTCACGTCCCTGGGAACTTTACCCCCCCTTCTCACAGATGGAACAACGGAGGCCAGAGAGACCAAGGCCATTGTGCAAGATCAGGAGACCCAATGCGGCAAAGTGAGACTAGAATTCACGTCCATTCTATGTTGGGCACCTGACAAGGTTACTTAGATCTTACTCCTGGTTTGACAACCTCTTACATCTAATTCCTGCTCAGAATTTTCACCATATTGGATAAAAACTCTCCTTGCAGAAAATCCTGATCAGATTTACCCAGATCTGCAGGCAGTTCCCAGGAAACCAGAGATGCTGTCAGTGCACAAATATTACTCCTTTGATGACACCTTGTACCGGGGCCACCCCTGTCTCTTTGATTCCCAAGCCGGCTCGGAGAACCCAAGCAGCTGCTCACACAGTCAGAGAAATCCAGGACAAAGAGCTCCAGGAAAACTTGGGGCCAAAGAATAGACAGAAAAGTCAGGTTCTACTGAACAGAAAAAGAATTTAAAAAGTAGGACAACTTCTTGGTGTCTGGCATAACAATATAAAAATGACTTGGGTGCTTAGGATGCGTCAGACACTTTACAGGCATAAGCTTCTTTAATCCCTCCAGCAGACCTGGACTGTTACTCTGACTTTCCAAGCAGAGGAAACAGAGGTTTTTGCAGCAGTTATATCACTTGCCTGGGTCACCCAGCTAGAAAAGGACAGAACCAGGGCTCTAACCTGGGTCTGTCTCTAAGTTGTTTTTTTTTTTTTTTTTGATATCAGGGATTGAACCCAGGGACACTTAACTACTGAGTCATATCCCCAGCCTTTTAAAAATATTTTATTTAGAGACAGGGTCTCACTAAATTGCTTAGGGCCTTGCTCAGTTGCTGAGGCTGGCCTCAAACTCACAATCAGCCTCCCAAGCTGCTGGAATTACAGGCGGGCACCACCGTGCCCAGCTGTCCCTCGGGTTCTTGACCTCTCTACTCTCAGCACCTGGATTCCAGTCCTGACAGTCAAGACTGGGCTGCAGAGAACAGGCAAGCCTCTCTTCCACTCTGAGCTTTGTATTTCTCCTTTGTAAAGTGCACACGGATCTGGGTTCTCAACCATTATGCCACAAGCATGAGAAATTCTCAAGTGAACCCGGTGGCCATGGGAGAGATTTTCTATCACCATCATCCTGAGTTCCTCAGTACCCAGGTGGCTCTCCCACAGTGCACTAGGGTTCCAGTACTGCACAAGGTGCAGAGTTGCCTCAGTTTGATCTTCAGTCTGGAAAGAGTCCAGAGGAATATGATGGTGGGGTGGGGGAGAGGCCAGGCAAAGGTCAAGGGGCCAGAGTTCTAGGCTGAATTTTCCAGGCTTGTGATCTCTGGATTTGTTTCTCCAGGTGTAAAATGAGTCATGATTATTGTTACCCTAGAAAAGCAGAATGAGATCAAGTGAGATGATGGGTGGGTCCTCTATTCCAGACTGGAGCCTCGTTCTTCAAACTTCAGTGTGCATCAGAATCACCTGGAAGGTTTGCTATGCCCCATCTCAGAGTTGTCATTTGGGAGGTCTGGGGTCAGGGGGCGCTTGAGAATTTGCATTTCTAGAGTGTTCCCAGGTGATGCTGCACTGCAGCTCCTGCGACTATATTTTGGGAACTATATTTTGTTCAGAAGCATCCTTGTGTAATGGGGCTTTCTAAGATGATGGAGGTGCTGTCCCAAACGGGAGACAAGCTGCATTCCTAAGAACTTGAAATGTGTCTAGTGAGACCAAGGACGTGAATTTTTAAAATGTTATTTAATTTTAATTTATGTCTATGTAAGAAGCCACATGAAGTTGATGGCCATCTTGTTGGACAATGTGGTGCCAGAGCTAATCTGAATTTGCAGATGAAGAAACCAATGTCCTGAAAGGCCCCTCTGCTCCCTTGAATCCCAGGCAGTCTTGTGGCCGCTCCTGGCTAGCCAACTTGGACGGGTCCTGTGATGTGGGAGCATCTGAGTTCTTTAGGGACTTCTTTGTTGCTTCAAGGTCCAGGTGGCTGACAGGACTGGGCATGAAGGGATGGGGGACCCACTTGTTGGCTCATGGCAATGACAAAGGACGCAGATGGGGTACACCCCAGCAGGTGAGGGATGCTTGGGCCCTCCTGCCACTCACATGTCTCCCTAAGGCTGCAGCCCTCCCTCTCCTCTTGATGTTCGTTTGCACAGATTTCTTTCTCCTGTAGAAACAGGCTGAGTGAAAGATGATGACCCTTCCACACATTGTCAGAGGGGAATTGTACCAATGCTTAAAACAAGGAAGCATATTTGACCCCATCCTTGACTCCGTGGTCAAAGAGGTCGCAGATTATTCCTGGAATGAGACTCTGCCTTTATCCCCAGGTGGCTCAGGGCCAAGTCTTACGGAATCACGAGGTTTCTGAGCTGAAAGAAGTTGTATGACTTTAACACAAAGAGCCCGGAGAAGGTGGGGGCCAATTCTTCCCAAATGAAGGTCAGGTTTTGAGGGTTCATAGGCAGAAATGTGGGGAATGGAGCACAGAGCAGGTTCTCCCCACCAGGTTCCATTTCTTGAGCTGGACCATCAGCTCCAAAGCAAGCTCTGTGTCCTTGGCACCTGGGAAACCTTCACAAAATTCAGGACATTCCAACTGCCTCCTGACATGTTGTCTCCCCCCGGGTCACCCATGGGCATTTCAACCTTGACATGCTCAGAAACAAACTCCGGGCTTTCCTTCCAAGCCCTGGTCCTCCTTAGGACTTTGCATTTCAAAACACATTCTCAACCTAATCGTTTTCCCTCAGTTTACCCAAGTTCAGCTGACTGTGGTTCCAGAACCCTGTGTCCACCTCTCCCTACCTCCACTGTTACCACCGTTGGCCAAGCCAATCTCTCTCCTGCTTGGATTAATGCAATAGGCTTTTAAGAAGTCTCCCTCTTCCCACTCTGGCCTCTCCATGATCCACTCTCCACCTAGCCATGAGAGTGATCTTTCTGAAGATCAAATTGCACCACTCCTTTGCTTAAATGGCTTCCGTTGTCCCTAAAACAAAATCTAAACTACTGTGTAATGTGGTCTACAAGATCCTACATGCGCCAGCCTTGCCGGGCGGGGGCGGGGGGGTGTCTCTGATTTCAGCCTGAATCACTTTCTTCCTCAAACATGTTGACATTATTCCCACGCCAGGGCATTTGCATCAACTCTTCCTTTTCCTTGGAATGCCATTCCCCTTGAACTCTACATGGCTGGCTTCTTATCATCAGATCTGAGCTCAAACGTCATCTCCCGGCATAGCCCTCCCTGACCTCAGATAGAGCAGTACTTCCCTTCACCATTCATCCTCTGTCTTGTCATTCTTTTTATTTCTCAATGGCATAATTTATCTGTTTTTGTCTGTCTCACCTCCCATTGGAATGGAGCACACAGCAGGCAAAAAGGATCGAGTTCCTTCTGAGCACCTAGTATAATACCTGTCACATAGTGGGGATCCATATATATTTCTTGGGCTAAATACATAAAATCAAATTGAGTCACCTGCTTGACTGGAAGCAAAATTCTACTAGACTCACTGTCCCTTATCTCTGAGGTTCAGGACCTCCTTCCTCCCTGCTGAGCCCTGCCCTGTTGCTGATAATGGACTTGTCATCTTGAAGATTTAGCTGTGCTCAGAATTTCTTCTTGGAGGCAATCCACTATGAAATGGGAGATTTAAGTGAGACATGAAGAACAACTTCCTCCTGGTAAGAACTATAAGATGCTGAAAACAGGACTTGGTATAGAGGAGAGAAGATAGGGAAGATAATGATTAGGGAACATGGAAATCTCTTTGGCAATGGATCAGCTCTGCCATGCCCACGGGCGTGCACGCCTTCCCTTTAATGATTTCAAATTCTTCTTCTTTTTTTTGTACTAGAGATTGAATCCAAGGGCACTTAACCATCTACACCTCTTTTAACTTTTTGTCTTGAGGTAGGTTCTTGCTAAATTGCTTAGGGCCTTAAATTGCAGGAGCTGACCTCAAACCTTCCATCCTCCTGCCTCAGCCTCTAGTCATTTCAAATCCTTCTGTTCCAACCCTGCTTCACACCACATGGTGCTTTTCCTTCCCAGGCCCAGAGAGAGCTCAGTCCTCTGTCCTTGCTGAAGCCTCACCCGGGAAGAAGACCACCCTAGGAGCCTCCCGCTAGCCTGCAGGAGTTGGGCTGTTCCTGTGTTTGCAGAGGAGTGCAGAACTCTTGGTGAGGGAAAACAGGGAGTTCTAGACCTTTCCAGGTGGCTTCCCCCAGGGTGGTAGGAAGAGACCTTCTCTGAGCCTGTGCCTGGTGGCTCCTGTTTTAGACCTTGACCTTGACCTTGGTTCTCAGGGAATTGGCCATAGCCTGATAGAGGACAGATCCCAGCCTCCTGCCCCAGTCTGCCTGGATCCCCTCCCCGCCCAGCCTCCTGCCTTCCCTCTCTTGCTGTCTCTCCACGGTGCTGCTCTTGCGCCTCAGCCCTGCTTGCAACCTAGCAAATCACCTCAATAAGGCCATCGGCGGCAGACGACCTGTCAAGCTGTGCGTCTTTGCTCCACGTCCTGGCTGGCACTCAGTGCTTCTTCATCATGAGGACAGGAGAACAAAACAGCCCTACCCACACATGGGCATGACCCACACATGACCACACACGTGTATGCAGACATGACCACACACGGGTGCAGACATGACCACACACGGGTGCATACATGGTTCACATGTGCAGAATGACCCTTGTGGAGGGCCATGGTCTCCAAAAGTCAGAGACTTGCCCTCTTCCCTCCTGGCTCTTGCATCTGCTCTGAGCTTCATCCTCTTAACCCAGCCTGTGGGGTCAACTAGACCTGGGTGGTGGGGTGGGAGGGGCTCGCCTTCTATAACCCTGAGCCAGCAGGTGCACAGTGAATACCTGTGTCACAGAGTGCGGGGGCAGGGGCAGACCGAAGACCTCAGTCCACCTGCTCATTCCATAGGACAGGAATGAGAAGACCCAGGGCTGCGGAGCCAATCACCTAGCCAACAGCTACTGGACATTAAGAGCAGTTGATAAGGAGGTGCTGGCATGGACATGGACTGGGGAGGCAGGGTCCCTCTTCTGGAACAGGACACAATACAGGAAGGAGAAGAAACCACCCACAGAAAGCCACCTCACAACTTCCTCTCGATAACGTGGAAGCGGACCACAGTAAGGGGGGGAGAGGGGAAGAGAGATGTTCAGTAGGTTGGACAAAGGGAAATGAAGGGAAGGGAGGGGAGAGAGGGAAATGGAAGGCAGGGGGATGAATGTGAAGGTATTTTCTTGTGACTTATATGAATACACCATAGTGACTCCCACCATCACATATATCCACAAAAATGGGGTCCTAATTAGAATAAGATGTATTCCATGCTTGGATAATTATATCAGAGTGAATTCTACTGCATGTATAACTAAAAAGAACCCCAAAGAAAAAGAACAAAAGAGAAGGGTGGCCTGGAGAAAATGCCATAGATGAGAGAAGAAGGTTGAGACCTGTGAAATCAGCAGGGACACTTGGTAGCAGAGGTGACATTCTGGTTGAGGTTTTAAGAAAGGAGCTGCCCCTGGGCAGGAAGAGCACTGTAGCTCAGTGCTTTCCTGAGGTGGGGAGTTGGGGGCTGTTTGGGGGAGATGGGAGCCTGCCTTGCTTGAAGGGCAGGATGCCTGGGACACCTGTGCAGGGTGAGAGGCAGGGACTTCCCAGGAAGTGAAGGAGGTTCTCCACTCCTCCAAGGATAGTAGCCCTGTCTCTGCTTCCTGGAGTTACCTGACAGAGGGGACAGAAAAAAAAGGTGTAGGAGCATTGTGTGCGGCATCCTGAGTTAAGGAGGGTCTTTGACCCATAGCCCCAGTCCTAATGGTGAAACAAAAGAAGAGTATGGGGATACTCATATGCCCCATGCTGAGCCATCTGCTGGCCAGGAGGCTCTCAGAGAACTGGCAAGGTGTCACATGGGGGGTCCATGCTCCAGCTGGGAAGTAGGTCTTGGCTCCTCTTCTGGTTTAGTCCCTGCCTTACTTTGCCTTTAGATCAGCCGCCTTCCTCTTCTTGGAATATCAGTTTCTCTGACTTGCTTTGTCCTGATTGGTTAGGAGAGAGGCCTCTGAGCTCTTGAATTACCATCTATTCCCTTTGCAGGCCTCCCCCTTTTTGGATAAGAGCAAGAACTAGCTTCCACATATTGGAGAAAACATTCCACCGTTGGCTTTTTGAGTCTGGCTTAGTCCACTTAGCATGAAGCTAGCCCAAAATAAGGAGGAGAAAGAGAGAGAGAGAGAGAGGTTGGGGCGGGGGGAGAGAAAGGGTAAAGGGCAGGGGTGGGGGTTTCATCAAAAAAGAAGGAAGACCAGTGGACTAGATGAAGGGGACTGAGATTGGATAAGGAAAGAACAGAGGAATGAATCTCACTAACTTTCCTATGCACATACATGAATACACCACAGTGAATCTCACCATCATGTATATCCACAAGACACCAACCAAAAAGAAATAAATAAATCTAAAAGTAAATAGCAGAAAGATCAGTGGGAAAGGAACAGGGTAAGGAGGAGGGAGAGGAAAGGGGAAATACTGGGGACTGAATTTGGTCAAATTATATTCCATGCTTTTTAAATTCTGTCAAAATGAATCTGATTGTTAGGTATAGCCAGAAAGAAACAATAAAAAATATTAAAGAAATAAAGAGCAAGGACCCTTGAGGAGCAAGGTAAAAGGCCAGGGACTAAACTTGCCTCTGGTTCCCTGAATGCTCTGTCCAGCCAGTCCCCAAGGTCCCCAGCCTGCCTGCTCTGGTGTAGTCCTGGCCTGGGTGGACATAGCTTTGAAACTCTCTGACCTCTGTGTGGTCATATGACCTCTGGCTTTGTGGGGCTCAGCAGCCCACTGTGGAAGGCCCTCTGGTGCCTCAGAATCCCGGGGTACCCTCAGTGGTCCTCGCAGAATGAATCAGTCTTTGAGCGAAGGGGTGGGTTTTTCCTTCTCCCACAGGCAGATGGGAGACACTGCCCTGTTTGACTTTGAAACAGGAGACAGAACCAGCTTCGTAGGAGGCCTCAGGGACCAAAGTCAATCCACTGGTTCTGTCGTCTGGGTCTTGCCCCTCTTTCGCCAAATCAAAGGGGAAAGAGGAGGGACAGACAGAAGAAAGGAGCATCCAGGGACGAGGGACAGCCAGGAGGAGCCCTGGGAAGGAAAATGGAGGTACATGATAAAACAGCTTTCCTCCTCCCCGGAGTTGGAAATGATTAATCCACAGGCGCTTTTTTTTCCACTGAAATGTGAGCATTGCAAGGGTGAGCGCTGCCCTCGCGGCCGTGAGCGCCTGGGCGCGCGCGCCTGTGTGTGCCGCTGCCGCTGTCATCACAGATGTACCCCCCAGCTGTCACTCCATTGCTCCGGCTCTCTGCTCTGCGCACACGCGCGCGCTCTCCTCCCTCTCCCCTCACTTCCCCCTCTCTTATCTGTCTTCCTCCGTCCCTCCCTCTTTCCTTCTCAGTTTGTTATTGACCCAACAGCCCCATCCCCTCTCAACGCAGTGCGACCGGCACTCCGCCGCCGGTGCTGGGTGCTGCGTGCCAGCTCCCGGCTCCCGGACTCCGGGACTCTGCATCCGGAGCCCACCAGGCTCTGCTTGGCGCTCGTGTCTGGATTTAGAGCTACCTGATCTAAGGGGCTTAGGGTCCCAGTGAGGAAAGGTGAGTGGTGGGAAGGAATGGGGGTCATGGGGGGTGCATGTTGGTTGGGCATGCGAACTGGGGACCACCTTTGCTGGGTCTCTTGGCTCTGCACAATTAGCAGCGGGTGCCTCCTGCCTGGGGCACTTGCTGGGGCTGGGGAAGCTGCTCAGAACCAGACACCTAGGCATCCCAAAGGTACAGAACACTGGGAACTCTGACCCCACAGTGTTGGGGACTTGAGCTGTGCATTCTTCCAGAAAAGGGGGCAGGGGGGAAGGGAAAGGGGGAGGAGGGCAGTGCTAGTGCCAGATGACAACCCTGGGTGGCATAGAAACCGGTCCCTGCAGCACGAGGAGCAGCAGCCAAGAGCCTTGTGCTGTCTGCATGCCCGGTTCCTTACCGGCAGCCCCAGGGAACTTGAGTGCTATGGGAAGAGGGGTGGGACGGCAGTTAGGTGCTGGTGACAGGCTGGTAGAGGAAGTGGAGGGTAGCAGGGTGGAGGGCCACTCTGAGTGAGGCATGGGAATAGACCGCAGGACCAGTGCCCCTTTACAGGTTGCCTTGAGCCTTGGGTTTCTGGCCTTCAGGTGGCTGTCCTTGGACAAGGGTGCAAAGGGGGACTTCCCCAACTGGACACTAGTCCACGTAGGCATGGGTGAGGCCTCGCTGGTGGGGGTGTGGCTGGAAGTGGACAAGGGGGAGTGATCTTACAGCCCTTCCTTGCAAGCTTGGGTACTGCCTCTATCCCACCTGAGCGTCAGACAGGGAGCTGGCTGTGAGAACCCACCTGGAGTCCCATGGCTGCACGCCTGCCTTTTGCTGCAGAAAGATCAGGTGCCTTAGGAGGACTGTGTGCAGTCAGGCTGTGTCTACCTGGCTGCCTGGTTCTCAGAGGCATGGACACTCAGACTTGGAGCAGGACAGCGGTTCTCAGTACCCCTGAGGCCCATTTCAATACTGCTGGCTTCTGACCAGAAATCCGCAGTTCAAATCCCCGCATGGCAGATCTGGGGTTGGGTTCCAATTGGCTGCTCTGCCCCTCACCCCCAGCTGTCTGCATTTCTAGGGGTGGCAGTGGTGATGTTGGCACCAGGCTGTCAGGGCTTGTTGGGCATTGCCTCGTGTGACTCAGATTGACAGGGCTGCAGCTTAGATAACTACAGCAGGTGGGGGAGGGGAGGGAGCGGAACACGTGGTGAGGGGCGGGGGAAGTCCAGCTGGTAGGGAAACCCAGCAGCAGCTTAGGTGCCGCCAAGAAGAGCCCAGCTCTTCCCACCCCCACCTCTCCACTGGCAGAAAGTCTCTGGCACCACCAAAAGAGGGAGCCCAGGAAAGCCAGGCCTGGGGGCGGCAAGAGAAGGAGGGAGGTTTCTTAAGCAACCGATCTGGTTTCTTTGGGGTTTGGCTGGAAGCAGGGTCTGGGGCCCAGGGCAAGCCAACCCTGTTCCCATTTCCCAGGCACCAGGGCCAAGAGGCCACATGGGGGGCGGTGCTGTGGAGGAAGGGGTGGAGGAGGGGTGTTTATGCAATGACTGGGGGTGTTGGGGAGCTCTGTGGGTGGGGAGAGGAGGGGTCTGGTCAGAGGCAGTGTGTCCCCTCTATGGGTCTCCCTCCTTCTAACCCCAGGTCATATTTCCCCTGCCCCCTGCTTGGGGCCGCAGGCAGCCAATGGCAGGAGCTGGCTCTAGGGCTTCAATAGACTCCAGCTCATTCATCAGAGAGGAGAGGGGTGACTCAGGGGGCTTCCCGTTCCACTCCCCAGGGTGCCCTTTTGGGATAGAGAATTTTGACAAGGAAATGCTGGTGCAGGAAGCTGGGAGTGAGAAGGGGGCAGGTGTTCTGAAATGAACTAGGAAGGTCTGTATCTGTTCCAACTACAAATATAGAGATTGTTTTAGAACCAGCTTCCTTGCTGCCTGGGCAGTGTGTGTTAGGGGGTGATGGGCATGGAAGAGATCTGGAATGTTTCCTAGAAAGGCCTGATGGCCAGACAGGTGGCAGCAGCCTAAATGACACTTGCAGCTTCCCTACTGTCCCAACCATAGAGAAACACATGCCATCTCTGCACAGGGCTCAAGCCTGCTGCCCAGGCTCCCTTGCAGCCCTCTGGGGGATGGGCAGGACTGCCCTTGCAGGCTCATGGCCCTCTGCCTCTCACTAGCTCTGGAACCTCTGCCTCTGCAGAACAAAGGGTGTGGTGGAGGAGACTCTGAAGACCCTTTTTGCTCCTGAGTTCAGTGGGTCCCTTATTCTGAGGGGGTGCATAGGTCTTGTCCCAAGTCTTTGACATTTGACCCCTGATCTAGTGGCGATATCAGGGGAGGGAGGACACAGCAAGGCCCACACACTTCCCACTTCCCAAGAGACCCGTGGGGCACAATGACTGTATGACTTGGACACTTGCCTTGAGGATGATGACAGAGATGCTCAGAGAAAGGGCAAGGACACAAGGCCTGGGGTGAGTTGGTTGGTTTCTAGCTGTCTGAGCCAACCCCACCTGGAGGGTTACTTTTCATGTGTAGGAGAAATGAAAGGGGCTGGTGCACCCCTGCCACCCTAACCCTGTCCCTCTGCAGTGAATGAGTGCTGGCAGACTGCTCCAAGCTGGGGGAGGGGCAGTGGTGGTGGCTGAGGCAGGTGCTCCAGGGGGAAGCAGCTCCCGCCCTCCAAGTCTCCGGGATGCAGCAGCCCACTCAATCGGCTGGAGCACGTGGAGCCTTCTGCTTCTCCTGCTGCCTCACTACCTCCCCCAGCACTGGCGTCCCCCGAGCTTCCAGCCCACCCCCCACCCCCCACCTCAGCACCCAACCCTGGCCAGAAAGATCTTGGGCTCCCAGGACTTGTCACCACACCTGTGTCACTACTGAAAGAGGGGAGGTTGGCAGAGGAGATGTGGCTTGCATCTCAGTCCAGCAAGTCACAGAGCTTGTTTCTCCATGGAGAGGATGGGGACCCACTCAGCTCCACTGAGACAGAGGATAAGGAAATGCCAGGTAAACGGTAAAGTTCTGCACACATTTCCCTGTTCCTGTCTCTACCTTTCTCCACCAGAAGCCTCCACATGTGAGAGGTTGAAGAACAGGATGAACGTAGGAGCTTATAAGGGCAACTGAGTCAGTAACTTTGTCACCAGATGGCTCAGGCTCGGAGCGGTATTCTCCCATTTACCTAAGCTTAGGTAAATGTTTCCTCACACCTATCATGGGCTCAAGTCCACTTAATTTCCTGTGCCTCACTTTTCCCTATCTACAAAATGGTGTTAATGATAATAACCAGAGTTGTAAGAGCATTAAGAACTCTAGGTAGGTGTTTGCCTGTGGCCACTGTCTCTCTCTGGGCAAAGGCTTCTTGGAAGAGATACAAAAGTCAGAGCCCTGACCCTGGCCCAGGCCTGGTGGGTCCTCCAAGCTCACTAAGGCCCATGCTATTCCTGGCTGGTATCTGGCCCCAGTGACAGATCAGCATTATTTCCCAGGTGGCTGTTTGTCCCTGTCTGGGAGGTACCAGCCTAATACTCCTCAAACTTAAATATGCATACAAATTGCCTGGGATCTTGTTAAAATGCAGATTCTCATTCCATCTGCCTGGGTGGGATCTGAGATTCTGTATTTCTAGACTTCCAGGCTAGACTAACGCTGTAGATCCATGGAGCACACTTTGAGTAGCAAGGGGTTAGAGCCAAAGCCCCATGTTTCTTGGGGGATTTTGGGGTTTTCAGCCCCATATTCTCAAATCAGGAGCCTAGTGAGGGAGTCCCAGGGACCCTCCTGGGTCCCAGCCCCTTCCTTCTGGTCTGTCCCTGAGACAAAACCCAGGCGAGCAGTCAGAACAGGTCTAGTGAAACTGAAAGAAGGGGTCTTTCTGGCAGGACCCTAGTGCTTTTCTGTCCTCCATTCCCCACCCCAGGTTGGGACTCCCCTCAAAGGCTGTTAATTTATTCCAGCAGTCGGCCAGCACCTCCTGCTACAGCTGTTCTCCAGCCTTGCAATGTAGGTCACCCCTTTCCCGAGGAGACTCTGATCTTCTGGGGGCAGAAAGGGGTCCTTTGCTTGGAGGTGTGTGGGTGGGCAGAGGATTAAGGGTCTAGGAAATGCTAGTTCCCCCCATATTTCCCTGTGGGTTAGGAAGGCTCTGAAGCCCAGAAAAAAAGCTCAGGGACCCCAAAAGCAGGATCGACTACCTGGAGAGCACAGTGTGTGTCCTCATAGATCAGGGAGCTTGTTTAGATCACATTTCTCCAAAGCACACAAAGTGTCCTGCCACCTTGCCAGGCAGTGACAAGGGTCTGTGTTGTGAGACTTGCTTACCCTGGTTTGTGCATGGGCAACTGTTCAAGGCTGGGGATGGGGCATCAGACCCTGTACTTAAGGGCCCTTCTCCACTGAATGCCTCTTTGCAGGTCAACCCCAGGGCTCATTGGTTGGGGTGACCCTAAGTGGAGTCAGGTGGGAAAGAGGAGCCTGCTGGGGGAGGGCAGGAGCCTCAGGCAGAATCAGGACTGAGTGTATCGGGAGACTTTTCTCCACAGCCTGTTTCCCTCAGGAAATCAGAAGAAGGGGGACAGAAGCTGGACTGGGTCTCCAGCCCCCCATAAGGGGCTGTGCATGGAGAATGTCCTGGGTTAGGAACTGTCCTGGGCGGGGGAGGGGGGGTCTCTCCAGATCTTGCTTCCAGGCTGGCAGTGTCCCTGTACATCTGCCTGCTGAGGGCACTCAGGGAGGCATCTTGCTCTGCTGCCCAAGTGTTGGCATGAGGAGATGTGCTGGAACAGTGCCAGCCAGGCCTGCATATGTGTATGTGCGTGCATGTGTTTGGTCGCACATGTGCGTGCACCTGTGCAGGCATGCGTGTTAACACATGCCCAACCGCACTCTCTGTGTGTGTTTGCACCACGTGCTGTGGACGGAGCTTCAAACACGTGTCTGAGAGGCCTGTGGGTGCGCGGCCCACTCTGTGCACACATAAGCATCTCCCCGTGAGGGCCATTGCTGGGTGACAGTCACCAGGGAGTGGTTGAGCAGCCTGACTCAGAAGCCTGCAATCCAGTTCCTGACATACTATGTGACCTTGGGCAAGTTGGTCATCATGTCTGTACCTCAAGTGGCCACTGACCTGCCTACTATTTCACAGATGCTGCAAGGTTCTGCAAGGTTGAGTAGCAACCTTGAGGTGTTCTGAAGGGCAGGGCTTGAGGGACACAGTGGGGATGGGTACTGCCACCTGTGAAGGCAGGTCTGTGGTGTGAGCCTGCCACACATTCAGCATCACGTGACAGTGCACAGCCCCAGGACAAGCTCAGGCGCCCCATGCTTAGGAATAAGAAATAACTCAGAGTGTGAGGTTACTGGGACCAGGGAAGAGAGGTGTCCTGTGGACCTGCTGCTGACCCCTCCCAAAGAGGAAGTCATGTTTCCTCACACCCATCATGGCTCCAGTCCAAGGTGTTGTGTACTTAGTGTGTGTTAACTCTTAAATTCTACCCACTAAGTGTCATGGTCATGGCTTTTAGAGTTAAGGAAACAGAGATGTGTTGAGTGTAAGCAGTTTGTTTGAGGGAGTAGCCAGACGGGATTCACAGAGCCTCGGCACTTGTGCAACTGAGCCAGGAGCCTACAGGCACCTGCCCTGAGAGAGAGCAGCTGGAGAATGACAACCTGGCTGCTCCGCCTGTTGAGTGTACAGGACCCACCCAAAGAGCAGTGTGAGGACGAGCTGTCCCCACAGCCCACAGCAAGCTATAGGTGAGCCACTCTGCCAGCCTCTGCCCAGCCCTTCACAAACTGGTCCTCACTATATGGAGGAAGTGGGGGCAAAGACAAAGCCCAGACTGACACGGAGGGCTGCTAATTCCTGAGAAGCTGCCACGCTGCCAGGCCACACAAGCCACAGGCTATTCCGGAGGCCTCCTGAGGACCACCAGAGGGGGAAAGAGAATTAGGGGACAGGGTGGGGGGCGGGGAAAGGCAATAGGAGCCTCAGTGAGATCCTAATGCCTGAGGGGAACCCTCAGCATGCTTCCAAGTTGAGCTCGGCAAGCCAGCATCCTGACGGCTCCTTCCACCTCCTCGGCTATCATCTCCTCTGCCATTGGTTCTCAGGCTCCCAGAATTAAACCAGCCTACGGGAGGCGGGAGGGGGAGGCTGCAAACAGGAATTACCAAAGATGCTGAATTTGGCAAACAAGGAAGGTCAAACTTTGGGAGCCTGACACAACTGTGCCCTTTGGGCACCCAGAGGGGACTGGGGTGTTGGCACAGTCTTCACAGCCAAGCCCCATCCTGGTCCCTACCACCAGTTGGGAGATGTTCCTTCTGATGGGGCTAGCAGGGTGGAGGCTCTGGCCTCCCTTGTAACAGCTCTTGGCCACATCCAGAAGGAAGTGGGAATGCAGAGGAGGCCTGTGTTCCATTTAGGAGACACAGGGTTGGGGCAGACCCTAGAAAGGGTGACTGAGTGCCTCCTTTTCCCCCTAGAAGAGCAAGCTGCTCTCTGCACACCTGGCCTCTTCCCAGCCCTTGGTGATCTCACCCTCTCCTCCGTGGCCCTGTCTCTCCTGCGCCAGCAGCTGTTGCAGCATGAACCCCTGAGCTGATGAGTCTTATTATAGACTGGCTGGCAGAAGAGGGAGCATTGCAATTCCCCCTAAGGTGACTGTGGAAGCGGAAACAGGGCCACCCAACGGCTCTCACCTGACCTGCCAGCAGACACTGCAAAGGATCTGGCCTCTATCTCCCTGAGCCATGGTAAGTAGAGGTGGGGTGGGGTGGGGTGGGGGCACTGGTGAGACCCGGACTGGGGGGAGGGAAGCAAGCAGCGTAGGTGGGCACTGTACCCTGAAACCTCACCTAGGAGAGATGGGCCTCAGTTTCCCTACCTGTGATGTGGGAAAGCCCAGACAGAGGAGACCATATTGTAATGAAAACATCTTAGAGGTCACCATTCCAGAGAGGCATCAAGAAGAGGCAAGGAGAAGCTGGGTGGGGACATTGGGGAGGGAGTTCAGGTGGCAATTTCTGCATCCTGCAACCTGGAGCCAGGTCTGAGGGCTCTTAGGCAAGCCTAAGGCTGCCCTGCCCATCCCCCCAGGGAGTCGAACATTTCCTGCCTTCTCTCTTTCTGCTCCCCCTGTTCCTCTTCTTCCCCGCACCCAGGGAATCATAGCTAAGGGAACAGGAGAGGGAATGAGGAATGTAAAGAGACACCTGGGCCCTCTTCCTAACCTCTGGGTTGGAACGGGGCCTCGAACACCTGCCCCGCCCAGCTCTCTTTCTTTCTCTCAGGACTGACAGGCAGAGCACCCCGAGGGCTCCTCTCTCCCCAGAGCTGCAGGGCCTGGAGAGCCGTGGGGTTCACCATGCTGGCACCAGGTAATGGCTCTGAGCAGAGGACCAGGCTTGCCCTGCAGTGGAGGCAGGTCTCCTGTGAGTATGCCCCTGGCCACAGGGTGAGGGAACAATTGGGGCGGGGTGGGGGCTCAGCACAGCATGGAGGGAGACTTCTCAGGCTGCAGGGAGGTTGTAGACATACTTTCCCATGATGTCCAAGGCTCTGCACTGGGAAACCAGGCTCAGGCCTGTGATAATGGCATCTGGGGAAGTCAAGAAAAGAGCCACTCTGAGAGCTTTCGTGGCTGGACAGTTGGTCTTGTCTCCCTAGTTAGGTCTGTTGAATCCTTCCCAATGCTTTGGGTTCTCTGAGAGTAAATAAGAGAAGAGCTCTGTTGGAGAATGGTCAGGCTTTCTGAATTTTAAATAGCATGGATGGTGCCTGAGTGTGTCCAGACTGTGCCTGGAGTGGGAGTCTGCCCTAGCCCACCCCGAAGTCCCAACTCAGGCTGGGTCGTGATGTTTAATGGGGAACTGCTCTCCATAGTCACCAGCTGGATGGAGCTGGGGACACCTCTTAGGCTCTTTATGCCTCACTCAGTCCTTCCAACTCTAAATAGAGCAACTCCTGGGCTCTTGGGGTATGGTGTTGGAGGGGACCTTGGGGACTGGATCCATTATCCTGCACATAGGCACATTGAGGTGTAAATGTTAATGACAGCAATGCTCACAGGTTGTCAGGGGAAAAGAAAACCTGAGCATTTCTCTTCATCTGAGGGAAAGGGACAAGGTCAACAAGGCCTGGTTTGCCCCAGGCTACATGGTAAGAGGTAAGAAATGTCCCTGAGTGACATTATTCTGCCTGGCTTCTCCCTGCCTCAGTCAGCCTGTGATCCAGCTGCCCCACGACATGAGCAACCTGAATTATTCACCAGGCGAGAGTGGCTGATCCCTGAGCAACTCAGATCCCTTTTCAGCCTCGCTCTAGGGTCACTCAGCACCTCGCAATACAGGATTATGTTTTCTTGACATTAGAGCTTCTATGAGTTTCTGGGGTGGGGGTGGGGAAGGAAAGGAGCCGCTCTTTTCAAAACATTCCCACCTCGTCCTCCTGGTCCCTTCTCTGGGAGGGGGATCCTTATGTTCATCCGTCTGAGAGGGGAGCTTGAGGGGTTGAATATTTTTCCTCTGGGGAAACTAAAGTCTGAAGAGCGCTGATGTTCAAATGACATGGAGGGGGTGGGGTGCCGCAGGCTGACCTGGCCGCAGATGGGTTCAGAGAGGTGACAGGTGGGCAGTGACCTCATGTAGCCGACAGAGGTCTTCAGTTGGCTTCTGTGACCAAGCCAGGGCCCATTTCTCATCAAGAACAAAGAGGCTCAGGTGTCAGTCTTACAGAACGTCTCTGGGCTGTCACTGATCCTCAGTGGGGGACAGGCACATCCTGTTCCTTCAAGCTCTGCCCTTTGGGACACTGGATGACCTACCAGACAGAGACTCAAGACTGTCCCACCCAGGCACCCAGCTTGTGTGGCTGTTAGCTGTCTGGGTGGCACTGACCAGGCTACACACTAGGCCTGCACCTTGCCAGTTCTCTAGCTGGGGTCTTTCCTCTGGGCTCGGTGGAGCTGACCTCATGCAGCTGAACTATTTTGAGCTCATCCTTTTTTCCCTTCACTGTGAGCATATTTCTCTGATATTCAGGAGGACAGCTGGGGAGGTTTCAAGGTCACTGTTAGAAAGGACCGGCTCCACAATGGAATGGGATGTTCTGTTGGATTGTTCTCTGAGGATTGTTTCTCCCTGCTCTTCCACAAACCAGACCCCATACTTGCTACTCAAAGGCATCTTGGGCAAAAGATGGGATCATGAAAGGAATTCTGTCAATTGATCCATCATGCAGAAATGCTGCCCTGAGGCTGCTTGGAACAGAAACCCAGGCTAAGAGCATGGGTGGCTCTAGTATAAAAATAAGTCATGGAACCTGTCCTGGGTCCCATGACTTGTCAATGTTGCAGGGGGGTTGCACATCTTATCCTTGCCATTCCCACAATGCTCTCCAGAACAGGGACCTAGGTGGGCCTGGGTTCTAATCCTCCTACTGGCCCCATCTTGGTGTGTGATTCTGATAAATGGGAGAGCATTTGGGAAGTTGTAGGGGGCAGAGTTAGGAGTGCCCTCTTATTACCTGCCTTTCCATGCACAGAATATCTTAGCCTCCCTCATGCATTTCCAGGTTGGGGTGAAGTGCAGAGGAAAATGACCCAGCATGACTCTTGTCTTTTCGAAAGAGGGGAACAAAGGAGCAGGCTTCTCTGATATCCTCATATCTCTGCTCCCAAGGAAGTCAATCACTGTGGACCAGCATGGCTTGTCCTCTGGGCTCAGGCCTGTGAGTCGGCAGCATCACACTCCACTGAAGTGGCTTTTGTCTGATGTGCGGTGAGGCAAAGACCTGCTGGCATGGTGTGATGTCCATTAGCATACAAGTGTCTCTGGATTTGTTAATTAGCTTTTTGTGTGGTTAATAAATGTTTGCGTATTGGTTTTGGTTTGTGCCAAGGGAGATACAGCCAAGAGGCCATTATGATATGAACCAGGAAGGAGGGAACAGGAGCTGGAATCAACTCCTAGCCTGTTGCTTTTTCCCACCTGTCTGTTCTCCTCCCCAAAGGGATCACCTGCTGGATCGCCCTATATGCTGTGGAGGCCCTCCCCACCTGCCCTTTCTCCTGTAAGTGTGACAGCCGTAGCTTGGAGGTGGATTGCAGCGGCCTGGGTCTCACTGCTGTGCCTCCGGATGTGCCCGCTGCCACCCGAACCCTCCTGCTCTTGAACAATAAGCTGAGCGCCCTGCCAAGCTGGGCTTTTGCCAACCTGTCCAGCCTGCAGCGGTTGGACCTGTCCAACAACTTCCTGGACCAGCTGCCCCGCTCCATTTTTGAAGACCTGACGAATCTGACCGAGCTGCAGCTGCGCAATAACAGCATCAGGACCCTGGACAGGGATCTGCTGCAGCATTCCCCACTGCTGCGCCACCTGGACCTGTCCATCAACGGCCTGGCCCAGCTGCCCCCGGGGCTTTTTGATGGACTCCCGGCTCTGCGCTCCCTCTCCCTCCGCTCCAACCGCCTGCAGAACTTGGACCGACTGACGTTTGAGCCCCTGGCGAACCTGCAACTGCTGCAGGTTGGGGACAACCCCTGGGAGTGTGACTGTAACCTTCGAGAATTCAAACACTGGATGGAATGGTTCTCTTACCGAGGTGAGTGCAGCCCTCCCTGCTTGGGCAGGAGAGGCTCAAGGAAATCACCCCTGGCAGAGAGTCTTTCCTGGTGGCTGGGACGAGGTCTGGGGAAAGAACAGAGTGACCCTACCTCTCTGCCAGATAGGCTAGTCACAAGCATCACCTCCCATGTGCAAAGCCATTCCTCTCCCTACTGGTAAGTACAGGCTGCTGATCCCCCTCCCCCACTGCACCCCTTTCTTCTCTATGTCCCTCTGTGCTTCTGACCTTCATTTTTTTTTCTCACCATAATTGATCTCACTTTTGTAGGGTTAGTAAGGAAACTTTAAGACACAGGACACTTTCTGGGGGGCTCTATATCCCACCAGGTACGCTTCTGGGTTTCCTGGATGTGCTAAAAGGAACACAAAAACCTGCCCTTCTTTCCAATAAAACCACTGCCTCTGCAGTATCCACCTTTTACAGAAAGGTGAAATGTAACAAGCCTACAGACACAGCCAAATTGTCCTCTGGATGATGATGCCAGCTTCCTCTCCCATGAAATTTTGTTATCAAAACTGTTAATAAGAAGCCAAGGGGCTGGGGATGTGGCTCAAGCGGTAGCGCGCTCGCCTGGCATGCGTGCGGCTCGGGTTCGATCCTCAGCACCACGTACAAACAAAGATGTTGTGTCCGCCGAAAAAACAAAAAAAAAAAAATAAAATCCTCTCCTCTCTCTCCCTCCCCCCTCCCCTTTAAAAAAAAAAAAAAAAAAGAAGAAGCCAAGTGGGAGCTCGGGTGTAGCTCAGTATAGAGCACCTGCTGAGCATGTGTGAGGCTCTGGGTTCCATCCCTAGCATGCGGGGGAAAAAGCCGCATGGTTTTACTTTTTTTCCCTTCCACCTTTCTTTCTTTCTTCTCTTTGGAGGGTGGGGGGGAGTACTGGGGATTGAACTCAGGGGCACTTGACCACTGAGCCACATCCCCAGCTCTATTTTTATTTTATTTAGAGACAGGGTCTCATTGAGTTGTTGAGCACCTCGCCATTGCGAGGCTGGCTTTGAACCCACAAATCTCTTGTCTCAACCTCTGGAGCCACTAGGATCACAGGCATGCGCCAGCGTGCCCAGCCCTTCCGTCTTTCTTTAATCTGGGAAAATTTTGCAATGACCTACGAAATGATCAAATGAAATAATAAAATAAAAGGGAAAGGTGGGGGGGGCAAATAAGTAAGCACAATGGTTAAAGTGCCAGGCCTGGGTTTGAATTTTGACCCTGTCACCACGACCTGTGTGACCTTGAGAAAGTTGATTAATATCTCTGTGGCAGTGTATCATCTGTAACATGAGGAGAAAAGCAGTACCTATTTTATGGAATCATTGTGAAAAATTTAAAAAAGCAATGCATACAAAATGTCTTGAAAAGTGCCCAGCATACTCTCATTTATTTGCTCATTTGCTACTAGTACTGGTAAGATGCAATTTGGTACCCAGCTCAAAGTAGATGCTCAATGAATGTTTGCTGAATGAATCAACATTGAATTGTGTGAAAAGAATGCTAATGCTTTTCACCAGCCTTACTATTTGTATTTCCTATCCAGCCACTAACTCAATTATTCCTAAGCAGTTCTGACATGTTGGTTAATTAAAAACATTTTACAAACTATGGAGTGCAGTGAAATGTTAGTCACTATGATAATTTCTCCTGTTTTCATTAGTGGAGAAATAATGATTAATACTGTTGTATAGTTTCCAGTTTACAAATGTTTTTTTCATGTCCCTTATCTATCTTAATCTCTCTAGCAGCTTGAGATGGGTTCTTATTTTATAGCTAAGAAAATGAAAACTCAGATGTAATTAAGTTAAGCAATTTTCACAAGATGCAGCCAAGTTCCAACCTCAGGTCTCCTGAGCAGGAGAAAGAGGTGGCTCTACTCTTAGTCATCAGTTCATGTGCAGAGGTAGCACTCTGTGCACATTCACTGGACTTGAGTGACCCAGGGGGTTGGTGGCACGAAGGAGCTAGGTATCTGCACATCCAGACCAATGCGCCATCCTTAGGAAATGTCCTTGCCCTTTCACAAAGAAATCAGGAAGGGAATTCTCTGCACAAAAGGGCCTGGAATAGGAATGCACATTTTTCAGAATTTTTCAATAATTGAATTGTTTTCAACCTTGCACTCCTTCAAAAAATAAAAATAAATAAAGTAAAAATCCTGGGAAGTTTTCATCAGGGTCCTGGGGTAAGACTGATGTCTATGGAATAAGGAGACTTGTGGTGGTTGGGCTAGGAGAGGGAGCTGGCAGTGAGGGAGTGGCTGGAGCCCAAGCCCATTCAGCAGTCAGCAGGGTGTCTATTGCCTGCATCTAGATTTCACCGGAAGCTGAAAAGAGGCCAAAATCCAAGTTTCACTTCCCAGGGGACATCCAGGCAGCTTCATCTCCTTAGCTACTGTCCCTCGCATCTCACCCCGGCTCTGCGTTTACATTCCCTGTGGTCCTCTCTGCCTTCACTGCCCATCACCACCCACACAGCCTCATCAGCACCAGTCTCCCATCTCTGGGATTCCCTCCCAAGATGCTCTTGCACCAGAGTCATTGTGGGGGGACACTGGACTGTTCCTAACAAGGAACAGGGAAAACTTTCTTGCTCCCCATTTTTCTCCCTGCTCTCAGGAGGTAGTCTCCTGCATAGAGAATCAGGGGCTAAGGCTTTTGATTCTTGTCCCTTTTGTGAGAGGGAGGAACCCCCTGGAGGGATAAGACACTGTGTTGTGGGTTCCCAGATAGGCATGAGCAGGCAGATTCAGGGCTAGAGAAAGCAGAGCTGGGGTCTGGCTGGGACACTGACTCTCTTTCACTGACAGTTCTTTCCTGAGCATCTCCCCCAGTGGGCACTTTCTCCTATGGGTCAGGTTGACCCAGGAGAGGGCAGGCTTGAGGGAACTGGCTGTGAGCTTCTCTATAAAATGGGAATAATGATAATATCCATTTCCTGTGGCTTCTGCGGGGATGAGATGGCATGATATCTCTAACTCATCCACCGTGCTGCCTGGCTTGGTCAATGCTGATTTCTCTCCTCGCCTTCCTCTTCTATAGACAGTGATTCCAGGATTGACTGCTTTGCTTGAACTATAATCTGGGCCTTCCATATTGGGGTCCTGGGGATGGAGAGAGGGAGCCCAGGTTCCTAATATCTACTCAGACCTTCCTTTCTTCTCCACTGGATGCAGGGGGGCGCCTGGACCAGCTGGCTTGCACCCTACCCAAGGAACTGAGGGGGAAGGACATGCGTATGGTCCCCATGGAGATGTTCAACTACTGCTCCCAGCTGGAGGACGAGAACAGCTCAGCTGGGCTGGATGTTCCTGGGCCACCCTGCACTAAGGCCAGCCCAGAACCCGCTAAGCCCAAGCCTGGGGCTGAGCCTGAGCCAGAACCCAGTACAGCCTGCCCCCAGAAGCAGAGGTACCGGCCAGTGAGTGTGAGGCGAGCCATCGGCACAGTGATCATAGCGGGAGTCGTCTGCGGCATCGTCTGCATCATGATGGTGGTGGCTGCTGCCTATGGCTGCATCTACGCCTCCCTCATGGCCAAGTACCACCGGGAGCTCAAGAAGCGCCAGCCCCTGATGGGGGACCCTGAGGGCGAGCACGAAGACCAGAAGCAGATCTCTTCTGTGGCCTGAGAGCCCCCCACCTAGCCCAGGTAGGAAGGGCACGGAGAGCTCACCGGAGATGGCTCTGGAAAGGGCTGGCTCTTCCTCCCATCACGGTCCCTGCCTTGGCCTGACAATGGCCACTGCTTCCCCAGTGATATTCTCCTCCCCAGCCCTCCAGCAGCGCAGCCATGGGGTGGCCATCTCCATGATCTTCCAGGTCTCCTGGAAGCTGACATTGTGCTGAAGTCTCCTGCGCGTGCTCCTCTTAAGGCCACTGAATCTTTGGAATACTTGGGGGTGCTCCTTAAGCTTCTGGCCACGGGAAGAAAGAACATGTGTGCAAGAGGAGCCTTCTGGACTGAGCACGCCCGTCGCCCCTCCTGCCCCGGGGGTGGTCGCAGCTGGGTGACTCTCCTATCTCTTGCTCACTCCCACATCATCTGCACTTAGCGGGCAGGGAGGGAGTGATTTGGGAGCTAGGGGTAGATTTCTGTGACTCTTTTCTAATCCAGAAAGGTATTCTTAGCCCCTCTATAGTGTGAAAGCTGAGTCCTGCCTTCAGTGGCTAGTACTAACGCGCCGAGACACCAACCCTGTGATCTGGACACAGCACTTAAACACAACGCTGTGATTACAGCATCCTGCCCCAGCAGATGCCAATCTGTCCCTGTATCTGCTACAGATCACTCTGACCACCCTGCTCCAGGATTCACTGAAATTCCCTCACACACATTCACAGCATCACCAGCACAGTCTCGTGTATTGAAATCACACACACACACACAGTCACATGAAGACAGAGGCCATACCAGCTCAGGTGGCAGAGATAGGCTTCCCCCTCGGGTCTCTAACCCTGGGACCACAGAACTGCTGCTGGCCGCAGTCTTCTCAAATCAACGGGAGTGGGGGGAGGAACCCAAACCAATGACACAGGATTCCTTTGAGATCCCCTAAAGTGGGCCAAAGTGGTGCTGCTGAAGGAGCCTGCCGTCACCATGGTAACCTGCTCACACCTCTCCTGCTGGGTTTTCCAGGGACAAGGCCGAGAGGCCTGGAAGCTGCTGCATGTATGGACGGCAGCCTCCTGAGAGCCCAGCCACACACTGGGTGTTCCCTCACGAACTGTGAGTGCAGCCTCACTGCCAGGCCGGTGGGGACACCCACCAGTTCCATGCCTGCAGCCTCAGCACTGCTACTCCGCACCTCCCACCTGCTCCATCTCCAGCATCTTCCACCTGTGACCATGGGGCTGGGACTGGGCTGTGTTCTAGGATTGGTGGCCCCCCCTTAGGGAAAGCAGGTGGCAGGTAGACGGCACACAGACGGCATACTGGTCCTCTCTGAGGCTTGGCGACTGCCAACACCTCCCTGTAAGACTCCAGGACAAGGGACAGAATAGCTCTATTCTGTTTGGATCCCTCAAAGCGGGCTTCCTGTCTCAGGGGTTTGTCTATTCAGTCTGGCTCCTCAGAGCTTCGGATTGCCCCTAGACTAGGGTCTGAACTAGAGAGTGTGCCCGGGGTCCTGTCTGGGACAGACACACCTATTTCTGGGGCTGTGCAGGTTTTCAGGGTCTTTGTCCCCTGTTTGAGGCTTCCCTGTCCTTGGGAGGCTGGTGTGTGGTGAGTACCTAGGTCTCCCTCTACTGGACTCTGGCTTCCTCTTGCTCAAAGAGGACCAGGAAATGCCACGCTGGCTCCCGGCTCTACGATGGGGGTCCTGGTGTTGGCACTGGGGGAGGACAGCCCTGAAGGAAGGGTCCATGGAGGGTATCAGGGCAGGCTCAGCTTGCCTCCCGTTCCTCCTTACTCCAAGAGTGGGTGAGGGGTGTGGAGAGCCTTCGAGAAGGTCGTTCTCCAGCAGGTGGACAGAGAACACCTCAGCACGGGCATGGGCTGCTTATCAGATCACATGCCCACCCTGGCTGGGGGCACAGTCTTCCTTCCTCTCTTGACTTGCAGACTGACACCAGAGCTGGGGATTTTCTAAGGGAATGGGGGAGGGGAGGGCATTGTCAGTGGTGGTATCTTTAGCCTGAGACAGAAGATTTTTAAAGGCAAAATTATATTTCTGGTTTGTTGTTTCAGAAGACCAATAAAGACTGTATTTTCCTATGTACTTCCTGGTTTCATTGGGTGGGAAGGGGAGATGGGTGCTGGGAGACTTGCACCCTGCCCCCTCACCTCCCCAGGCAGTGGAACACAATGCTGAGGGACATCACCCTGATGCACAGGGCTCTAGGTGACAGATGGGTACCTCCCGCCCAGGGCCCAGGGCCCGGGGCCTCACGGCTTCACTGGGAGTCAAGCGGAGGCAGCATCTTGGGTTAGGAGGCGGCCGAGGGCGGCTAGCTCCCGGCAAGGCTGAGCTGGGATTTTAAGTCCGCCCACGCTCTGGCCTGAAGATCTGGCCGCAAGAGCCTCGGGGTAGCTTCACCGGGCAGCACCACAGCTTGTGGAGTGAAGAAGGTAAGCTGGAGACCCCGCAGTGGCTCTGTGCCCTGTGGGTGCTCATCCACCCTGGCTTGATGGAATTCGTCCTGGCAGTCAAGGTCAGATGGGCCTGTGTGGCAAGAGGCTTGTTTTTGCCCAGAGGATCCCTCTGTGTACCAGGAGGTGGGGAGGGCTCCTTTCAGGGACTTCTCTGCTGACTGGGTTTTATTTATTTTTATTTTTTTTGGTATCAGGGATTGAACCCAGGGGCGCTTACCACTGAGCCACAACCCCATCCCTTTTTTATATTTTATTTAGAGACAGGGTCTCGCTGAGTTCCTTAGGGACTCGGTAAGTTGCTGAGGCTGGCTTTGAACTCATGATCCTCCTACCTCAGCCTCTCGAGTTGCTGGCATTACAGGCATGAGCAACTGCGCCTGGCTGGATGATGGGGTTTTGTTAACTCACTGAGATTGACAGGATTTGCAGAAGCCCTGTTTAACCTGTTACCACCATCTTGGCTTTCTAGGAGTGAATTAAGCACTTATCAGATCACATGCCCACCCTGGCTGGGGGCACATCACACTCCAGACTTACAAGCATGGATCCTCCAGGGGACACAGCAGGTGGGGGTCAGAATTAGGCCTGGAAGGTTAGAGGCAGGGGACTGAGGAGAGGGCAAGAGTGGAAGAACAAGGCCTCTGGGATTGTTACTTGGCCAGTCAACTTCCTGGCTGCACTGGCCTCTGGCTGAGTGGGTCTGGGCTATATGGCACATCGGTCTTCAAAGACTAAGAGGGAATTTCCTCCTTCTGGGAACTTTCCTTGGATGGCAAGCCAGCAAGCTAGGAGCAAACCCCAGACAGAAGTGAACCATCAGGATCCCCTTCCCCGAAGTTCAGCTCTACTCTATGGCAGAACCGGGTGGCCCACCTTCCCTAGGAAGTGGTCAATGTGGGATGTTGCCCTCATCTAGCCCTAATCATTGTAGTGGACCTGAGACAGGTCTTCCGCTGTCCCGAGGAGAGGGCAAGGCTCCCAGGAGCCTTGCACATGTCTTTGTGATGCATGTTATTAAAATGTTGGAGTTTCCGGGGGTCTGAAGGCTAAGTCCATACTGAGGCCAAAGGACCCCTAAGGAAGGAGACATTGTGCATCTCCAGATAGCAGGAAAGGCCTCTGCACAGTATGTCTTGCAGGACACATTGGAAACCCAGCAGCAAGAAAAACACATTCTATATATCATGGCACCACTGTTGCTGTTATGACGCTTGACCATGTTCCTCAACTGGGGCTTCGAGGATGGGGGAGTGGAAAATGGAGACTTACCAAAAGCTGTCTTTTTAGAAATTTTGTATGAGCTGCAGATAAATCACTTGCTTAGGGATACAAGGACCCTCTTCATCCACCTGCCCTCCTGTATAGGCCCATGGCTTCATGAACGCCTTTCTCCTGTCTTCTCCCCCTGCTCAGTGCACAGATACCACAACGCAGCCCCCATTGCAGACACTGTGGTCACTCACTCCTGGAGTTCACATGCACTCAGGGCCACCAGCTTCTAGGGACAATGAATAAACCCTCTACCCCTCCTTGAGCAACAGGAACCAGCTGGCCCCGGGATCAGGGAGGCTGAGCCACACAGGTCAGGAGAGGAAATTACAAAATGAAATTAAAAATATATATATAACAAAACAAAACAAAAAAACCTGCAGTGTCAGTTCACCAGTGCCTCAGCCTTTCCCCATCACATCCGTGCAACCCAGAGCGTCAGAGCAATTGTCTGCAGCGAGTTAAACTAGAGGCACTGGGACATGGTTTCTATGGCAACCCCTCACGGCTCTAATTCAGCCCTGAGTTAAAAATGATATCAAATAATTGGAGAATGCAGGAAAGCACAGCCAGCAGCCAGGCCCCATGCCCTTTCTCCTTTCTAGGTCATTAGGGGTGGAGGAGCTGAGAAGGCCACATGTGTGGGGGAGTGCAGACACAAGCCCTGCTGGGGCCACAGGATGGTCTTTAGGGAGAAAAGTTTAGGTTTAACATTTGGTCTGGAAGTGGGTCTGGGACTTGTGTACCAGGGGCTACAGAAAGAAAGGTGCTGGACTGTCCTGAGTCCCTTCTGAGAGCCACAGTCAGGGACATGTCACAGACTACCAGTGATGCATGAATTTCCTTGTGACAACATGGAGCAATGTCAGAGTGAGCCTTTCTCTCCCTACCTCCTAGTCCAGAGTGGCAAGCAGCCTAGGACCTGACTCAGGACAGCCTTGCACCCTATGTGAGGCAGGAGGATGGATCCCAGTCTGCCCCTTGTGCTTTCTGCCCTGAATTCAGCCTGAGGACCAAATACACCAGCCCTACCTGCCCAGCCCCAGCCCCAGCCCCAGCGCTACCACAGGGGGCCTCCCACCTGGCCAGGTCAGACACTCCACATCCAGGCTGATGGAGCCTTGGTCGTCAATGCCAAAAGCACCGAGTGACCAATGGATCACACAACTTTTCAGAATACAGCTGAGTCAGGGACATGGGAGCTGAAACCATGGTCAGGAGGGTTTCATCACAGAGGCCAGATAATTCTAGATGAGGCAGAGACACCAAAGACTGTTTTAAACACCGGAAACAGCAGAGTCAGGAGAAGCTTGTCAAAGTCATTGGGTGCTCCCGTTCTATAAGTTGGGACAAATTCAGCATCACATAGTGATCTTGATCTTTAAAGACAGGCAGTCTGAGTTCAGATTCTAGCTTCATTAATTCTTAGCTGTGGGACTTTGGGCAAATAACTTTCTGTATCTCAGTTTCCTCATCTGTAAAATGGAGCCAAAAACATTGCTGTCATGAAGTCATCCTGAGGACTAAATGAGAAAGTGCTTGGGAGGAGGTTTCCATGGTGTCTGGTACGGATTGAGCATAACATTGAGCTTTGGGGATCTATTTCAAAAGCCCAGTCTTGGAACCCAAGGCATTGGAAGAGGGAAGCAACCTGTGAAATGTGAGAAGGAGGTCAGTGTTGCAGTCTCTGTGCTGTGTGACCTTCAGCACATCTCTTCACCTCTCTGGGCTTCATTTTACTTGCTTCATGAATTCTTTGAGGTCTCGTTTTATGGTTTTATGAACAAATGACTTAGGAAGATTCCATTTTCATCTTTCTCACATTTCACCTGGAAAAACTTACAGCTGGAGCCTAGTGCCCTGGCAGATCACACACAGGGTCTTCCTGCCATCACTGTGTAAATATTTCTTGCATTGTCACACAAATTTCTGGCCTCAGTGGCACCAAGGGCAGCTCTTACCTGCTGCAATGGCTGTCTTCTTGTCTACCGTCACAGTTACAGCGGTGCTGGCCGTAACTGCCACTGGTTCACCGGGGCCCTCTGGGGAAATGAAAATCAGCGAGTCATTTTCTTGGCACTCAGGGAGGAGCAGTGGGGTAGGCTGATCCCCTACCCTGACTTGGGTAGAAGAAAAATATACACACTCTGCTAGGACGTTGCGTGAATAATGGAGGCGGGGGTAGGGGGTGGGGGGTGGAGGGCTCCTGTGGTCTCTTGCTGTGACGGGAGATTGCCATTCACCACCTGTCTCTGCAGGGTACCTCCAAGGGTCACCTGTGAGCAGATCTGAACTTGCCAGATCAACATGTGGCCTCTGGCTGCCTGAATGATGGCATGCTATTGGTGTCACTATGACACAGTGGTATTTGCTCTGTCTCTGGCTGCTCGCTGCCCTCCTAAGCTCTGGGTAGCACCTGCTTAGGAACCCTGCCATGGCCCTTCCTCTCAGCACGTGTCCTCCTTGGAAGGCTTGACTTGCATCCAATGCTCCTTCTGAGTGAAGGGACAGGCTGTATTCTGGGACTGAGTGCTTGGTGATCCTGGGTTGTCCCTATGAGTCACCATGAGTCAGAGGTGATGCTGACAGTCCCGTTCAGGAGGCACAGTGCCTGGGATGAGCGACACAGATGGCATCTGGCACATGTGAGGTGCTCTGTAAATCTTGGTTAGTGGTGACCAAACTGCCACAACCATTCCCTGTCTTGTTACTGCATTTCTGGAACATTCTGCCAGTCTCTTGAAGGCAAGAGAGCTTTCCCTGTGTTGCTTTACCCACTTCTTTTAGAAGGCCACCACAGGTGTGGAATTTAGAGAGCAGCACCAGTTCTATATTAAAATAGAGCTTTCTGGCTCTGGGATGGGGGCAGCCACTATATGACTTTGGGCTTCTTAATTTTATCTGTCCACAACTCTGGACTGGCTTTCCAAAGCACTCTTTTTCTACAGGTTAAATTGCATTATTAAGAGTTCCAAGAACAGGCAAAATTTTATCACATGCTATCCTATTTTGTCAGAATGTCTTGGTAGCAAACACTGCCTCAAACAAACAGCTCCTGGGAGCCTCGGTGGAGGCTGTTACTGCAGCAGTGTCAGTTGTAATGGGACTTAACCACTGGTTTCTCGTATCTGCTATATTGTTACAATTACCCATCACACCTCTCTGTCACCAAATATCTCACAGAAATCTAAAATTATACTCTAATTCTAGGAACTTACAATACGCAAAGCTGTTCCTGATTCTGGAAATTGGCCATAACACAGTCAGAAGGATCCCAATAGACACAGAAGCCACCTTCCTCATCTTGCTTCTAGAAACATCTAGAAGACGCCAATATGCCTGACCCCCTACAGTATTCCCTGGGCTCTGCAGCTGGTTTTCTAGGAGAGAGTTTCTATTGATATACACTCTAGCCAGTATATGCTTGTAGGAAACACCCAGGTATGGGTGTGGTGGCCCTCACGACCCAGTCTCTGGGGACATCAGGAATATCATTGCCTGGGTCACAGTGGCTACCTGGTCTGTGCCTGGGTGAATAAGCAGGGTACCAAGTGCGGTGGGGTACCTGAGGCTGGCTCAGGGAGAGGTGGAACGTGGAAAGGGGGAGTACCAGGCCTGAGCTACCTGGGCACTGGTGGGACTGCTGGGGCCGGCAGCTTCTGCAGGCACTGGCTGCCAAAGGCAGCTCAATGTGGGCAGAGCTTAGCCCACCAGGCCCTGGGCAAAGGGTACCAGTGCCATCCTGGAGAGACAGGGAGCCTCTACTGCCCCTAAGCCAGCTCTTTCCTTCTCCTCTGCCTCCTCAGGGTTTCCCCACCCCGTTAGAATGAAATTGTTTTCTTTCTTTTGAGGGTGGATGGGCGTGTGCAGAGGTGTCCGTGTGCATGAGCCTGGCAAGTACACAAGGGTGTGAAGAGGGAGGGAGCTCCTCCTCCCCCGTCAGCAGTCCCCCTTTTTGGGTTGCCAGCTTCCCTCTTCTTATGGCTCAGCTCCCCACCCACCCACCCACCCACCCTCCTACCTCACCAACACATAAAGTTCCCTGATCAGCCAGCAGTCATAGTCACCTGGTGACAATGCAGGCAGGAGGGAGCCAGTCACCATGGCTAGGGGCAGGGCTCAGGGCCTCAATGAGAACCTCTCCTAGGGGAGCCCTTTGTGCAGGGCAGGGAGCTTTTCTCTGCTTTGGGGTGGGCACTGTGGAAAGGGGAACTTCACCTTGGCTTTGAGAACCTCCCTTAGGGGCTTGCACTGGGAAAAAAAAAAATTCCATGCCCTCTCTGCTCCCTGCCTTATATTCATTATGGTTAAAAGGCCTGGACTTTAGAGAGGCAGACCTGGGTTCTAGTCTGCTCTGTGGCTTCCTTGCTGTGTAATCTGGGGGTGATCACAGGGACCAGATTCTTTCCAAGTAAGACAAGGGATAATAGCAGCTCTTATTTCAAGGAGTTATACAGTTTGAATGAGTTGTGTGGGAAAGTGTTTTGTAAAGCACATTAGTTGCTGGTACATGGGTAGAGACAGCAGGCACAGGATGGAGAGGCAGGCACAGTGCAGGGTGAGGAGGCCTTCCGCACAGAGGCAGACTCCTTACTGGCCCCCTTCCCAATCTGCATCCCCCAGGAGAAGCCCCTGGGAACTTGGGCCTCCCTAGCCCTCAGCCCCAGGGCAGCTCTCATCATGAGGCCTGAGGATGGTTTTGGCAGGAGGGTGGTTGGAAGACCTTTGGTAAAAGGGTATCCTTGAGGGGAGATATGACACTGCTTTCTGAGGTGACTCCCAGTCCATCATCTCTTTCCATCTCCCTCTGCCTCCTACTCACCCCATCAGCACTGTGGAGAATTGCAGGCCCCTGGCTCCACTGTGCTGGGCTCAGCTTCTTAGCTGAACCAGGTGGAGAGCTTCTTCTGCCACAAACATGTAGGCTCCTGGACAAGCCCTTCAATCCCTTCCCCTCACTCCAGCCACACAATTTCTTCAAGTGACAATCAAAAGACTAAGGCAAGGCAGACTGTAAGGTCCTTCTTGGTTCTAAATATTTTGTGATTTTCTTAGTGTTTTGTGAAAGTCACTTAATTTTTCTCTTCTTGATCATTTTCCACAGGGGGCAGGGATGAGAGTTGGATATCAGCAGCTCTTAGACTCCACTTGGTCCTTGTAGAGACTTGTGACTTACTCTGTGAAGACCTGTCCTGGTTATTTTCCTTACATCCTGGGCACCTGCCTTGCTGCTCCTGGGTGATCCCAAGGGATAGACATCCAGTTGCTTCTTGTTTGTTTAGAAGGAGTTATGGTGGCCCTGTAGACTTGCTAAGTACAGCTGCTCTCCAGTGAGACAAAGGCTGGCACTTTCATTTGAGTAGTCTGAGGAACTTTCAAAGGCACTCAGATTTTTAGAAATAGAAGAATCTTAGTGATCAACCCATTTGATCTCATATTTGGAATTTGGGTTAGAATCCAACTCTCTTGACTTTTGGGTTAAATCTTTTTCTTTATTCCATGCTGGAGTTTTAAATGACCACTTTGACTCCTAGCCTGGGAATGACCAGCCCTACATTCTACACAGGGACCAAAGCAAGGGAAGACTCAGAGAGTTTTCTCAAGTTGTTAATGTGGGTCAGGAGGGAAGGTAGGAAGGAAACCCTGGTGATCTGGATGTTCTGTCCCATATTTCATTCCCATTTTCCACTAAGGGCACAGCAGAAGAAAAACATCCCCATCTTGGTCACAGCTCCAAAGCACACGGGTGTGGATTACCTGGTCCCTCTGCCCAGCGCAGATTGAAGACAAAGCTACCAGCAGGCTGCTCGGAGGCCTGGCGATACCACAGAGGGAAGTTGTTCATCGTGAACACACTGGTCTCATCATCAGGCATCAGGAACATCCTGTAAAGAGGAAGATTTGGCACTTCCTCCAAATCTGGGAATATATTTATCCCTCTTTCCTTTTTCCATACAAGGTCATCTTGGCTGAGCCAAGATAGCAATTCCTCTCTGTTTTGGCAGAGTTGCAGGTAGACGGAATGCAGTAGCCCCTAAATTGTATTGCTCCAGATACTATTCCCCAGCAAACCTGTCAGGAAGTAAAAACAATATCACATCTGATGGTCCATCAGTAACTAGAAGAAGCATGGGTTCTGTCCTAGGAGGACATATGCAGACTGTTTTGCCTGCAGGGTTTATTTCTTTTGAATACAGCTTAACTTCTTTTTCACTAACATGGCTGTACTGTCAACCATACAGTCAGTTCTATCACAGCACTAATAAGAGGGGCATACGTTACCCAAAAATGGTTACTTCAAAAGTTATTGCCTCTAGGTTTTTCAGAATGCTTTGGTTTCCTTTTTCTGAGCAGCTTTACCTTGCTAATTATGGCTTTGCATTCCCTGGACGCTCAGCAGCCTACAGAAGGGAGTGTTGGTCTAGAGCAGACTGGGAGGCTGGGAGAGGCTGGGTGGGGGTGGGAGATTCAAGTGGTTCTGGCTGATCCACAAGGTGGGGTATTGATATTTGATTTTGAGAATGACGGCTTTGTATATTCCAGAAGCAGATCTGCTTGGTTACACGGTTCCTGGGCTGCCAATCACACCACGGTCTAGGTCTAAGTGAAGGGAGTCCTTTAGGGATCGTGCAGTGCACCTGCAGCCCTTCGTGGTGATTGTGTCTGCAGGAGGCAAAGGTATTCTGCCACCTGGGGAAATCCTGTCTGTATTGAGAGCTCCTTTTTCCATTCTTAGATGCCCTTTAGAGGGGTGCCGGGAGTCATTGAGACAGCCAGCCGTTTTCCTCTTTCCAACTCGCTCAGAATGAGGGGAGTGGGAAGAGAAGGAAGGAGGAATGGAGAGGGAAGAGCAACTTAATTTGTTTTCCTAGAAAGCTTCAGCTTTGCTTAGCAAGTGTGGATTTGTCACAGAGTCCTGGAAGAAGCTCAAAGATGGCGCTTGGTGACTGAGTATGCTTGGAATTAGCAGGAGGAGCAGGGAGTGGGTGGGAAGCCGGATGAGGAGGTCAGGTTTCTGCGGTTCTCCGGGTACCTGGTGGCCCTCACCTGTCTGAGTCTCCTGGTTTGCAGAGCAGTAGGTGGCGCTGCTCCTTCACCTCCACTCCCACCCCTGCTCTGGGCTCCCACCCTCCTGGCGGTACCTGGGCCCCTGCAGACAAGGTTCTCCCAGAATCTGTCTTTTTTAGAGCAGAGTTTCTCAACCTTGGCACAGCTGACATTGGGAACCAGATAATTGTTGTAGGGGCCATCCTGTGCATTGCAGAATAATTAGCAGCATTTCTGGCTTCTACCTGGTAGGTGCTAGTAGCAAAATCCCTACCTCTCCTAGTTATGACAACCAAAAATATCTCCAGACATTGCTGAATGCCCCCTGCAGTGGGGGCAAAATCACACCCCCCAGCCCCCTATTGAAAATTACTGGCTTAGAATCTTAGCCTTCCATGACCCCCAGGGGTTCCATCTGGAAGTCCATCAGATTAGAGTTAGAATCTAATGATTTACTAAAAAAGTGGGCGGGGGGGGGCATAGATTGTTCAGAAAAGTGCCATAGTGAAGCACCATACATACTGGGCCCCAGGAACAGCCCCTCTCCCCTTAGGTGGGAAAAATGTTTACAAAGGAGGGGACACAGCCAGTGACTGTGTCCATCACACAGAGACTGGTCCTAGAGAGGAAAACAATTTTGGGTTTCCCAAGTTCAAGGGCATGGCTGCTTTCTTCCCTGACTGGACCACTTCTGTCCTCCAGGTGTGTCCAAGCTGGGGTAGAATAGTAACTCTTCATATTTTCTCAATGTGTAAATCTAACCCTTCTGCCCTTCCTGGACTCCCAGCTCCCAGCATATAGAAACCAAGTCTCTCCTCTGTCCAGCCATGTGCCATGGAACACCCTTGAATGTTGTCCTTTCCCACCCTGCAGGGATCATGTTCACTGGGGTGGCCAGCAGGACTCACCTGTCGGAGACCTTTTCGGAACCCACGAATAAGCTGCTTCTGAGGAGGCCAGCCCGGGTGCCCAGGAAGGCCACGTCCACTCCTTGCTCTGACTCACTGTGAGGCAAGCAAAGCAAGAGGAATGACCATGTAGATGCTGCTATAGTAGGTCCCCAAGAAGGTCACAGAGAGCTCAGGGAAGACCTTCAGGACTTTCTGGGCCTCTCCTAGCTTGTGCCCTGCTTGGCTTAGGGGGAACTTTGTAGGAAGGCTAAGTTCTTGGGTAGTTGCATGAGATGCCCTCGACCCTTGTCCCCCTGTTATATCAGGTCCCCCAGCTTCTAGGCAGCATTGTTCCTCTTTCGGTATTCCTTCTGAGCCTGTCTCGGCTCTGCCAAATCTGGCTCCTCTAGCTTTAGGAGAGTTGGGCCTGGAAAGCAGAGGAACCCGAAAGACAGATTTCATCTTGGGACCTATGGAATGGTAACTTCTCATGAGCAGCACATCCATAGCTTCTCTCAATTGAAAAGCCATTTCCACTTATTACCCATGAGATTGGAATATGAGGGAAGGAGGAGCAGGCACTGTCTCTATCCGCAAGAAGTCCCAGTGGCAATAGAATATTAAGCCACAAAGAAAAATGAAATCATGGCAATGGCTGGTAAATAGGTAGAACTGGAGACTATATGCTAAGTAAAATAAGCCTATGTCAAAAAACCAAAGGTCCAATGTTCTCTGTGATATGTGGATGCTAACACACAATAAGATGGGGGAGGGGAGGGAAGAATAGAAGTTCACTGGATTAGACAAAGGAGAATGAAGGGAAGGGAGGAGAAATGGGAAAAGGAGAGACAGTGGAACGAATCAGACATAACTTTCCTATAGTCACATATGAACACACCAACCAGTGAAACTCCACAACATGTACAACTACATGCATGGGAAGTTGTACTCCATGTATATATAATATGTCAAAATGCATTCTACTGTAATGTATAACTAAAAAGAACAAATAAAAAAAATCAAGGAAGAAAAGATTGGAAAAAAGAATGATCCATAAGGTGGCTCAATGGGATTAATTGTTTTCACAGTCTCAACACCATCAGGCAAAGAATGACAGCAGGAGCTTGAAAGGGAATGACCCAGGGTGGAGGCCATCACTTCTGACTCGGTCAATATTCTTGTTCTAAGCCCAACTTCTGGGCAGTGGTGACCCCATTTCTCTCTGGTGCCTGGATCTGTGGACTTCCTGAGCATCAAGGTGAACAATGCCAAAGCATCGCCAAGGGCAGCACTTTTCCTCGAGGCTAGGAGGTTGTGGGAAGAGGTGGCACCATGCAGTGTCCATGGATGGTAGGTATTTAGAACTGGATGGTCTCAAGTGTGGAAAGTCACTGAGTAGAAGGGTCTGGAAACTTCTCTCCCCGACCTCAGCGCTGCAGAGAAGGGCTCCTGCAGGTTTTTCCTGGGCATTTTGTGGGTCTTAAACATCACAGATAATAGTGTCTGGCAATAGACCCACTGAGTCAGGCCCTTGGGGTGTCTCCAGAAAGCATCCGGATGGCAGTCTGTATTCAAAAGTCTAATGAGCTCTTCACCCACAATTCAGTCTCAACAGTAATCAAGCCACGTTTCTTGTTTCATCTTAGCCCCTCCAACTGATGACATTATTTTGAAGAAAATCCCAGATATTTCATCAGTATTTTAATTTCTATCATTAAAATAAAAGACATTTTGAAAAAAACCTTCAATGTCATTATCATACCTTTTAAAAAATCCTATAATTTCTTTTCTTTTCTTTCTTTTCTTCTTCTTTTTTTTTTTTTTCTGGTAATGGGAATTGAACCCAGGGGCACTTCCCCACTGAGTCACATCCCCAGCCATTTTTGTTTTATTTACAGACAGGGTCTTGCTAAGTTGCTTAGGGCTTCACTAAGTTGCTGAGGTGACCTTGAATTTGCAATTCTCCTGCCTCAGCCTCCCAAGCCACTGAGATTACAAATGTGGGCCACCATGCCTGGCTCTGTAGCTTCTCAATATCATCAGATAATCCAATTGAAGTTTGGTTGAACCAGATTCTGACTATTGGTTGATCTCTCTCTTTAGTCATCAGTCTGTCTTTATTGAGATCTAATTCACATACCATACAATTTACCTAGTTCAAGTGTACAATTGAGTGCTTATGAAACCATTGCCGCTGTGAATTTTACAACATTTTCATCACCCCAAAAAGAAACTCCACACCCATTAGCAGTCCTCACTGTCTTTTAACCTGATTCCCTTTCTCTCTCCTTTCTCATTCTCTGCTTCTCTTTTCCTTGCAATTTCTTTTCTGAACAAACAAGGTCATTGTCTTGTGGAGTTTCTCACACTGTGGATTTGGCTGTGATGCTTTGGTGTTATTTAGCATGCTCTTCTGTACCTTGTACATCTTATAAGCTGGCACTTAGACTTGGGGTCCTGCTTAGATTCAGGTTTGAGCTTTTACAAGTTGCTATGGTTTGGAGAATGACCCTCAAAGGTCAAGATATTAAAGCCTTGATGCCCAGGGTGGCACTACTGGGAGGTTCTGTGGACCTTTAGGAGGTGGGATCTAGTGGGAGGACAGTTAGTCATTGGGGGTGTGTCTTTGAGGGGATTGTGGGGACCCTGTGTCTCTCTCTTTCTGCTTTCTGGCTCATTATATAAGAAGTTTGCTCTGCTATGATGTGCTGCCCTCACCAGAGGCCTAAAGCAATGGAGCTGCCTGATGAACTGGAACCCACCAAACCAAGAGCTAAATAAACCTTTTCTCTTTTAAATTAATTGGCTTGGGCATTTAATTATGGTAAGGGGAAGCGGATTCATACAAGTGGTGCACTCCCCATCCAGAGACACATATTATCTGATTGATAAAGGGTTGTATAATAGGTATACATCTTTATTTTTTCTATATTTTAGAAAAACTTCCCCTCATCAATGTTTGGTTGTCCTGCAGTACAATTTGTGTAGAGGCATAATGAATAATTGCTACTTTTTGTTTATTTACCAGTTTTTAAATGAGTTGTTTTCCTAACATCTTTCAAAGCTGACCTATGAGGTTCCTTTTCTTTCCCAGTATGATTATGAACACAAGGATCTGAACATATTCAATGTGTTTTAACCTACTATGGTTGCTCCTTTTGCTGCTCTCACTATCCCAATCTTAGCCTGTGAGGCCTCTTCACGTTGGCTCTGAGATCTTTTGGGGACAATCTCATTAGTCTTTGGTAATGGTTTACTTCTTAGCATGACAAGATGTTCTGGGTTCATTTATCTACTTAACTTCCCCTGTCCTGGAATCAGACATTTCTCCAAGGACTCATCTTTTTTTTTTTTTTTTTAAATGTTTTTTATTCCAAAACGCTCAGTTTTTAATCTTTGCAGAAGGAACTTCACTTTTATTTATTTTTTAAAGTTTCTTTTTAAAATTTGTTTTAATTAGTTATATATGACAGTAGAGTGCACTTTTATACTTTGATGTATCATACATAGATGGGATATAATTTCTCATTTTTCTGAGTATACATATTGTAGTATATCATATTGGTCATACAGTCACATACATACATACAGTAATAATGTCTGTTTCATTCTACTATTTTTCTTATCTCCACATCCCCTGCCTTCTCTCCAAGACTCATCTTAATGAGGTTCATCTTAATGAGGATTAGTGTTGAATCTAGTTTGGGGTTGGGGGCATTCACTGAGGCTAGTCCTTTCAGTGGAGAGATCTTTAGCAAGCATTTCAGGTAAAAGACAAAGATATTCTTTCTAATTCTCTAAGAGAAAACATGTCATGGGTTCAAATTGATATTTCCAATTCATATTTAACATTATATAAAACTTCTTTAATTTTAAAAATTTGCATCTCTTAAAGATAGCCTCTTCAACAAATGGTATTGGGAGAACTGGAAATCCATGTGCAGCAAAATGAAACTAAACCTGTCTCTCACCATGCACAAAACTCAAAGCAAAGTGGATCAAGGACCTAAGAATTAGACCAGAGTCCCTGCGCCTATTAGAGGAAAAAGTAGGCCCAAATCTTCATCACGTAGGATTAGGCCTCAACTTCCTCAACAAGACTCCTAAAGCACAATAAATAAAATCAAGAATTAATAAATGGGATGGATTAAAACTAAAAAGCTTCTTCTCAGCAAAAGAAACAATTGATGAGATGAAGAGAGAGCCTACAGAGTGGGAGCAAATTTTTGCCACATGCACATCAGAGAGAGCACTAATCTCCTGGACATATAAGGAACTCAAAAACCTTAACACCAAAAAAACAAACAACCCAATCAATAAATGACTAAGGAGCTGAACAGATACTCTCAGAAGAAGATATTCAATCGATCAACAAATATATGAAAAAATGTTCAACATCTCTAGTAATTAGAGAAATGCAAATCAAACAACTCTAAGATTTCATCTTATGCCAGTAAGAATGGCAGTTATCAAGAATACAACAACAATAAGTGTTGGCGAGGATGTGGGGGAAAAGGCACACTGGTACATTGCTGATGGGACTACAAATTGGTGCAACCAATCTGGAAAGAGTATGGAGAAAACTCGAAATGGAACCACCATTTGACCCAGCTATCCTACGCCTCAGTCTATACCCAAAGGACTTAAAATCAGCATACTATAGTAATGCAGCCACATCAATGTTCATAGCAGCTCAATTCCACAATAGCTAAACTATGGAAGCAACCTAGATGCCCTTCAATAGATGAATAGATAATGAAACTGTTGTGTGTGTGTGTGTGTGTGTGTATATATATATATATATATATATATATATATACACACACACACAATGGAATGTGTATATATATACTATCGAATATTATTCAGCATTGAAAGAGAATAAAATTATGGCATTTGCAGGTAAATGGTTGGAGTTGGAGAATATCATGTTAAGTGAAGTAAGCCAATCCTCCAAAACCAAAGACCCAATGTTCTCTCTGATAAGTGGATGCTGATCCATAATGGGGGCTGGGGCATGGGAAAAATGGAGGAACTTTGATTGAGCAAAGGGAAGGGAGGGGAAGGGAGGGGGTATAGGGGCAGGAAAGATGGTGGAATTAGATGGATATTATTCCCCTAGGTACATGTAAGACTGCACATATGGTGCGATGCTACATCAAGTACAACCAAAGGAAAAAAACTTGTGCTGCAATTGTGTACGATGAATGAAAATGCATTCTGCTATCATGTATAACTAATTATAATTAATTAATTAATTTAAAATTTGCATATCTTTTTTATTTTGCTGAAATTTTTCTAATGACAGCATATATAATAAAATTTGTCATACCCCCTATTTTGAATAACAATGCCAATACAATTTCTAACAATGTAATTACTTAACATAGTTTAAGATTTCATTTATTTAGTGTTTATAGTTCTAATGCCCCTTGAAAGACTTTCCCTGTGTAGTTATTTCATGAGCTTGATACATAATTAGGTTTATTAGTTTTATTTGATTTTTATATTTTAGATTATTTTTTAAAATACTTTTTGTTGTTGACAGACTTTTATTTTATTTATTTACATGTGGTGCTGAGAATTGAACCTAGTGCCTCACACACACCAGGTGAGCACTCTACCGCTGAGGCACAGCCTCAACCCCTAGATTAATTTTTAAATTTTAATGTTTTATAATTATATAAAGCTTTGCAGGGTTCCAAAGTCCAGATTAAAAATAAGACATATGCAGAGAAAATGTTCTATATATCTGTCCCCATGTTCTTTCACTCTTCCTATAGAAACATCTTGGTTGTTGTTGTTTTTTTTTTTTTTTTTTTGGTACCAGGGATTGAACCCAGGGGTACTTAACCACTGATCACATTTCCAGCCCTTTTTCAAATTTTATTAAAGACAGGGTCTCACTGAGTTGCTTAAGGCCTCACTATGTTGCTGAGGCTGGCTTTGAACTTACGATCCTCCTGCCCCAGCCTCCTGAGTCGCTGGGATTACACCACTGCACCCGACTTTCTACTTGGTTTTCCATTTCATTAAAAAATATGTTTGTGAAGAGTAGAGTGGTGGTTACCAAAGCCAGGGAGAGTTGTGGGGAAAGATGGGGAGAGGTTGGTCAGTGGGTATGAAGTTATAGTTAAGAGCACAAAGTTTTGGTGTACAATGGAGCAGTGGAGTGGCTACAGAAAACAGCAATGTGCTGTCCATTTCAAAAGTTAGAAGAAATGATTTTGAATATTTTAACCATAAGGCAAAGATAAGTATTTGAAGCAATGGATATTCAAACATTATGCAATGTATGTGTTTCAAAACATCACATGTTATTCCATAAATCTACAGTTTTTCTGTGTCAGTTCAAAAATAAATTTATCTCTGTGTGGTGGTGCGAACCTGTAATCCCAGTGATGTGGGAGACTGAACAAAAGAATCACAAGTTCAAGGCCAGCCTTAGCAACTTCGTGAAGCACTAAGCAAATTAGCAAGCAAGACCCTATCTCAAAATCAAAAATAAATAGGTCTGAGGATGTAGCTCAGTGGTAAAATGCCTCAGGGTTCAATCCCTAGTACAAAAAAATTAAATTTAAAAGTTTGAAAAAACAAATAAAACACAAACAAAAAATGAATATGTATATACCTACATGTCTATGTATACCTGTGTAGGTAATTCTGAAAAAATATTTTTATTTTTTCTCTTTAGATAAATGTTGGGGGGGATTAAGCACACCTTTTTCCTATCGCTAGAAATAATTCCATACAGCATATGGACAAATGTATCATTTCTTATAGTTGCATAGTAAGTATTCCATTGTGTGGATCTACCATAGTTTATTTAACTAGTGTTAAATAAACTGGTGTGCATTTAGGTTGTTTCCAATCTCTTATTCTATAAGTGGTACTTATGTGTACAACTTCTCATCTCTTTCAGTGTATTTTTGAGATAACTTCCTGTGTCTTTGGGATTGCTGGGTTATAAGCTAAATGTATACATAATTTTGCTAATTATCTCACACACAGTACATGCTGACAATCTTAGATGGTTATCTATTTAATGGATGAGAAGTACCACCTTGGTACAGGTTGAGTATTGTTCATTTATGTAAGGAATAAGTGCATTTTTTCTCTATGAACCATTAGTATGTCTTGACCACTTTTCCTATGCAATAGTTGGTCTTTCACTTCTCTATTTTTGAAGTTCTTTATTTATCATGAATATATAACATAACCAACACGTTATCTGTTTCATAATTGTAAATATTTTCCAGTTTGTCATTTCTCTTTTTACCTTGCTTATGTTTTTATTTTTGCCATACAAACATTTTTATGTTGTTAAATTTATTAGTCATTCCTTTATTGCTTCTGAATTTTGAGTCATTGATGGGAAAGATTTCCCCACTCCCAGGTTTTAGAGCAACTAGTTCATGTTTTCTTTTAGTACTTATATAGTTTCATTTTTTTTTATTTTTTACATTTAAATCTCTGAGTCACTTGGACTTCATCCAGGTGTATGGTACAAGAAAAGAACACAATTTTATCATTCTCCATATGGCTTTCAAACCAGTTATGAAAAAAACCCCATCTTCCCCTCACTGATTTGACGTGATGCTTTGTCATAGACTAAATTTCCACATGCATGCAGACGAATTTCTGAATTTTCTATTCTGTCCCCTGGGTCTGCCTGACGTTTTGCATGCCAGTACCACACTTCATACCCGTAGAGGCTTTGTAATATGTCTTAGTACCTTGGCAGGGCTGTTCTGGCTTCATTGCTTTATATTTTCCAGAGATTTTTTGCCTATTCTTGACCATTCTTCTAAATGAACTTTATAATCCATTTATCTGGATGCAGAAAAATATTGATGGCATTTCTATTGGGATTGCATTAAGTTTATAAATTAACTTGGGAGGATTAACATCTTTCTAATGTTGTGTCCTCCTATTCAAAAACACCGTATGTCTTTCCATGTGTTCAAGTCTACTTTTGTGTCTTTCAGGAGTGTTTCATAATTTTCTTTATATAGGTTTTTGGACAGTTCTTATAGTATATGCCTTATATATTCTTATACTCTTATAAATTTATTACATTTTATTTCTTGCTCTTTTAAATAAATTTGTCTTTGCACATTATGTCTTCTTTCATTTTTGAATGTTGATATTATAACCTGCTACTTTACTAAATTCTTTTGTTGGCCATGGTAGTTTTCCTGTTAACCCTTTTGGAGTTTCCAAGTGTATGATTTTGTTATCTTTATTGATTTTGCAGTGATGGGGACAGAACCCAGGGACCCGTGCATATTAAGTAAGCACTCTACCACTGAGCTACATCTCCAGTCCTAATCGTATCATCTTTAAATAGAGATGATTCTACCTCTTCCTTTCTAGCCCTCATTGCCTCTAAGTGCTTTCTCTTGTCTGATGGCACCTTCTGACCTTGTGGCTCAGGGTGGGGGAAGGCCTCCTTTCTCTTGTTTTCCTCTTCAGTGAGAGAGCCTCAAGCCCTATTAACATTCTGACTTTAATCGTAGGCCCACTTTGTTTTTATCAAGTATTTTTTGAAACCATGAATGGATACTATTACTTGTTCAAATCCCTTTCCTGCATCTACAGAGGCAGTTGTATCATCTTTCTCCTTAGCTTTATATTATTTTATATTCATTTCCCAGGTCATCTTTCCTAACGCACAACCTGGCTAAGAACATTTGCTCCTCAATGTTTCTCAATGTTAAAAAATATCTGTGATTCATCTCTGAACTTGGAAAGAGGAAGATCATGTTCCTCCTCTCCAAACGTAGGGGTCCAGCCTTTTGCAGAAGGGCCTGGTTGCTGGATTCCCGCTGGGTTGTTTATGAGGTGTAATACCCTGGGTAAGCTGCTCAGTATGACCATGCCTGTGAAATGAGAGTAATGATAGCAGCTATATCACAGGCTTGCTGTGAGGAGCAAATGGATTCATAAACAGGAAGTTCTTAGTGCTTGGGCTACTGAATTATTTTTCTTTATCTATTTCAGGTTTAATTTTGTATAGAACTTATATCTACATGATTCAAAATTATACCCAAAAAGTTATAGGGTCAAAAGTGCTCTTTCCAACCATGTTTTACTTACCTATTTGTAATCAGACACCGAAGGATCTAGGAAACACTGAGGTCAAGTTCATGGATGCTGTGACCTTACTTACTGGAAACAAAGCTCCGACCCATTTGAACTGCTCTTACCAGGGCACTTTAGCTAATGAGGTCTGATGGCTAGACTCCAATCTAGAGAGAGGGGTTCTTGGAATGGGGGCTGTCCTGGGGTAGGGATACCAATCTGTGTCTCGAGGGACCTGAACTCAGTGTTTTTTCAAAGTTAGGAGCAGGCAGCAGCGTGGGCTGTGCGTGGAAGCTGTGCCGAGCCCCTGCCTTCCTGAGGCTGTGCGAAGGTCGTTCTCACCCCACACCCCTCCCCACGTGTCCCTGTCCTCATCATCGTTCATGTTCATCTTGGGCCAGAGGGTGTGGGTGCTCCTGAGCTGCCAGCCAGGTGGTAGGAGGGGCCCTGACTCAGCCAAGGGAAAGATGGGGGCCTGCAACAGGCCTGGCTGCGTTTCCTCCTGCGAACTGTCAGCCTCTCCTGGTACCTACTCAGAGATGTTGAGAGCCAACGCTGTCCAGTAGGCTTCCATGGGGGCTGTCACCACCGCGTCAAACAGCACCTCCCGCACCAGCTCTTCATCACCTGGGGGCAAAGCCAAAGGAAACCAAGCCACTTGAGGCCCCCTGATTACGACCTCAGCTCACATGCCCTTCTAAAGTTCAGGGAGCAAGATGTACCTCGTGAACACGCATCTGGGATGCATGAGTTTGAGGAAGTTAAATCACCTCTTTCAGCTTTCTAGTCTTCAACTCCAAAACAGATGTTAGCAGAACAGAATAATGTCGAAGGTTCTTTCTAATATGGACATTCTATGAAGTTAGGAGACTCTCTCAATGACATCAGGTTGGTATCTGACCCCTGTCCCCTCCCATCCCCCATCCTCCATCTGCTCCTTGACTGGAAGGACACCTTGGCCTTTTATCAGTCTGTGAACTTGACCTTGCCAAGCTCTTTCCTGTCTAAGCACCTCTGTATATTCTGTTCCCTTGGCCTGACTCTGCATGGGCTGCTCTTTCTTTTCCTCTCTTTTAAAATGTTATTTTTATTGACATGAAATTCACATAGTGCAAAACTAACCAATTGATAGTGTGTGATCCAGTGGTGTTCAGTACGTCCACAATGTTGTACAACCACCATCTCTATCTAGTTCCATATATTTTTGTCACCCCCAAAGGAACTCCTACTAAGATACTCAGGGGCTCTTTTTCATTCTTAGCCTAAGTGACACTGCCTGACAAGGTGGTCTGCCTTGCCTGTCCATTTAAACAGGCCCTGTTTCTCTCCATGCAATACCCTATTCAAGGTGCATATCATGATTCTAACAACTTAAATTCTACATACGTGTGCCTAGTAGTTTAATGTCTGGTTTTGCCACTAGATTAAGCTCTGTGACAGCAGTGGCCTTGCCTGGGTTGTCTCTGTAACTTTAACACCTCCCTCGGAGCCTGACACAAGGTGCAGGCTCCATTCAGATTTCTTTAATGGAATGAGTGAATGAGCAAATAAAGAAACTGGTGGGCTGGCTTGAGAGGCAGATGGGGAGACACCTAGGTAGCAGAATGACCAGGCAAGAGGACAGAGGAGCCTGCTGAAAGTGTGGCCCAGTGAGCTCTCCAGCTGCCTTTGTGCAGGGGAACTTCAGGTTGGTCCTCAGACTTAGAGGCTCAGAAAACGCCTGTGGGCCATGGGCTTTATGCACCCACCATCTGGCCAAATGTTCTTCTCTACAGAGCTGAGGACTTCACTTGCTGGGGTGCACTGTTAGGTGGCAGTGGGGACAGATCTGTCAGGTGGGGGGTGCCCTTAACAATGTTCAGTTGATAGAGGCTTAAAAGGATCCCAGCCCATGACATGGGGATACCCTGAGGTCACCACAGTCCCCAGAGCTTGGCCCTATGGTTAAGATGGTTGTGCCCCTTTCTTTGGGAGTCTCCCTAAGTCCTCCATGTGCTCAGGGATAGGGCCGAGTGGCAGCCTCCTCTCCCCCTTCACTCCTTCCCTTCCCTTCAGCCCTGAGCTGTGGGATCCCAGAGGCCTAGCTGACCTCCATGGGCACGGGCAGGCCCTACTCACACTCCAGGTCTGGATCCTCCCCCGTCAAGAAGCGGACCATGGCCTCCAGCTGGCTGAGCTTCCGGTGGTCTGGGTCAATATCTGTGATGCAGTAGATCCTGGAACCCCAGAGAGTCTGTTACCTCAATATACAATCTCCCCTCTTCCCTCCCATCCTCTACTCCCTGCTTACCAGTCGTTGGCCACGGTCAGATCTGGGTGAAGCAGGTCGTGCAGGCCTGAAACCAGAGTGCACGTTCAGGATGATGCTGCTGTACAGGCTGTGCACACGGACTGTGTGGAAGGGACTGGCCCGCGTGCTTCTGAAGGCAGGACTGGGCTCTGGTCTTTCTCATTCTTAGCCCAGAGGAGGGGCTCACTCAGGGGAACAGGCTGGGTCTGCACAGGCATGCCTTTGCCCATGTGGGCCCAGCTCCCTGGAAAGCTTTTTCTACCTGTGGCCTCACGTCTGAATCCTACCTATTTTTCAAGGTTCAAGATGAATATCACGTCTTCATGAGCCACCCGGCCAGCCAGAGGCCACCTTTTCCTTCTCCTTCAGCTTTTACATCACTCTGCCCTTTCCAGGTGGAATCTTAGTTATTTTAGACAAGTCCTAATGCTTCCCCTAGACAGCAGCTCCTTGAGGAGGCCATATCTATCTCTCTTAGCATCTCCCTCCAAGGCGCTAATATTTTGAAACCAGTGATTTGGCCTTCATTGGCTCCATTGGAATTGACCAAGCTCAGTGGCCAGCAGACAGGAGCCCAGAAGTGGGCCATGTCTGTCTTGTGTGCTCCCAGGAGCCTCTTGCCTAGCTCAGCACCTGAGCTCAGTCCATGCTTTTGAATGAACAAATGAGCAAATGCCCTCCTGACACCTGCCAGTGCTTGGTCATAAATAGGTGCTCAATAAGGATTTTTAAAAAATTTTATTTTAGGAAAGGAATATAGAAAGGCCAATAGGGCGTGTGGGAGACCTTTGAAGGGGTACTGAACAGACACAGACCACAAACAGCTGCAAATATTTAAAGAGGAGAACTCCTTCACCCACAGAGGCCCAACTGACTCCAGGGCTCTAAGCCCCTGGACCAGAAGTGGGTGAGGGACGGCTCTCTGTCTCCTGGAGCAATGTAACCTGGGAGTATCTAGGTAGAGGAAAATGAGCATAGGGAAGAAGAAGGCACAGTGAAGGCTGGGGACCTTGATGGCTCGGGGGACTGTGGAATACAGACAAGGAGGGCTTTCCAACATCACAGAGCTCCAGGTAAGCACAGAGCGGAAACCTCACCCAGGCTGGGGGAGGGGCAGGGTAGCACCCAGAAAAGTGTCATCTGAAGTGAGCTGGGGGTAAAGAGTGGGGTCAGAGAGGAGAGGCTTCCAGGGGAAAGCCAGCACACAGGAAGAACTAGGAGCTTGGTGCATGGGGAGTGAGAATTCAGAGGTGGTTAGAAGGGACGCTGTCAGATTTGGTATTTCTAGAAAGATCCCTTGGGAAGAAGTTCAGAGAAAGAAAGAGGCAGGAAGACCAGTTAGAGGCTGCTGTGGTTGTCCAGGGGAGAGCGGACAATGACTGGGGTGGTGGTAGAATGATGAAGCGATGGATGCATTAAGGGGCTCAGCAGGAAGAAAGTACAGAATGTGGGTGCTAAACAGCATCATGCCCACACCTTCCCAGGACTCCCTGAGACCCTGCCCCAGGATATAGGTTTTGTTTTCTCAAGGGGCCCAGGCAGCTGCAGGTCATGGGCAGGTTGAGTTCCTCCAGTCTCAGCCTCCCTAGTAGCTGGGGGCACAGGTGAGCACCACCACACTCAGCTTGCTCCCACATTCTTCCCAGCCTCCTTTGCCACCCGCTGCTCAGCCCTTCTGATGGGTAAAATGCATTCCCTGGGCGGCCCCTCCTCCTCCTCTGGTCCAGCAAGGCCTCCCTGACCTGACCATGCACAGGTGGTAAGCCTGGCTTTGACCGTTTGACAGCTGACTGGCAGATCCTGTGTGTCCTGGGCATCAGGGACACACATGTCCTCCCTACCTGGTGGCACTACCCCTAGGGGCTGCTCTCAAGCAGGAGGATGGGGAAGTGGTCAAACTGGCTCCACCCTGGGAGAGTCCATTTTTCCCACTTTCCTGTCCGTTGGTCCTTGACCTGACCCACCTTCTTCCACAGATGTGTTCCCCAGGAGGACATATTCCCCATGGCCCTGAGACAGCACCACTCCCAAGCTGCAGACAGAAGAGAAGACACACAGAAGCATGTGCCCGACAATATCCCACTGCACCCACTGGTTCTTAGCTCAGGTTAGGAGCTTTTTGCCCCAACAAGGAGCATGCAAGTCAAACCCCCTTCTTCAGCCTTGGCCTCACAAGTTGTCCCCTCTAGAACTGAGACAGCACCACTACTTTTAAATTGGGCTTTCCTCCTGAGAAAGCCCTGGAAGTTTCAGACCAGGAGCCCCTCAGATCCCATTTTAAGCCAGGCACATTGTGAACCTCACAGTCCCCCCCACCCCTGACCCAGAAATGTGGAAAGGTTTGTATGTCTCACTAGAAGATTCCTTTCCCACCTGGTGAGTCCTACCATGCCCACCTCTCCTGGTAGAAGTCAGATCTGAATCTTGGGAGCTTTAAAAGACATAATGACTTTTAAAGAGGCTTGAGCATTGGCCATTTTGCAAAATTCCTTGGGTATTCTAATATTCTAAAATTCTGCAGTCAGGGCATGGTGACAGGAATTTATTGGGAAAGGAAGCAATTCAGAGATAAGGATCATTTGTTTACCAATTTGTATAATGCTTGGAGTCAAATATTTGTACAGTGGGAGGGAACCTAGGAGATATTTCAAATAGATCCTTTCATCTTACAAGAAGTTACTGCTTTGATCTTCTAAGTAGATCATGTCATTTCATCCTCACAACACTGCCAAGAAGTAGCTATTATTATTACCCTCATGTCACAGATGAGCAATCTAAGACACAGAGAGGTTAAATAAGATGATTAAGGTCACACAGCTTATAAGTGATAGAGTTGGGATTCAAACCAAGAATTTGAGTGCAGAACCAGCACATTTGGCTACAAGGGCAAAGCAGGTCTAGACCTTTCCCTGAATGCTGACCTGGGTCTTTTGCTGTTACCACAAAACTGCCAACTCAATATGAGAAAACCCATCCCTCAGTTCTGGAAGTTCTACCCTGAGCTGTTGGTATTCGTGTTCCACCCTGCCTACCCCACCTCCACCCCTGCTAATAAGGCGTGGGGTCCCTCACCTGAAAGGCGTGTCACTGATGTCTGTGAAGAAGTAGTCATTGGTCAGGAAAAGAACTCGCTTCTGAAAAGAGCAGAAAGGAGAAGGTGCTTGCTGGAGAGGAGAGTGGCCTCTGGGACCACTTAGCCCCTTGCCTGACACCCTTGGGTTTGAGTCACCTCTGTACACTCCCCTCATTCCCCATACTGCTTCCCTGACAACCACCACACGCCCCATCATGTTGACATCCATAGGAAAAATCATCTCAGGGTCCAGCAGTTTGTGGCCTCTTGGGGAGGGGGGTGCCTGGCTTTAAGGACCAAGGTGTGGACCTGGACCTACCCCGTCCATCACAGCTGCCTGTGGCTATGGAGCGCTTGAAATGTGCAACTGTCGAGTGGAATACTCCAATTTTAGTTAACCTTAATTAACACAGGTTTAAATTTAGAAGTCCAGTCTGGCTATTGGCTGCCATATTGGGCAATGCAGACAGATGGTGACTTGGGTTCCTACGGGATCAGAGAGGAGCTGGCTGTCCACGCAGAAAACTTCTGGAGCTCATAAATAGACAGTCCGCTTACGACCCTCCTTCTCTCTCCATATAACCATGGAAGAAAGAAGAGGGACACCCACCCCTCCCCACTGTGCCCCCGGTCCCCGGCCACATCACCCTCTTCCAACTTCTCTTTCCTGCTAAGCTGCTGTGTTCTAAGTTGCAGTTTAATTTGTACCATTAGGTCGTGTGTATACAGTGGCCAAGGGCACGGGCTGGGCTGAAACAAATCTGGATTTGAGCCCAGCTTGGCCAAGCTGTGTGTTCCTGGGAAAATCACTTCACTGCTCAAAGCATCAGTGTTCTCATTTATAAATCATGACTCATGTTCATATCTCTTGCGTGAGATTGCTGTGAAGTTGCCTGCTGGGCTCTGGAGCTCTGTGGATTGTCCTGCCCATGGACAGAGGTTTATGTCATTGGGAAAGCTGCATTCTGCAGATGGCTCAGGATTTGTTCTATTCCTTTCACTCCTGACTTTTCTTCTTTCACTTTGGAAATTGGAGTGAGATGTTGGAAGGAATGTAGAGGAAGACGGACACCAAAAAAAAAAAAAAAAAAGGTTTGCTTTGGTAGGAAACTGGCTTTATACCAAACCAGAGGAGTGGTTCTCTAGCCCTGGACTCACTGACCAGAGAGTCTCTCTGCCTCCTCTGTATCAGAGTGCTCCTCCCTTAGGGTCCCTTCAACAGAGCAGTCATGGGGATGTCCTGGGGAATCAGGAACCAGCACAGGTGATGATGGGCTCAGGAGCTCTGTGCTCCGAGGTGGGCTGACTTGAGTGTTGGAATTGGAAATCACTTTTTAAATTTTTCCTTCTTTTTTGCAGGGAGAGTAGGGTGGGTAGCGGGGATTGAACTCAGGGTCACTCAACCACTGAGCCACATCCCCAGCCCTATTTTATATTTTATTTAGCCACAGGGTCTCACTGAGTTGCTTAGCACCTTGCAGTTGCTGAAGATGGCTTTGAACTCATGATCCTCCTGCCTCAGCCTCCCGAGCTGCGGGGATTACAGGCGTGTGCCACCACACCTGGGATCCTTCTTTTTCATTTTTAAAAAAATTTAGCCATTATGGAGGGTACGAAATAGAATCTCGAAGTTTTAATTAGCATTTCTCTGATGGCTTATAATGTTAAGCATCTTTTTAAGTGATTATTGATCATGTGTATATCTTCCTTTTTGATGTGTCTACTCAATTACTTTGACAATTTTTTTTTTTTTTTTTACTGCATTGTGAGTCTTCTTGTTATTGCTTGGTAAGAATTATTTACATATTGTGGATACGATCTTTGCTTGTTTTTGAATTTCTTATGGTTGTCTTTTTTAAATATTTGTCTTTTAGTTGTAGGTGGACACAATAACCTTTATTTTATTTTTATGTGGTGCCGAGGATGGAATCCAGTGTCTCATGTGCACTAGGCGAGTTCTCTACCACTGAGCTACAACCCCAGGCCCCTTATGATTGTCTTTTGATGAGCAGAACTTTTTGCTTTGATGAAGTGCAGTTTATCAAATTTGATTTTCTAGTATTTTTGCCTAAGAAATCTGCATACTATCATGTTGAGAAGACCTTTTTAAAAAAACATTTTCTTGTTAAAAACTTTATAGTCTTAGCTTTGACATTGAGGACTAGACTTCATCTTAAATTAATTTTTGTGTGAGGTCTGAGATATAGCTTAGTAAACTATATCTCAGACCTCACACAAAAATTATCCCATTTATTCAGTTGTAGTAGCAACATTTGTTGAAAAGACATTCCTTTCTCTACTGATTTGCCAAAGTATTTTTATTGAAAATTAATTTACAGTATGTGTGTGGCACTATTTCTGGATTCTCCATTGATCCATTGATCCATTCTTTTGTCAATACTACCCTGTTTGGCAACTGTAGCATCAGAAATTTATAGTAATTTCTGAAGCTAGGTTGTAGGAATCATTCAAATTTGTTGTTTTATCTCAAGATAGTTTGGTTATTCTAGATCTTTTGCATTTTATCACATCAATTTTAGAATCACCTTGTCTATTTCTAGAAGTCTGGTAAAATTTTGATTGGGATTATGTTGAATCTGTAGGCCAATTTGGGAAAAACAAACATCTGTCTTAACAATTTTGATCTTACAACTCATAAACAAGGTTATAGTTTTCTATTTATCTAATTTTTATTTGATATTCTTTCAGCAATGTTTGGTAGTTTTCAGTGTAGAGGTAGGACATTATAAACTTTTTTTTTTACATTTATCCCCAAGTATTTTATAATATTTGATGCTACTAGAACTTAAAAATAATTTAATTTTCCAAGTATTTACTGCTAACTATAAAATAAAATAGATTTTTATAATGTTGGCCTTGTGCCCTGTAAACATCCTAAAGTTATCTACCCGTTGTAGAAGTCATTTTGTAGATTATTGAGATTTTCTAGGTACACAATAATCTTGTCTGTTAATGAGGATAATTTTACTTTTTTTCTAGTGTTTGCATTTATTTTGTTTTCTTGCTCATTTCACAGGCTTGGATCTATGGGACAATGTTGAATGGAAGAGGCAAGCAGATATCCTTGCTGGGCTCTCAGTTTTAGGGAGAAGGTATTCAGCATTTCATCATTAAAGTTAGCTTTAGGTTTTTCATAGGTGCTTTTTTATCAGATTGAGGAAATTTCTTTTTGTTCCCAATTGAATTTTGTTAAGTGCTCTTTTGTTATCTATTGAGATGATCATATGACTTTTCTCCTTTATTCCGTCAATGTGATGAGTGACATTGCTTGGTTAGTTTTTTCTATGTCAGATTAACCTTACTTTGTTGGGATTACCACACTATGTACATTTCCATGTGTATTATTCCATTATTTGCTTTTAATAGTCAATTGGCTTTTTGAGAAATTAAGAGAATAAATAACAGATAGCCTCATATTAAGCTACATTATTTGCTCTTTCCAGTGTGGTTCATTCTCTTCTGTAGGTCTCAGTTTACATTTGGTTTCATTTTTCTTCAGCCTGAGGAATATCCTTAGGGATTTCTTGTAGTACAGGTCTCATAGTGATGAAGCCTCTGTTTCCTTTATCTGAAAAGTTCTTTATTTCACCTTATTTTTGGAGGTTCTATTCTCTACATATAGAAATTTGGATTGGCAGAATATTTTCCCTTCCAGCACTTTAAAGGTGTATTTCATTGTTTCTGAATGAGAAGTTGGCATCATTATTTTTGTTTCTTCTATAGGATGCATCTTTTTTTTTTCCTTGTAGCTTCTTTGAAAATTGTCTCTTAGCTTTGATTTTCCATAGCTGGACTATGATGTGCCCAGATATAGTTTTCCTTTTCTCCTGCATAGGGTTTGTGGATACTATTGGATCCATAGGTTGATATTTTCACCAAATTTAGGACATTTTTGGGTATTTGTTTTTCAAGTTCTGTTTTCTGCTCCATCTGTCTCTTTTCCTTCTGGGACAACAGGAACATATATCACTTTTATTGTCCCATGGCCACTAAGTGTCTTCCCTCGTTTCCTTTCTTCTTTTCTTTCAATTTCCCTCCTGTTCTTCAAACTGAGGAATTTCAATTAATCCATATCCAAGTTGACTGTCCTTTCCCTCCCACTCTGCTGGTAAGCCCATTTAGTAAAATTTCATTTTGGTGATTGTATTTTGTGATTTTAAAACTTCCATCTGGAAGCACAAGCCACAAAAGCAAACATAAACAAGTGGTACTACATCAAACTAAAAGGCTTCTGCACATCCAAGGAAACCATCAACAAATAAAGAGGTAACCCACAGCTTAGAGAGAGTGTTTGCAAGCCAGATATTTGATAAGGGGGAAATATGTAAAGAATTCACACAATTCAATAACAAAAGGCCAAACAACCCAGTTTAAAAATAGACCAAGGACCTGAATAGACATTTATCAAAAGAAGACATGAAAATGCCAATATGCATAGGAAAAGGTGCTCACCATCACTAATCATCAGGGAAATGCAAATGAAAATGACAATGAGCTGTCATCTCACACTTATTGGGATGAGTTTTGTGGGGTGGGTACTGAGGATTGAATTCAGGGGCACTCGACCACTGAGCCACATCCCTACCCCTATTTTTTATTTTATTTAGAGACAGGGTCTCGCTGAGTTGCTTAGTGCTCGCCATTGCTGAGGCTGGCTTTGAATTCTCCATCCTCCTGCCTCAGCCCCCAAGCTGCTGGGATTATAGGCATGTGCCACTGTGCCTGGCTGGAATATCAAAGAAGACAAGAGATGACAAGTATTGGTGAGGATGTGGAAAAAAGGAACCTTTGAGCACTTTTGGTAGGAATGTAGACTGGTGCAGTCACTGTGGAAAACAGCATGGAGATTCCTAAAAGAATAAAAAATAGAACTACCATATGACCTTGCAAACCCTCTGCTGTATATATTTTCAGAAGAAATCAGCACCTTGCAAAATTATCTGAAAACTCATGTTCACTGCTCTATTATTCACCATAGCCAAGATATGGAAACAACCAAAGTGCCTGTTGATGGATGAATAGATAAAGAAATTGTGAGAATGTGTATTCTTACATATACAATGGAATATTATTCAGCCTTTAAAAAGGATATCCTGCCATTTGCAATGACATGGAAGAAACTAGAGGGTATTATGCTGAGTGAAATAAGCTGGACACAGAAAGACAAATACTGCATGATCTCAATGGAATCATGTGGAATCCTATAACAAACGGTCAGATACACAGAAACAGAGTAAAAGAGTGGTTACTAGCAGCTGAGGGATGGGTGGGTAGAAAATAAGGAGATGTAGGTCAAAAGCTACAAAGTGGCGCATGCCTGTAATCCCAGCGGCTTGGGAGGCTGAAGTAGGAGGACCACAAGTTCAAAGCCAGCCTCAACAATTTAGTGAGGCCCTAAGCAACTCAGTGAGACCCTGTCTCTAAATAAAATATAAAAAAGGGCTGGGAATGTGGCTCAGTAGTTAAGTGCCCTTGAGTTCAATCTCTGGTACCAAAAAAAAAAAAAGCCACAAAGTACAAGTTTGGAAGGATGAATAAGTCTAGAGATCTATAGTTAATATTATTCTTATTATGGTTTGGATGTGAGGTATCCCCCAAAAGATCATGTATGAGACAATGAATGCAAGAAGGTTTAGAGGAAGAGATGATTGGGTCATGAGAAATGTTAATCCCGATGGAATTAACTGAGCGGTAACTGAAGGTGGGTAGGGTGTGGCAGGAGGAGGTGGGTCATTGGAGGCGTGGCTTTGGGGTATACCTTTTGTATCTGGCCAGTGGAGGTCTCTGCTCCCTGATCATTATGTGAGCTGCTTCCCTCTGCCACACTCTTTTTCCATGATGACCTGCCTCACCTGGAGCCCCCAAGGGATGGAGCTGGCTGTCTCTAGAGTGAGACCTCTGAAACCGTGTGCCTCCAGATAAACTTTTCCTCCTCTGCTATTATTCTGGTCCAATCTTTTAGTCACAGCAGTGAAAAAGCTGACTGAAACAATACTGTACCCCAGTGATTATCCAGGAGAGTAGAGTTTAGGTATCCTTTCCATAGGAAAAGCTGATAAAAAGGAAAGGTAGCTATATATGAGATGATGGGCACAGTCATCATGCTTGACTGTAGTAATCTCTTTGCTACGCATGTGTATTAAGGCATTATATGTACATCTTAAATATACAAACAATAGGTCTAATGTTAAAAGAAAAAGTTTCCATTTGGTTCTTGTAGAGAATTTGTACTGTGTCAAATAGCTGAGCTGGAACTACATTTCCCCAAACTAAATTCCCTGCATGGCTCAAAGTTCGGGGTTGGCCAAAGTGAAGTCTGCATGAGACTTGGGGACAGAGGCCAAGTGGCAGCTGTTGCACACACTGATGGCAGGTACAGTCCACCAGCACTGTGCAGTTTGCTCTGATCTGGAAGCGCCTGCTGCTGCCTTGTTATGTGTGTGGGCACCCAGGTCAACAGGGTCACGAATTTGGAAGAACCCAAGAGCTAGCATATGCCTGCCTCTCTCCTTCCCTCATTGCTAATTGTTTGTTCCAAATGATCGACACTGTGAAATGACTAAAAGGCTCCTAGGTTACGTGCACTAGGTTAGATACGCTTGGATACTTTTGCTTTTCTGGATTATTCTTTTAAACATGTCTAAGGATACCTGGCCAGGATGCTGCTGATAGGTCAAAGGTACGACACCTGTTATTGGTCTATATTTTGGAGAAAAAGGCATACAGGCTGAAGCTGGACCCTCACAAGTTTGATATCCTGGATCTTGTCCCAGGCTGTGCTTTTAACATTTTTGGAATTAGCTAGACATATTTCAAATTCCATTTTTGACTATGTCCTTTAGACAGCACGTATCTCTCCAGTTTGCCCTAGCCCCAGCACCCCAGCCCTGAAACCTCTGTGCTTCTCTCATTCACATTTCTTAACCTGACCTATTTGGTCCTGCAGGTTTTTAAGTTTGCAAGTCCTGCTCTTGATCACGCTGTGGTTTCTACTACTGTTCTTGGGGATGCCACCATGGCTGCACATCTGCAGATGGGGAAAGGTCTGAATTGATCTGTGGGATGTAAGGATGTTTATAAAGTCTGAAGGAGAAAACAACAGAGCCAGTGACCACGTGCCAGGACGTGGCTTGAGTCATAATAGATATTCCCCCAATGCTTTAAGAAAGCTTTCCTTGGCTGAGACCTGGACCTGAAGATTGTTTCTATGGAGGAACAAGCTTGTAAATTGAGACACACCACGGAGCTGGGAGAGAGGGCTGGGATTGACTAGCAGCAAGAAAATAATGACACTGTCTGCTGACTGTTAGAGAAGACGTGGGGGAGACAAAGCAGTTGGTGGTGAACACAATGTAGCAATACCCGGGAAAAGTGGCATCATAATAGATCAGAGTAGTCAAAGGCTGGCTGCCACTGTGCTGGCCGCATACCAGCAAAATGTCCCCCACACAGTGTAGGCTCGGGAGTTTCCGGGGGTGAAGTGAAGAGAGAAAATGTTAAAGAGAACTGAGTGAGATCTGATGGGGCAGAGGGAGACGGGACAGTGAATTGTCTTGCTTCAGCATTGAGAATTGACCCTGGACTCTCACACAGCAGGCGAGTGCTCTTCCACTGAGTCACAGCCCAGCCCCTAGGACAGTGGATTTTAAAGATGGAATAAAAATGCTAATTCCAAAGAGGCTATGGGGAAACCTTTAAGGCTGGAGAGTTGAGAACTCAGGCCAGTCCTTCAGGAAGGCCCTCTGCAGCAGTGGTTTGGGGGTGGGTTCTAGAATTTTCAATTTATCATGTAGGTGACCCAGGCAAGTTTTTGGCCTTCTAGGATAGTATTAAATGAGTGCTCAGTTCAGTTCCTAATAAATGTGGTTTACCATTAGTAGTCACAGTAGTAGAGTAGCAAGACACGCACGTCTACGTGCTATGAAATATCCATCGTCGTCCTTGTCGTCGCAGTCATCCTACTTTATGTCAAAGTATCCATATGTCATGAAGATGGTTAAATTGCAAATATGTAGCCTGGATGGTTTATTAGCAGCAATGAACAAATTTCAAAGGGATGGAGCAGTGGTTTCAGGAGAAGTTTGGGCTGCTGGGTCTGGTTAGGCCTCTGCCTTGGTGTCTTGGAGAAGTGTTTGGCAGCTCTACACCCATTGCAGAAATCGCTGTACGCTGGGTATACCATAACCAGACTCAAGTCTCTCTCTAAGTTGCCTTGTGCCATGTGCATATTGAAATTTTCATTATTGGTGAGATACTCTGACAGGCCTGAGTTAAGTGAGAGCCTGGGTGTGTGTGAGGGGGAGTCTGTTTGGGATAAGGATGAGGGTGCATGAAATAAACCTCAATGTCTCGGGGGACAGCTCTCACAGGTAGCCTGACATCAGGGTTACTGCCTTGTCTGCTGGAAGGAGGCCCTTCTCAGCTCAGAGTTTATAAAAATCCAGACAGATGTCACAGAAATTAAATAGTCCCAGTGAAAATCAGTGCATGACCTAAAAGGGACACTTGAATTGCTTGCCCTTCCAATGCTTTCTTGTTTGGCCTCCACAGAGGTCTGCATTTGTGGAAGAACTTGGGTCTAATTGTTGCAGACAGATGCTGTGTTCTCTCAGCTGAGGCAGATGGGCAGCAGGAGGAGGAGGTGGGGGTGGCTGTGTGGGAGGAGGTGACATTTGTAAATATGTCAAGGGACAATGAGAATTCAGTGGATGCTTCGGAACCTTCTATGTGAGAAAATGAAGTGGTCTTTTCTAGATGATGTGCAGTCTGTAAAAACGGTAATGGTACCAATGAAGGTATCGGTCCTTGATTCTCTGTGGTGAGAGTCGATGGAAATCAGCTACAAGAAGTAGCGATGATTTTCAACCTCTTCCCACAAAATGTGTTGTAGCAGAGCTGCTGACAATTTGCAAAATGGACTGTCACATTTCCCTTTCTGTCATAAACAACCAAGGGGCCCAATAGCAGGCAGCCTGCGGAGGAAGAAGAGCTGTGACTGGGGCTAACCCACCCAACTCGGCAGCTTCCAAAGAGCCAAGCATGGGTGCCAGCAGCAGTGCAGGCCTTGGCCAGGCTGCGGGCCTTGGATGGGCCCCTAAGCAAGTCCTCCAGACTGCAGAGAGCACCCACTTCCCAAGATCTAATTAAGCTAAGTCCAAGGCAAACCTCAGTGAAATGCCAAGAAGCCACCCTCCTTGCCCATCCTGGCTCCGTCTCCAGCTCCTTACCCCTTTGTCCAGCGGAGCCTTCACGTCCATAGTGAAAGAACCTGTCTCCCTATTGATCATGGCTGTTCTCAGCTGGGAGAGGAAAGACAGTGGCATTAGTTCCTTGGCACACAGTGGGGTGATCGGACAACGGGGGATCCCCTGGGACACTGGCTTCTTCCAGGTGTCCTCTGAACAGAATACCAGTGGGGAGACCCGATTCTGGGAGTCCTTAAGCTTGTCACTTTGAGTGGGCACCAAGGCTCGAAGCAGATGGAGGCATGGGGGGACACTGGTATCATGCTGCTGAGACATAATTTCCTCTGGGATGAGACCAAAAGCCAGGCTAAAACAAACTCGGTCGCTGATAGATATGCTTTTGCTCCACCTCCCTAATCTGTGTTACTCAGGAAGACAGTGTTATGTTTCCATAGTCGTTCAAGGAAGTGCCCCTTATGGGAATTGCCTCCGGCTTGGTCTTGGAAAGGCTCTGGGACCCAACTGCTCTGTGTGCAGGGAACACTGACCCCCAAACTCATAGCCTCTCACAAGTTTCTCCTTCCCCAGTGTCCCCACTCACGATTTCAGCCTTGTCTTCCCACTCCACTTCAGACAGATCCACGCTATTGTAGTTGGGTTTGGGTTTCAATTTCTTCCCCTCTCTGTACTGGAGTAGGCCGGTCAGGAAGGAAAGCACGAGGTTAGCTCAACAAATCAAAGAATCTCAGCGATTTCTTAAGTTTTATTTCTACTTCTACCCAGGGTACAGCTACCCTTGCTGACATTTGCCACAGATGGGCTCATGGCCTCTGGGTGAGTATGTCCCAGGATGAGGCTTCCCTACTTTGTGAGCCGGCTTGGACAGCTCTAATTGTTAGAAAGTTCTTCCTCCTGAGGAGCTGAAATCTGTCTCCCTGCAACTTTTACCCATTGATCTCAGTTCTCTCCCCTGGAGCCACACAGATGTGTTCCTCCTGGCAACCCTTGAGATTTTACAAGCACTCGTCACTCCCGAGATGTCTCCAAGCTGAACATTCCCAGTTGGCAGACGCTTTAGCTGCCTCTGAATAGGCTTTACTGTCAGTGTCACTCCCATAGTGGAATCCCAAGACAAAAGTCATTATTCCACCTAGGATCTGGCCAATGCGGTGGGGTGTGGTCTGAACTAGCACAAGGCTGCTCTGACTCCCTGCCTAGGATTCTGCTGGGCTTCCTGACAGCAACGCCACCTTGGCAGCTCAGAGGGCGACTTCAGTCAGTCAAACCTTGTTGGGCTTCCCTACGTGATATACTATTAACTTACACCTTCACGGTCTTTTTTTTTTTTAAATATTTTATTAGTTGTTGTTGGACCTTTATTTATTTTTATGCAGTACTGAGAATCGAACCCAGTGCCTCACACATGCTAGGCAAGCGCTCTACCACTGAGCCACAACCCTGGTCAACGTTCTTCTTTTTTTTATTTTTCTTTTTTTGAAACCAGGGGCACTTAACTGAGCCCCATCCCCAGTCCCTTTTTATTATTATTTTTTCTTTTGAGACAGGGTCTCACTAAATTGCTGAGGCTAGCCTTGAACTCTCCATCCTCCTGTTTCAGCCTCCTGAGTTGCTGGGATTACAGGTGTGGGCCGCCACACCCAGTACCTTTATGGTCTTTCACAGAGCTTTCCTTGCATCCCTAATATATTTAATCTCATGACTTTCAGCCCTTTGTTTGAGAAGAATGCCTTCTGAGTACTGATTTTCTCACTTACTGTATTAGCCAGACCTTCCAGATTTGATGGCATCTGCCTCCTGCATTTTCATCTTGTTGATAGGATTTTGAATGCTACAGAGATCTGCAGTGCTTAATAACGACCTCTCTCCAACTTGACATCGTGCCATTAATCAACACTCTGAGTGTCATTATTTTCTAGCATCGACACCTCTGTCTCCCTCTCTGTCAAGACAGATATTGTCAAGTTTTCTGCAATTAGGTCTGTAACGCTTCCCCGGTTTAGTTTAGTAATCCCATCAAATAAAGGAGAGAGGCTAGTTTGTCATCAGGGTAAATTAAAAAATAGAGTGTCTACTTCAGTAGGATGAGGCCCCCAGCAGATGCTTGGGTGGCTGAAGTCCTTGTCATTGTGTATCTTGCTTCTGCCAAACTTTTGTTGTTGTTTTTTTTTTTTAATCATTCACTCAGTTTCTTCAGGAAATCATCATTCTTATTTCTTGTCTCTCTGGTAGGTCTGTGGTCTCACTGTCACAGTGGTGTCCCCCTTCCATTCTCCTTTTCTCCTCACCCTGTCCTGCACAATGCTCCTGTTCTTGGCTTCGTTGATATCCAAACTCATTAAACTGCACTGTCCCCACATCTCCTCCAAGGGATCTCTTTCTTTGGCAATAGTCCACTGCCATTTCCTAAATCCTGATGGCACCTGAAAGATTGCCTTCAATCCCTTATTTTAAAACCATGATTCCACTTTCTTAGGGGCACTGATATAGAATGATTTCAGGTCCACAGAATGGCTTTTGACTTCCTTGACTGTGGGAGACCAACCTTGAATGTGACTGAGTCACACTCCCCGGCTGGGTGCTGAGGTGCTCAGTCACAGAAATGTGGCAGAGCTTTCCCCACCCTTCTTGGGTTCAAAGATCAGTGTCTGTGCATGGGTGTGTCCTGCTACAGCCCCATGGGTGAAGCTATGCGCACCTGTTCCTTTGTAATATAACCCTTTGCCCTGTTTAGGATAGAATCTTCCATGGAAGTGCCTTGTGTGTGTCCCCTTCTCTTATTGTGCCCTTGGGTGTGGCCTACCCAGATGTCAATCAACCTTCTGACAGTGGACATCATGAACATAGACTCAGCCCCCTGAAACCTGACCCCTTGCCTCATTTGAATAGCTTCTCCTCAATAAAAGGGGTCAGCGCGTGCTCTCTCTCTCTCTCTTCCTGTGGACCCTTAAGGTGAGAGGAGCTGTCACAACGACCCCAAAGAAAAAGGTATTTGTGTCTCTTGTGTGGTTATTTTGCACAGCCCAGTTAGCCCAGTTCAACTGGAGTAACCCCTGAGCCTTTTAGTTGTGAACAGAAACCTGGCACTTGACTACATTACTAGCCATATCCTTCATGACTTTCCTGAGAGTGTCTTCCAAGAGATCTCAAGACACTGGCTTCACCATATACGTCTTTTGTTGTGTAATTGAGTCCCATGTGCTATCATCCTCTATTTGTTTCATTATGCACATCTTATTTCCTTAATTGGATATACATTTCTGGTTCTAGAATTCTTCAAAGCATCATAAGGCCAGACACACAGTAGGCCCACAGTATGAACTGATTGGTGGAAGACTGATATTCATCTTGATTCCATAGGTGGTGATAGGTGGGTTTCTCATCAGGGCCCCTTAATTCTACAAGTCAGTGCCAGGATCAACATATGTGTCCCCCACCCCCAATAATTCATTTGCTAGCACTTGGGATTGTCCCCTGCAGAACTTACTGGTCCAAGATGGCGACATGCCATGGGTTCAGATGCTTGCCCCTCAGAATTGAATTGTGAAGACAGAGGGGACATGGTGGTCTCCAGTGTGTCCTGATGTCTCTCTACCTAAACCCTTAAGTATCTGGTTCAGTCACCTCATGGACACTCAGAATCCATTTGAACCAAATGGAATGGAGCATGGCTTAGAGAGGTCTCTCCAAATGACACCGGGGCAGAGGAGCCCCTCGGTAGGTTCTCCTGCTATTGGTTGCCCCGAGATGTAGCCCCTCCTCCGTAGAAGACTGGAAGGGGGCGAGGCTAAGATTTCCTTAGGACTTTGACTCTCCTACCCACAACCACTGCACCGAGAGGTGTGGCCATCATTGCTGTGGCTTGTGCCCAGTGCCATGACCAGAGGCAGCAGGGAGCCCTTGTCCCTGGAGGTAGAGATTTCAGATACAGCCATGCAGCTTTCTCTCTCAGCCACCAGTTGCTCAGTTGAACCCATGTGAGAACTCCCTCAGCTTCTTTATCAGGGTGAGGAGAACTAGGAAGAGGACGGGGTACTCAGGAATAGCCTGAGAAAAACTTAGGGGGACCTGCAACCTCCCCCGGTTCACTCCCCATTTGGTGGGGCCCTGGTGCTCTGCTCATGTGTCTGTCACACTGCAAGACACTGCGGCAGTGAGGGGACCATGGACTTAACAGGCCCACGTGGTAAAGGCTTGGTCCAGGTACGGCACTGGCTGGGAGGGGGTGGAGCCTTTAGAGGTGGAGGTTCCTGGGGTGTGTTCTCAAAGGGAATTTATGGAACCCTGGATTCTTCTCTCTCTCTCTCTTCCTTCACAACCATGAAGTGAACCGGTTTGGTCCACCATGATGTGCTGCCCTCATTCACCAGAGGCCTAACCTCCAAAACCAAGGAAAAATAAATCTTTCCTCTTTATAATTTCATTATCTCAGGAATTTTGTTATAGTAATGAAAAGCTGATGTCCTACAGGACTCGTTGCCCTCAGAACTGCAGCCTTCATCACATGCTCTTTGGACCACACATCACCACTTCACATATTTTTGCCTTGTCTCTCTTGCTAGATTGCAAACACTTTGAAAGCAAAGACAAAAATGTCTATATATTTTTTCTCCTATGACCCTCTAGGATCTTAAGTGGAGCCCAATATACATGCATTGTTCTACATTTATAAACTATCCACAAATCCCATATCATGAGGATCCCAAGGCAAATAAGATCTGTACCTACCAGGGGTCGGAGGTCAGGATGTGAGAGGATGTAGCCATTGTTAGTGTTCATAAAGGCATATCCGTGTACCCCAAGCTGCCAAAGTCAGGGAAGAAAGGGCATGAGACTGCTGCTGTGTTGGACAAGTACAGGGGTTGGATCTGCAGGATGGCTGGGATGGCCGCTCACAGGAGTTTTTCAAATAGGAACAGCAATGTACCAATAGCATGCTGACCACTGGTCATGACGTCCCTTCCAGCTTCTGCTGTTTGCAACAACCATGATAACGCACCTATCTCCTGACTCTTCCACCACGGCCTCTAGGTGCTTTTTTTTTTTTTTTAATATTTATTTTTTAGTTGTAGTTGGACATAATACCCTTATTTTATTAATTTATTTTTATGTGGTGCTGAGGATCGAACCCAGGGCCTCACACATTTGAGGCGAGCGCTCTACCCATGAGCCACAACCGCAGCCCGTTCTAGGTGCTTTGATGACGTCTCTCATTCATTCTCATAGCAGGACTGTGTGGCATGGAGGAGCAGATTGGGAAAACCAGGGAGGGAAAGAACTTGCTGAAGGCCATAGAATAAGTCATAGCTAGTGGTGACAAAGGGCTCCTGAGGACAAGCTGCTGTCACCATGCTCAATGCCTGTACCTGTCCGGGGCTTAAGTAGGGGGGCCCATCCTACTCTAGGCTTGGCTGCCATGGCCTGGACAGAGGCTCTTGGGCCTGGGTGGGGCAGCTCCAGGGGAACCTGTACCTGCCCCATTACAGTTGGATCTTAAATGTCTCACAAAGGCCCATCTGTTGAAGGGTTTTGTTGCTAGCCTGTGGCAATTTTAGGAAGTTAGTGGAACATTCAGGAGATGGAGCCTAATGGGAGGGAGTTAGGTTATTGGGGTGTGCCCTCAAAGGGGATATTGGGACCCTGGTCACTTCTAGTCTTTCTTTTCTTCCCAGCTACCATGAAGTAAACATTTTTTATCCGCCATGCACTTCCACCATGATGTACAACCTTGGCAAAGCAATAAGGCCAAATGACCATAGACTAACACTTTTGAAACCATAAACCTAGATAGACCTTTCCTCCTTATAAGTTGATTTTCTCAGGTAATTTGTCACAGCAATGGAAATTTAACACATTCCCCTCAGAGACTTGATCCATGCTCACCTTGTACCTGGGTGCCAGCTTCATCAGCTCTCTCAGGGTTACATCAGAGCCCACCACACCCAGGAGAATGCCATGGGATCTCTAGAAGGAAAAACAGGAGGATTAAGGAGACTTCTCGTAAATGAGGCCAGACCAGACCCTAGGCTTCTCCAGAGCTCCAGAGAGGAAGCCATTTAGGCCTTAAATGAATCTTCCTCTGCAGTTAGATTTTAGACTGAGCTCTTTGGAATAAAAATTTAGAATCCATCAGAAAAAGCCCCAGGAGTAATCTTAGCTGCTGTGAAGATTAATGCCCAGTATTAATATTTAAGTGGTAATATTTAGATGAAATCCAAAGTTGAATGAAATATTAATCTTCACAGAAGAGGCTGAAGTACTGGGATCCTGGGGACCATAACTTACAGGTGCTCTGAGCACAGGGGACCTGTAAGAAAGTATTTCCTGGCCAGACAGAGAAGGGAAGTCTCCAGAAATCCCCCACCCCGAGACTTAAACACAAGTCAGAGTCTTTCCAACATGGTAGGATGTGTGTTTTTGCTGGAAGGCTTGCAGAAGACCCCTCTAACTTTGTATCCCCAATGCAGGGGGTCCTCAGGGCAGAGAGGGAGCTTTGAGAAGGACAGACTCCGGGCCCCACTCTGACCAAGAGGCCTGGGCGTAGCCACTCTTGGACAAAGCATGGGAATCTGCATTTGAACGCTCCCAGCGTGACCCTCGTGGACCCGCTGGTCTAAAGGTGCCGGGTTCTGATCCCAGCTGCCTCACGGGGAGATGCCACTCACTGTTTCGTTCTTTTTGCTGAAGACAGGCATGGCCACGGTAGTGAGGAGCATCAGGCTCTGTGACTTCGAGGTAAAGAGCTGCCAGGGGAAAGATAGAGGTCAGTGGGGAGGCTGGGGACCCACTGGTTTGCACCACTGAAAGCAAGTGGGGAATCACAGTCGTGGAGGCCAACAACTCAGAATCACCTTCCAACAGGAAGCGAGAGACCTTAGGTGAGGTGTCCCCTCTGTGCAAAAAGGGGAGCTGGCAGGAATACTGGGCGAGCGGTGGCTGGAGAGGAGGACTAGGCCCATGTCCTGAGCCCCCAGCCTAGCTCCCGCGCGTGTTCACTAAGCTGTCTCATCCCGGCCAGGCCAAGGATGAGCATGAACACGGGAAACAGGCCAGGAGCAAAGATTCTTGGGATAGCATGAGTTTTCCCAGAAACCTCTGATATGAACTTGAGGTTGCTACAAACCATAGCCTTGCTCTCCTCTCCTCAGGACCCACCTTGCTGTCCATGTAGGCCTCCGTCCAGATGATGTCATGGTCATGGTTAATGACCATGGGGCGGCTCAGCACATGCAGATATTCCATCACGTTCTCCTGGGCGTCGGCCAGCGTGGAGATCTGCGTGTAGTAGCCTGGTGGCGGGCGGGGGGGAGCGGGGGGAGGTTCCATGGTTGCAGAATGAGGAATGACATTCCCCAATGTCATTCAGAGTTTCTGGGCAGGGCCCACAGGACCTCCTGGCTCACAGCTGGGCCCCTTTGGGGACAGCCCAGGCCATGGGAAACTGTTTCTCCAAGGTTATACCCTGTCCACCAGGGGCAGCTGGAGGCCAGAGGGAGACAAAGGCCCACACTGCCTCCACTGGGGACATCTCAGAGGGGTCTCCAAGCTCCACAGGAGTAGCAGGGGCCTTGGTTTCAATGACAGTACTCTCCATTAAATATTCTATCTTGTCACTCCATCGTAGGGTCTATTTTCAGGGCCACAATCAAAGCCAGTGATTCTTGTCCTCCTCTACTCCACAGCCTCTTAGTTTCCTGGATCACCATCCTTCCTCAGGTCTCTGGGGTTACGGGGTGGGTTCCTATAGCCTCTTCTCTGTAGCAGCCATAGTGTGATATTTAAAAGAGCACATAGCTCATAAGGCTACAAATGGTTTAGTGCATGTTTACCTCTCTGGTCTCATTGCTCATTACTTTGCACAAAACATTCATTCTTCATGCCAATAAAAAGGAACAGCTCTTAGGTCCCAGTATGCCTCTTGTCTCAGACCCTGTGAGCATGCTATTCCCTCCATCTGGAATACCTTTCCTTTCCATCTCCCAAACCTGGGGAAGTGTCTCTTCCTTTGCACCCGTAGAACAGACCAGCCAGTCTGTGCCCTTCCACCATTACAGCACATTTTAGATTATATCAGATTCTAAATCTATTCTAATCACTCCTGATTCCCTAGCACCTGGAAACAGTATTGGGTACACAGTAGATGCTCAATGAATTTTTGTTAAATTAACAGAGCTTAAGGTGACACCGAAAAACCCAGGTCTTGGGTTCTGATCAGAGATACAGAACTGATTGCCCACAAAACATTATCCCCAAGAAAACGGTGACCCTCTGTTTTTTCCTTTAGAGTTAATGGCTTAATTTGCATGTATGAAGCAAGGCGCTTTGCTCACCTTTATTGTTGCAGGCGATCCACTTCAAGCGGTCAGCAAAGGACACTTCTCTCCCAATAAGGTAAGTGAAAACTCGGACCTAATCCATAAGACAGGATGGGCTCAGCAGACACAAATAGTGTTATCTTCACTTTTGTGAGGCTTAGATGTTGGGGCAAGCCACTCTCAATTTGGGGTTCTCCAGTCACACCCACTTTTGGTCAGAGAAGATCCTGAGGCCAAGGCAGCAAAGTGGCTTTCCCTGGGCCACGGTGAATATGGAGTAGGTTCAAGGGCAAACAGTTTGGCTGTTCTTATGTCTCAAAACCGTGTTCTGGGGCGGGGTTGTGGCTCAATGGTAGAGTGCTTGCCTCACATGTGTGAGGCACTGGGTTTGATTCTTAGCACCACATATAAATAAATGAATAAAATAAGGTCCATCAACAACTAAAAAATAATTTTTTTTAAATTAAAAAAAAAAAAACCCACGAAAACGTATTTTGGTCTCTGAAGTCCTTACACCAGTCCTTGTGGCCCAGAGTGACCCTATTTTGGAACTTCCAATTAGGACACACCTGAATTTATGAATGAATCTAATGGGAAAGAACACTGAACTTGAGGCTCTTCTGCCATTGTCCTCTCCATGGAGGTAGTGGGACAAGCACCCTCCTTCCCCATGACCTCCCGCAGAACAATCACCTTGCGGTCCGGCCAGTTATACTTCTCGAATATTGGCTCATAGCCCTCCACGGCCCCATCAGTGATCAACATGATGGCTTGGTTGCAGACACTTCCTTGCCGGGCCTCTTGGAACTGTGTAGGGCAGGAGGAGTTCAGTCACCAAGTAGGCAATAGGACTATCCCACCTCTGTCTCCAAGCTCCCTCCTAATCCCCTGGCTCTCCAGGCCTCACCGCCTGCAGGTACCTTCTTCAGGATCTGGAAGGCCTCATTCAGGGCCTGGTCCACGACCCCCACACCTTTGACCACCAGCTCTTCCACCAGCTGTTTGAAATGCTGTCAGGGTAAACAGTAGAGGGGGCTCAGTGGATTGAGCATTCTAGGGAACCTTCGTCTCTGGTCTGAATTGAGGAGGCTACTTGGAACTATTGCCAGAAGGGCATGGTTGCGGGGTCCTAGCTGGATGATACGGCTAATCACATGGGGGGGACCCCTACAACAGACGTTTCTCAAATGCCCCCAAGATAATGAGAATGAATGGCATGGCACAGATCCATCCTCCCACTGGAAGGAAGTGCAAACACGAGGCCAACCAGATGGAGGAGGATAGTCCAGGGCTGGAGGCAATGAATGACCTCAGCATCAAGCCCTTGACTCAGTCACAAGCACGTCACAGGAAGACTGTGGGGGTGCCAGGGACTGAGGCCAAGATTCGAGAGGACACTAAACCCAGACTCCCTGCAGACGGACATGAAAATGCTCCCTTTTAAAAATTGTTGCCATGTCCTCTTATCTTTTTCCTTTTATCAGAGGAAATGACTCAACCCTATGCATTGGAATTTGTCCTCCCTTCAGGGAAACTGTCACGGAGACTGACATGGAGAAAGGCCCACACAGGAAGTGAAGGGGGAAACTGAGCCCTGGATCCTCACAGAGAGAGACTCACTTCCCCAAGGAAGGGAGACCCTTTGGACGTGAGGTCTGCTTGCTCACACTTTGATCTGATTAGCAGCAACACATCGATCAGGGTGATTTCCGGGGTGTCTATGAACAGGGTCTGCCATCCTGCTTTCCAAGTAAGCAGAAGGAGCCACGAAGCAGTCTTCACAGACCCTGGTTCTGTCCTGACAAGGGCACAGGGCCACGCGTGGACACTCACCTCTCGGTTGTCTCGATCCGCCTGGACCAGGATCCCTTTAAAACAGGGCTCAATATAATGGACGTAGTCATTGTACTGCAGTCGCGGTGAGGAGGGAGGAGAGAACAAACGGGTCAGGGTGGGAGTCAGGGCCCAGCAACAAGGCTCAGGAAGTCCCAGCTGCTCAGGAGTAGGGTTCACGTGGGCACCTGCGTAGTGTCTCAGGGTGCTCTGTGCTTTTTGCGATTTGTCTGACCAGAGTAACAACAGAGCCTTTGCTTTAAACATTCTCCCTCAAACCTGGCCCTGGTACGCTTCCTCAGTTGGCTGCCTCAGTGACACCTTCCTGAGCCTACAGAGAGACCCTGAAGTTACCGAAAGAATCTCTTTGTTCACTGCCTCCAAAACCAAATGAGGTGCTGGTCTTGCACCAGAATCCCACATGCGGGTCCCTCCTTAAGGGGCCTGAGTAGGAGATTAAAAGATGTGCTGTTTTATCTTTGCCCTGCCCTGCATTTATGCAGAGGGTCCTTTAACTATCAGCAGTGGGAGGAGTAAGGAGAAAAATGAATCATCACTGCTCCCCTTTTCTTAATTACCCCACTCCTCACAATTGGAATACAAATTTTCAAGGTGTCCCTAATCCACCTTCTGCTTAAGTAAGGGACTGTGATGACATCACAGCAGAGCTGCATGGGTTCTGGGGACTCTGGGGTGATGCTTCCCTCTTTAGTTACTTCATGGCAGCTGGGGAAGCAGGACAGGAGGCGGGAGAAAAGGACTGGGCAGGCTGTGAGAGACGAGGGTGCTGTCCCTCTCCTGTGGAATGTGGAACCTATATTCTGTGGTCCTCCTGTCACTGCTGCAGGTCTGGGGTCAGGGAGGAGAGAAGGGGGCTAGGAGTGATGCAGGTGGGTAAGCTGAGGCCTCGGGGAGCAACTCAGGGCCTGGGGGGCATCCTCACACCCCAACATGGTCATTGAGAAGTTAGACAACTTTTTCTTGACGTTTCTTTACTAAGTCAACTCTAGTAAAGAAGAGAAATGCCAGTAGTGTGGTAGACTGGTAGAGGAGGTTTTTGGATCATGTAGCCCTCAAAAGAATACCCCACGGTGGACAGTCTACTGTGTGTCTGTTGAGGGCTGAGCTGGCCAACCCCTTTCATTGGATTTTTAAATCATTTGCCTCACTTATGTCTCCCCTCTTCTTTCCCCCACTGTGTCTGGATTTGGTGGGATAAAGGAAGTGGGAGAACTGGAATTGTCAGAGAGGAAGAACCAGGGATCATTTGTCCTCCAGCAGCATGGGAGGCTGTTCAGGGACAGGCATTATTCAAGAGCACGTGGATGTGAATAAAGTAGGTCTAACTTGGCCAGTGCTTCTTAACCAGTATCGGATCTAGAGTCCTCTGAAAAACTAACAAAAGATATGGACTCAGAAAACCAGATGTGTACATTTTACATAAGATTTTAGAAACTTCCCAGACTTCCTGAAGCCCATCCTTAGGCGAACCATGCACCTTATGTTGGGGGCCCCAGTTACAGAGGAAATAATTTTTGCCTGATAAGAGGCATCCACTGGCTGTAAGTTAAAGTCCTGACACAGATGGAGGAAAGTTTTCCTAGAGCAAGTGAGAGCTACCCCAGCACAGGGAGGCACATTTACCGCAATGATATTAACAAAGTCATTCTCTCCCAGGGTGTCCAAGATGGTGATGATGGTGTGCTTGGCAATAGCCATCCTCAGCCCCTTCATGCTGCCGCTTATGTCCACCAAGATCACTATGTCCTTGGGAGAAGTAGCAGCTTGTATGTACCTTTAGCAGAAAGAAAGGGACAGGTCAGAAAAAACACTTGACCAAGGGCCTTCAGCTATTTCTATTTAGATTCTGCCCCAAGGTCAGTCCATGTCCCCTCAGTGACAGGTTTTATCATGCCCCATAATCACTGGACTCTGAAGCCATTCAGGGAAGTGAAATGTGTCCACTTGATGGGACTGGTCAAGTCCCTCATCCTTTTTGACTTAGACCAGCGAGGACCCCTGAGAGGCTGGCAGCAGGAAAGGGAGAAGTAGATTCCAGCCTGGGGTAGGTTACAGGTCTGCCAGAAAGAGGGTGTTGAGAGAGAGGAGAACGTAACACAGGGTAGAGTTGGGACAGCCCAGTGTCCTGGAAGGGGGTCTGGTTTGGAGAGACACTACAATCCATGCTGGAGCACACATGGCTGTGGACGGAGGAGTCCAGCTACCCTAACTCTTCCTGCTCTTGTGTGGAATTAGGCTTCTACATACCCAAGGCCTTGGGTGGTGCTGGGGAGGGTGGGGACCATGAGTGGAGCAAAACCAAAGCACTTCCCTGTGAGCTCTTACCAGCCACGGTTTCGACAGTCGAAGGTAATGACTCCATTCTCATCCGGTGTCCATTTTATACCTGGGGAAATCAAGGCTGGTTCTTTGACTAGCTCAGTGAGGTCACCCCAGAGCCCCTGGCTGGGTGCTAAGTCCCAGGACAGTTAGGATTCCCAGGGCAGGACCTGCTTTGGACATGGGCAGGAAGACAAGGAGCACCTGACCACATCCTACAAACTGAGGCAGCTGGAAAGGAGATACCACCCAAAATTCAAAGGGCCAAAATTGGGAATAAGTTCACAGACAGAAAGGGCCCCTATACGTGGGGCCTTGGGCTTTTTGTGAGGCTCAATGTCCTATCAAATAGTGGAAGGGGAAGCTCTGGAATGGTGTGATTTTAACATCCATTACCATCTAGCAAAGTATGGACAAAGAGAAGAAAGAGCCAGGCGCTTTGGCTTCTGCTCTGTATTCAGGTTAAGCTCATTAGCACTCCTCCCTGGACTGGGAGAAATGATGTGACTGCACGATTATAAGCTACTTGAAGTCAGGGATTCCTGGACCAAGCAGAGCTCATAATGTCTGTCACCTGAATGAAAGAATGAACGGATGGCCAGCCATCAAAGACGTTGCTTTGACCACTAGTAGAGAACCTGGGATAAATTTGTTCTATTCATCTAACCCAACATTTAGATAAAGACACACAAAGCACAGAAAACACTAATGTGATCCACAATAAAAATCTCTCTTTGGAGTGACTTTCACAATTTGGAACAGAGGGTTCAAAATAAGATTTAAAAATTGTAATTATTGAAATTGTAATATATTGTGCTTGCACTAGAAAAGAAAATGTGGTGGTATCATGACTATCTAGAAGCTTCAAGGGATCTTCTAATTTCACAGTAGTTTTACTTTAGATATGATGTGCCCTTTCAGACACTGCTGGATTACAAGGGTAGAAAGAGGATTCAGGGCCCTTTGAGTGAGAGGCAGCAAAACTAAGAGCCCAGGAATTACAGAAGTCGAAACCACCAAATACAAAATAAAGGATAGGTGTGTTTGAGAAATCACAAAGAATGTTCAATAAGAGAAGATCAGTAATGAAGAAATAGTCTTAAAAATATAGAACTTTGAGAAATGAAGAAAATATTTAGGTAAAAAAAATTAAGTGGCTAGCGAATTATTCATAGGTAAAGAGAAAATTCACTCAGTTAAAGGAGTTATCCAGAATTGTATACAGGGTAGAATGAAAAGGTCTAATACATGTCTGATTGGAGACACAGAAAGAGGAAAGTTTGAGAAGGATAACTTTAAAGAAATTATGTTGGCAAATGTTCTAGAGCTGATAAAACACAACTCCTCAGACCAGGGACCACAAAAGATCCCAAGCAGGACGAATAAAAAGACAATATTACTCAGCCATAAAATATGAAATGAAATTATGGCATTTGCCAGAAAATGGATGAAACTGGAGACTATCATGTTAAGAGGAATAAGCCAAATGTTCTCTCTGATATGTGGCCAAATGTTCTCTCTGATATGGGATGCTAACACACAATAAGAGAGGAGAGGGAAGAATAGAAGCTCATTAGACAAAAGGGAATGAAAGGAAGGAAGTGGGGATGGGAATGAGAAAGACAGAAGAATGAATCGGACATAACTTTTCTATGCTCATATATGAATACACGACCAGCATAACTCCATATCATGTAACCACAAAAATGGGAAGTTATATTCCATGTTCGTATGCTATGTCAAAATACGTCCTACTGTCATGTACAACTAGAAAGAAGAAATAAATAATCTAGTTAATAAAAAACAAACAAACAAACAAGACACTCACACACACTTAGTGAAACTGCAGAACTTCAAAAGCAAATAAATACATATCTTGAAAAAAGCCACAAAGACCAAAACACTAAAAAACAAATGCCAAATGTCTTCTTTGATATAAGGAGAGTAACTAAGAACAGAGTAGGGACGAAGAGCAGGAGAAGAAGATTAACATTAAATAGGGATGAGAGGTGGGAGGGAAAGGGAGAGAGAAGGGAAATTGCATGGAAATGGAAGGAGACCCTCAGGGTTATACAAAAGTACATACAAGAGGAAGTGAGGGGAAAGGGAAAAATAATACAAGGGGGAGAAATGAATGACAGTAGAGGGGGTAGAGAGAGAAGAGGGGAGGGGAGGGGAGGGGAGGGGAGGGGGGATAGTAGAGGATAGGAAAGGCAGCAGAACACAACAGACACTAGTATGGCAATATGTAAATCAATGGATGTGTAACTGATGTGATTCTGCAATCTGTATATGGGGTAACAATGGGAGTTCATAACCCACTTGAATCAAAGTGTGAAATATGATATATCAAGAAATTTGTAATGTTTTGAACAACCAACAATAAAAAAATTAAAAAAAAAAAAAGACCAAAACACTCAACCCTGGTGGAAGCCACAAGCCAGAAGCAAACAAACAAAAAACCAAACAAATAAAAAAGAAACCCATCACCACCACCCCAAACAACAAAAGCCAGTCTTAAATGTTGAGAGAAAAGAAGTTAATTTAGAATTGCACTCCCAGCAAAAACATCATTCAAGAATGAGGACCAGGGGCTGGGGCTGGGGCTCAGAGGTAGAGGGCTCACCTTGCACGTGGGAGGTGCTGAGTTCGATCCTCAGCACCACATAAAAATAAATAAATAAAATAAAGGTACTGTGTCCAACTACAACTAAAAATATATTTTAAAAAGAATGAGGAGAAAAAAAGCATCCGTAGGTAAACACAATGGGCAGAGCAGGCTGGGTCAGCTCTGTGAACATCAGACAAAGGAGATTTACAATGAAATGTGTCACAAGTGCTAATGAAATGAAGCAGACCAAAAAATGAACAGAGACAGAAAATTTAGTCAGTACTATTTCAGTCGGTGACCAAAATACCCAACCAGAACAACTTAGAAAAGTTGATTTCGACTCCTGGTTTCAGAAATTCAGCCCATGGTTGGCTGACTGCTGTGCTCTGAGCCTGAGGTGAGGCAGAACATTATCACAGAGCAGAGTGGGGAGGGGGATCGAGGCACCAGAAACGAGATATAAACCCCAAAGGAATGTCTCCAGAGGCTCACTTCCTCTAGTCATACCCTACTTGCCACTCAGTACAGAAGACCAAAGTGGAGTGACAGTTGCCAGAGGCTGAGGGGAAGAAATAACAGAGAGTCAATATTCAATGAGCCTAGAACTAAAGCTTTGCAAAATGAAAAGGGTTCTGGAGATGGATGGTGTTGATGGTTGTACAGTGACAGCACACTCAACCCCAGTATGCGCTTGAAAATGTACTCAAAGATGAAAGATATAGAACATTTTATGTTATGTATATTTTTCCTCAATTTAAAAATTAAAAAAATCACAAACTCTATACTGATCAAAACTTGTGAGAGCAGCAAAAGTAGAGCTTCGGGTGGTGGGGTACAACCTTAATACTTATTTTAGAAACACAGAAAGGCCAAAAATTTAACTAGGTGTCCATTTAAGAGGTTAGGAGGAAGAACAGCTGAATAAATCCAAAGAAAGGGAAAGCAGAAAAAAATTTAGATCAGAAAGTTAGAGCCAAAATAGATCAAATATGAAACAAAGAACTAATAGAGAACAACCAACAAAAACAAAAGATGATTCCTGAAAAGACTAACAAATAGAGAAACCAATGGAAAATTATGAAAAATACATATAATTATACAAAAAAGATACATAATAATAGATATAGCAGAGATTTAAAAGAGAATAATAGATTCATATGAATAAATCTGAAAACTCAGATGAAATGAATGGATTCTGAATAAAAGTATTTCATTAAATTTTAGGAAGAAATAGAAAGTCATATTAATGTTTCAAGTATTAACTAAATTGAAGTGATAATTTTATATCCCCATATAGAAAACTTCAGGCCAATGTAGTTTTATAGATAACTTCTATGAAACTTTCAAAGAAGAGATCTTATTCAAATTCTTCCCAAAGCCAGAAAAAAGAGAGAATGCACTCCAATTTATTTTACAAAGCTAGTATAACTTTGAAAATCCAACATGTACAGAAAGAAAAATTAGAAGACCATTTCACTTGTAAATATAGACACAAAAATCCTCTCCTTTTTTTTTTTTTTTTTAATGAAGCTGGGAATTGAAGCCAGGGTCTTGTGCATGACGGACAAGTGCTCTACCATTGAGCTATGCCCCCAGCCCTAGATGCAAAAAACCTAAACAAAATATTAATAAACTGCCAGGCACTGAGGCACACGCCTGTAATTCCAGTGGCCTGGGAGGCTGAGGCAGGAGTATCATGAGTTCAAAGCCAGCCTCAGCAAAAGTGAGGCACTAAGCAACTCAGTGAGACCCTGTCTCTAAATAAAATACAAAATAGGGCTGGGGTTGTGGCTCAGTGGTTGAATGCCCCTGAGTTCAGTCCCTGGGACCTAATAATAACAACAACAACAATAATAAACACAACCAATGTATAAAAGGATTTACTATAATCAAGTTAGGGTAGTCATAGGAAGGCAAGGATAGATTCACATGAGAAAATTCAATAGTTAAGTGGGCAAAATATAATATGTATTTCACAGAAGAGGAAGAACAAGGAGCTAATAACATAAAATGGTGCTCTACTTCATGAGTGACCAGGGAAATGCAAAGTCAAACCACAGTGAAATGCCATTTTTTTTGACTAAAAATTCATCAACAAAAATTTTAAAATTTAATGATATCCAGAATTAAAGAAGATGTGGATCTCTTAGTCATTGCTTATTGGAATGTAATTGGTACAAGTTTCTGAAACACAATTTGAAATTTTTTGTCAAAGGTGAACATTCATATATCTTAAAACAGCAAGGAGCTGGGGTTGTGGCTCAGCGGTAGGGCGTTTGCCTAGCATGTGTGAGGCACTGGGTTTGGTTCTCATCCCCACATATAAACAAATTAATTAAATAAAGGTCCATTAATAAAAAAAACTTAGCAATTTTATTCCTAGGTATAAAACTAAGGGAAACTCTTATATCTCAGGATATAATATACCTCAGGAGACAAGAGTCTTTATAACAATA